AATAATCACTGATATAAAAGTAGTATATTAGGTTTACGATAAACCATGAACTATAGAACACATGTTTTTTGTCCTTTGCGAGACTCCTTAACATCTGTATTCAAGTGGTGGTGTTTACATTGAAACTTATAACAAAGTACAATTAATTTTAAATAAACTCCAAATGGATTATACACTGACCTACTGAATTCAGCTGATATCAGTAAATATTTGTAATCACTACTGACACTAGCCATATACCGAAAAATGAATAATAGAATGCCACTCCTATTAATAATAAATTATTTGATTGTTATATACCGATTGAAATGATAGTAGTATATATTCTAGGAAGTATCAGTTCTTCTAAGATTATTGATAAGTTTTTGGAAGCAACAATTTATACTAATGGTCTCCAGCTACTGACGTACTATTGAAGATTATAATTCCTAAAGATACTGATATGCTCGTCAGCTGATATGCTTAAATGCTATTACTAGTTCACCTTACTTGGTAAATGAAACGAAGAGTAATGACTCAGTGACACGATTGTCCCCGGCCCGGCTAACTATAGCAAGAAGTTTTGATAAGGCGTAGAGAATGTAATCTACTGGGACCTAGAAAATTCGAGGTTGCTAAGCACACAAATCAAGCTTATTTATACAATGATAGAAACGTCTTTGGGAGAGCCACAAAATAACTTACTAAAAAAATCCATCAGCCAATGACAATCAAGGATTTTTCGAATGAGAAATGTAAGCTCAAGGCTAACTAAGCGACTTATGCGCGAAAACATAAAAAAAAAACAAAATGAGGACACTTTTCAAGTGAGTTCTGAGGATCTAACGTCCCCAACAGATACCCACTGAATAACTCTACTCTTCAGATTTGCTGCTCAAATACATCAACCTGGTGATTCGTGAAGAAGAAGGAATACACTTCTTGGAATTCTACTGGTAACCAACACTACATCATTCAATCATAAACATGACATTCTAGTCTTTTTACTACTAGAGTACTGGTTCATACTAGAACAGTTAGACACTGTTGCTTTAACAACGATCTTAGGATATCAAGGTTCTTTTGTATAAGACAATTTTACATCAACGAAATTGGTTACAATGCTGTATCCCAAAATCCTATGATCTGTAATTACAGAGTTGTCTGGATTATATATGATTTGCACCATCAAAACATATCTCATGTTTACATAAGGTACTCACTATCGCATGTAATAATTTCTTTGAACAGTTATTTCAATATTTGACAATCTACAATGTGTATGTGTGTGTATGCGCGCGCGCATACGTTTACTAATTCTCTGTTTTGTTTTTCTCTTAGTAAAACGTGAAGATATTAACAAAATAGATTATTATTTATCATGTTGGTGTAGAACAATAGCAAATCAATCGAATGGGAAAAGTTTATTCGAATGTTCAATGTCCACTGGAAATTATGAATTAGTTAAACATATAGATGAAGCACGTAATACCAATGAGCTAATTGCTGCTTCAATGGCATTAGATTTAAATTATATGGAAAATCTTTTATCAATTAAAATTGGTTAGTTGGCGTATTTGTTTTTTGTTATTGTTGTTGTTGTTGTGTAACACGTAGACATGCTCCTAGAAATAACCTAACCTCGTCTGAATTTTCAGGAGCAGACCTTCTACCAGGTGGCTCGCTTATTGACTTAGAATATGCCGATGACATTGTCCTACTTGGTGAAGACGCTGACAAAATGCAGAGTCTTCTGACTACCATAAGCAACTAGCGATAGGGAGTGAAGTAGTCGAGCGTGCAGACCGCTTCGCTTATCTTGGGAGTCTCATCAGTGCCGATGGCCTGGTGACTTACGAAATCTCAGCTCGGATACAGAAGGCTCGATTGGCTTTTGCCAACCTGCGTCACTTATGGCGTAGGCGAGATATCCGTTCTCTAATCAAAGGACGAGTGTACTGTGCAGTGGTTCGCTCTGTTCTCCTATATGGCTGTGAAACATGGCGAGTGAGAGTAGAAGATATTCGTAGGTTACTGGTTTTCGATCATAGGTGTCTTCGAAGCATTGCTCGTATACCGTGTGACACCCGAGTGAGCAACGCTGTTATTAGGAATCGGGTGCTAGGTAAGAATGGCAGATCAATAGACGCAGCAGTGACACTTCATCAGTTGAGGTGGTTGGGACATGTGCAGCGTATGCCTAACCACCGACTGCCTCGACGAGCTTTGTTTTGTAGTGTAGGAATAGGTTGGAAGAAAGCTAGGGGCGGCCAAACCAAAACATGGCAGAAATCCATGAAATCATTGACGAGTGGACTTAGCCATGTCGGTAATAGTCGACTACCTGATTGAGGTCCGCGAGATGATAATAATCGATGGTTAGAGATCTTGAATGACAAGGCTCAAAATCGTTCGCAATGGCGCTGGTGCATTTATTCTTTATGTTCTCTCAAATCCTAATCTTCTGGATTCTTCAACACCTCTAGTTTTGACTTTCTGAAATTTTCTCACTGAATCATACTTCTTGAATAATATCTCCTAATCCTAACCTCTCCGATTACTTCTAATACCTTTACTACCTCTTCTACTATTGGACTTGAATTGACAATTACATCTCTGTGCTGATGTGGTATGGCGACATGAACTGATGTACTTACGTACGAAGTTCTACGTTGCAACTGACTGACTGACTCTACAAGCATCCAGAAAGTACGAGGTCCGAGTCCGGAAGAGGATGAGGATCCCGGACTAGGGATCCGGGTCATAAAACGTTACAGATAATGCATATTTATACAGTTAAGTCGAATAGGAAACAACATTGAAGTACGTGGCATTGATAGCTAGGATGACCATAATATTGACCAATAAGAATTGAACTTATGTACATACGTACGAAGTTCTACGTTGCAACTGACTGACTGAATAGAATTAGACTCACAAAAAATATTCTCTTAGGGTATTTGATGAATAATATCCTAACAGAATAAGACAAAACTAAATTAAGAAAAAAAATTATTAGTTGAAGTCTTGTTATAGAGAGTGATATAATTTGTCGATTGTATCTTGTGCTAAATCAATCTCTATAAAACGTTCTTAACTAAATTAAAATATTTAGCTGACTGGTGACCTACTTCCAGAAATGTTAATGATAAGTCATGGCTGGTTCAGTTGAGATAAATTGCACATGAAACAGTTGTCACTAATAGCATTGGTTGATCGCCATTATATATTACAAATCGATTCAAGCTAAATTTGTTGCATTGAATTCTAAATCAATGATTCGAATAGTTTAGTGTTAGCCTTAACATATGAAGATTCAGGTTTTTGTGCTTGGGTTGGTCTTGAGCTTATACAGCTTAAAAATCTCACATTAGGACAAAGCATCTGTTCAATTATCCCCTAGCTTTCATTACCATCACGAGAGAAGTTAGTTTGTGACGAAAACAACTCATGAACATAAACATTATTTAGATCGATGAAATAGCTGAGATTCTTTTTCAGTTTAATGACAGTTTTCACTCTAGTCTATCGTCGGATAAAGAAATAATTTGTTGTGCTCGTCAAATGATATGCTTGAAACTATTACGAGTTCACCTTAGTCGGTAAACCAGAGCTAAGACAATTGATCCAGTGACACGATAGGCTACTCTAATCTGAGCGTCCCAAGGTCCCACTAAGTAGAAGAAGTCTTGACAAGACGTACAAAGTGTATTCTAAAAGCACCCAGAAAATATAAGGTTCACAAGCACACACATCGAGTTTATTTATACATGGGAGAGCCTTGGGTGAGCCACGAAAATAGCGTCCTAAAATAAACACATCAACCAATAACAGTCAAGGATTTTCCGGGTCAACTGATCAGCCCATGAATAAAATCCAAAATTAGGACCTTTATCAAATGAGTTCTGGGGATCTACCATCCTCAACATAATTGAACACTGGCGAAGCACTCATAAGTTAACGGCAATCAAAACTGATATGAGTTTAAACTCAATTGATTAAAAACAATATTATGAACTATAAAAAGGTTATCTAATGGTTCAACTTAATAATAAATCATCTTGAATTACCAATTTAATTCACAAAGAAATGATCGAACAACATATTTGATTAACCCTAATAGCTCACTGGACCACTGGGTTTGAGGTTAGTATGAGAAAGCAATACTCTTACTTAATTTGATAACAAACAGGAGATGAATATTAGGGATAATAACGAAAGTAGTAATGTACACTAAATAAAAGGTAACGACAGGAATTCATTAATCTAGGCAGTGAAAAATCCATGGGACTGATCATCGGTGCGCATCCACGACTTCTGCTACTCACAGTATTCGAACATGGGATCTTCCGTCTTGTGCGCTAACGCTTAACCTCCAGACCACTGGGCTAGCGTTAATATCTAACTACAATCAATCTACGGATTTTCTGTGACCTCACCCATTTGTCTTTGGTAGTTACTGCCTACTCTACTGCCTACAGGGTTAAACTCCGTTAATCACGTCTTAATAAATACTGAACAGAACGTGAATATTAGAAAGCCATATAAAAATAACCAATAAACAGTGAACATCAACTTTAATCCACTTTTGACAGAAAGTTGTCACAAAGAGCTTTGATATAAGAATATAATAATTCAGCCATAAGTTTATTCAGTTAACAGCTGATGAGAAGCTTTGAAATACAAGCCGATTAACTCAACAATTCTACAAATCCTGTTGTCGGTTTATATAAAATGTTATTATCCTGATATTTGTGGACATCGTACAATTTCCATAGTTTAAATCATGTACTGATCATAGCTAGACTACCATTGAAGACCTGGAAACACTGGACATCTGTTTTTAGTATGAGACTCTTCAAGAGTACACATTCACAATCCTGATGTTGAATAAAACAATTATCCAGTGCTCTCAGTTTTTCAACAGTTCTCTAAATAAGATCAATTCATGATTAAATTTTATTTTTCATTTATCAAAAGATCAAAATGATTGAAATATTTTTACATAATTTTTATTTTAGAAAAAGAAAAATGTCAAGTGAATAAATGTGACAAATCATTTGATCCTCCACGTTCGTTGACTGCCGAGTTAGCAATAATTTATGGAGTTAAAGCAAAGAAAGCAATAGAATTACTTAAAAAATATGGTGCAGCTGATGAGTCAATTTATTATGGTAAGTAGAATTTATTTAATCCACTTATCTGGGAAGTCTCATCAGTCCTGATGGTCTGGTATGTGACGAAATCTCAGCATGGATACAGAAGGCTCGATTGGCTTTCGCCAACTTGCATAACTTATGGCGTAGACGAGATATTCATCTGTTAAACAAAGGACGAGTATACTGCACAGCAGTTTGCTCCGTCTTACATTATGGCTTTGAAACATGACCAACAAGAGTAGAAGATATCAGTAGGTTGCTGGTTTTCGAAAATAGGTTTCTCCAAAACATTGTTCATGTATCCTGGGACAACTGAGTAAGTAGTGCTGTCGTTAGGAAACGGGTCCTAGGTAAGGGTGGCAGACCAGTTGGTGAAGTATTGAAACTTCATCAGTTGAGGTGGTTGGGACATTTGTTGCGTCTGCTTAACCACTGACTGCCTCGTCGAGCTATGCTTTGTGATGTAGGAATAGGTTAGAAGAAAGCTAGGGGCTGCCAGACCAAAACAAGGCATAAATCTATGAAGTCACTGTCAAGTGAACTGAGTCATGTTGGTAGGTTTCGACTACCTGGTTGGGGTCTGCGAGATGATAGCCACTGATGGTTAGAGACCTTGAACGACATAGCTCAAAACTGCTTACAATGGCGCAAGTGCATCCGTTTGTTGTGCTCTCTCAAATCCTAATCCTCTAGATTCTTCATCGCTTTCAACTTTTTCTTTTTAAGTTTATTTCACTAGATTCTACTTGTTGAATAATATCATCGAACCAGTAAACACTAGTTTTCAGTGATTCTTCAGTTGATATCATTTGTTTTGACTGAAATCTATATTACTATAACCTGTTAGTGTTGACAAAACAAACTTTGTTTGAGTGATTTTTCACTCAATCCAATCTTGATCCTTAAAATGTAGCTACTCCATATAACTCAGACTTATTCTTATTAGTTAGTAACTGTACCTCGGAAAATATTGAAAACTTGTGAACAAACGAAATAGGCGGAACTTTGAGAACTATTTTAGTGCAGCTATTGTATATCGAAGGAATTATAAATAAATGCTATTTGAATATTGCCTTTATTTATAATCTTTCATACAACTTATCAACGGCATCCATAAATTTTTACCAATTAATTTTGTTCCTATTACTCAGATTTATACTACAAATGGATTACTTATGTAATATAAATTGTGATCTCCTATTTGTAGTGTTTTGTGGTCTTGTAAATATTATGTGAGTTTTTGAGTCTAACGATATAAGGTAAACTGATTCATGTTTCTTCTGCCCCAATTGAGAGTGCTTAATGGGGACAGAAAGATTTGGTTAAACCTGTCATACTTTGTTATATTTCGTAGCTGTGATTGGGGATGCGTATTCAATGGTCCGGGATTTGACTCCGATTTGTACGAGCAATCAAATGTGCTATGAAATAAATCCTCTTCTTATTTTCTTTATATTACATTTTGACTAACTCCGTTTGTAGGACAGTGGCAGTAACAATCCATATATGGGTTCATTTGGATAAGTTTATGTCATGCAATGGTTGACATAGATAGTAGGTATGAGGATAAACTCAATGTGATGGTTATGACTAAGTATTGATAGTCTCACAAAAATAAGCTAGACATATGATAAGCAACGCAAGCAATCCAACTATCGAGTCAGGTAAAAGCAAACAAGGTTATAAGCGATTAATATATACGATCAAAAGACGTGCAAATAATAACTCGATTAATGTGTTCGAAAGTTGAAACAAGCGATTTGGGCTCGGCATATTGGTACATACTACAAGTATCGTTGGCATAAGTTGATCCACTATAATTAGTCTGTTCCATAAGCATGAAAGAAGTGGGAAATAAAATCAAAACATTTCATCGTTTCCGCCTGAGATACGAAATTTCTCTCTGAAATTTCTTTTCTGTCTTTGTATTCTCGGTTTTTCATCGGAACCTATTCATGAAAATGTTTAAAAATGAAATATTAACAACCGCGCATAGATTTAAACCTTGACTGCTTGCTAAACTGACATAGATATAATGGATGAACCTCAAGAATACCTCGAATTTTTCCAAAGTTATCCTCCATTTCTTTCATACTTTAGCATTGTCTAATGGAGAGGAAAAAAACTTCCCGGCATTTTATATATCTCTACTTTTGTTAGAAGGCGTTCGCCTACAATGCCAAAGGTCCCGGGTTCGAATCCTGCAAGGAGCAGGAGTCGTGGATGCGCACTGCTGATGAGTCTCATACCAGGACGAAACGGCCGTCCATTGCTTCCAGGTTTCTAATGGTGGTCTAACAATGATTGATTGAAGATTTCAAATGTGTAAAAACGCAAACATCCAAAACTGTGCCCCAAAAAAAAAGGAAAGTTACCACGAAATTATAATATTTAATTTCATTGGAGGACGATTTACATTATTGATTCTAGTCTTTAAATTCTGTAGCGATTTCTTGGCTCAATATTCGTAGAATATTCTTTAGAATGTGTAATAAAAACTTTTAAATTAATTATAAAAATTTAATTAATTTAATGAGGAGTATTTATTTTATTTGTTTGCATTAGAGTTAGTAGAACAAAAGAAAATGGCTTTTGTAAATTCACCATTTTATTTACAAGTAAAATCCGCGAAAACAATTTCCGATTTAAACAAAGCATGGAAATTAATTGAACATTCATCATTTCAGCCAAATCTAAGAAGGCATTCGGATCAAGCAACTTATTTACATTATTTAGTTGAACGGTAAGTTTTGTATGCTATTTAAAACAACTTTACACAAATAATAAGAATCTACTCAAATCATTCACTTGAGCTATAAATCTCCTTCATTTCAGAAAGACTATAAGTTTATTCCTAAAAGTATTCTTTGTTATATTAAGGTATTGTTTACAAAGGTCAGATGTCATCAGATAGTCCTTTTAAATTGATATCTTCGTGAAACCATCAACTTAAGTCAACTGATAATATTTCGCTATCATCGATTGTCACCAGTGATATTTGTTTGATTGTTATAATGAACAAATCTTTGTTCAATGTTCCCTAGTTTTTCATTGGTTATTCTAGTTAAAGTCATTTATTGATGTATAGCATCTGTATCTAATTGATAGATCTTATTACTCTTCTTTGAGATTAAATGAAACCGTTTCTTATAGTTTGCACTACGGATTGACCTTGATCGAACAACCGTTGAAAACCAGAGAGTATTTGAACAGTTACTTTTTCTTGTTAGAAAACACTTCCATCAATGACCCTACCAAGAATCGAATCCAGGAGCTTCAAGCATCAGGAAGAGTGCCGAACTTGAAGTCTACTGAGTTAGTATCTCATAGTTTACACTTTTAACTTCAGTCATTATCATTTACTTATTAGTGATTGAACTCCGCCTGTTGAACCTTCGGGGCTACTGCCGGTCCCAAGCCCGGGTAAAGGAGGAGGGTTGGACATGGGGTTGGCGACCCCATTCCGTTGAAATCTCACTTGCCAAAAAAACGCTAACCAGAAAAGTTAAATCAAACCATTTTAACTCTGCCCTGGGAGTTGGAGTAGGAATTATGACGTCGCATGATGAAAGCCGAGTTCCCTCGGAAGTCACGAGACTGATGCCCCTTCTAACAACCAGAGCAACCATCTTTTAGGTACATGGAATGTTCGTACGTTGTGGGAGACTGGAAGACTATTTCAAGTTGCAGCAGAAATGAAAAGATACAACCTAAAGGTGCTTGGAATCAGTGAAACGCATTGGACACAGGTAGGACAAATGAGACTAGCTTCAGAGTAACTGCTGTTATACTCTGGTCATGAAGAGGAAAATGCTCCACATACACAAGGAGTTGCACTGATGCTGTCCAAACGTGCACAAAAGGCACTGATAGGATGGGAATCTCATGGACCCAGGATCATTAAAGTATCCTTCAAAACAAAGAAAGAGGATATTACAATGAACGTCATCCAATGCTATGCACCTACCAACAACAACAATGACGACGATAAAGATCAATTCTACGAAAGGCTGCAGTCAATCGTCGATAAATGTTCACCAAAGGATTTGACGATTCTTATGGGAGACCTGAATGCCAAGGTTGGCATGGAAAACACTGGATATGAAGACATCATGGGACGACATGGACTGGGAGAAAGAAACGAAAACGGTGAGAGATTTGCAAACCTATGTGCCTTCAACAAACTGGTCATCGGTGGCACAATATTCCCGCACAAACGCATACACAAAGCTACATGGATTTCACCGGATCACACTACTCAAAACCAGATTGATCATATCTGTATAAACAAAACGTTCAGAAGGACCATGGAGGATGTGAGAACCAAGAGAGGAGCTGATATAGCCTCAGATCACCATTTGCTAATCGCCGAAATCAAACTGAAACTAAAGAAGCACTGAACAACGGGGCAGACAACACCACAGAAGCTTAATACGGCCTTTCTTGGGGATACTGTAAAGCTCAACGAATTCAAGGTAGCCCTCACCAATAGGTTCCAGGCCTTCGAGGATCTACTCAATGGAGAGGAAGCAACATTGGAGTACAATTGGAAAAGGATTGAAGAGGCAATCACTTCAACATGTCACGAAGTTCTTGGTCAAAAGAAGTACCATCACAAGAAATGGATCTCTGTTGATACTCTCGCGAAAATTGAAGAAAGGGGGAACAAGAAGGCAGCAATCAATGTCAGCCGAACAAGAGCGGAGAAAGTTACCGCACAAGTTGCATACACAGAAGCAAACAGGGAAGTGAAGAAGAGCATCAGAGCTGACAAACGGCCAGTGTAGCAGCAGCCTCTGCAGCACCAGGTCTCAACATAAATAAAGGAAAAAGCGAAATTCTCCGATGCAACACAACATGTGTAGTGCCTCCACATATATTTCAGTTCTCTCACATCTAACTTGGTTAATCCCTTTCGATTAATTTATTTAACCAAGCCATTCGCCTAGCAACAACTTGTATGTACCATTGTTATTTTTTATTATCTGCTTTGTATGAGCTTATACGACTGAGCATTGCTTACGCTTACGCACTTACTCATCCTTTTCGCTTTAATGTTAATCTCTTAATATTCCCATGAACTCACATGATTTGTATCGCTTGCATTTGACCTTGTCAGTCATTCGTCGCTTTTATTCATGTGTGTGCATATCTATTTCGCTTGTCATATGTCTGTCTTATTATTGTCTGACTATATATTCTTAGTCATGCTCTATCTCTTTGAGTTGGCTCACTAGCCTTCTCCAATTCGCTTCGCTCATTCGCATATTCGCTCGCTAGTGTATCTGCTCGGTCTGTATGTGGTGTGCCTCGAATAAATGTATACGATACTTGGAGTTTATCTTCTGATTTATAAATCCAGCTTAAGAACACGCAGCCATCGGGCACACTACACATGCACCAACCAAATCACTCTTGATGGAGATGCCTTGGAGGACGTTAACACCTTTACATATCTGGGCAGCATCATCGACAACCAAGGTGGATCCGATGCAGATGTGAGGGTGCGGATTGGCAAAGCGAGGGCTGCATTTCTACAGTTGAAAAATATCTGGAACTCCAAACAACTTTCAACCAAAACCAAAATCAGGATTTTCAATACAAATGTCAAGACAGTTCTACTGTATGGATTGGAAACTTGAAGAACTACAAATAGCCATCATCCACAAGATACAGGTAGTCAATAACAGTTGTCTACGCAAAATACTTCGGATTCGTTGGTCAGACACTATCAGCAACAACTTACTTTCGGAGAGAACAAACCAGATTCCAGTGGAGGAGGAAATCAGGAAGAAGCGGTGGGAGTGGATAGGACACACTTTGCGGAAAGCACCTAACTGCGTCACGAGACAAGCCCTCAAATGGAACCCTCAAGGCAAAAGGAAAAGAGGAAGGCCAAAGAATACATTACGCCGAGAAATAGAGAAAGATATGAGAGGAATGAACAAACATTGGACAGAACTGGAGAGGGAAGCCCAGGACAGAGTTGGTTGGAGAATGCTGCTGGTGGGCGGCCTATGCTCCATTGGGGGTAACAGGCGTTAGTAAGTAAGTAAGTAAGTAAGTATTAGTGATTGGTTTTGAGAGATAATTCTCAGGATTCTAGTGAGATATTTTAAATGAAAGAGTTTAACTACATCACAAATGATAACGAATGTATAATAATGCGAATTAAATTCAAGTTAAAAAAATATAAGCAATTGTATACCAACTCAGTTGGATTCTCATCGCGAAACCTGAAGGTACTAGTGTGGTGCGCGCTACTTATAAGTAGTATATGACGCGAGTAAAAACGTAATGTCTGGCAGCAGAAGATGGGGAATATCAAGAAAGGAAGGAAGAGTGGGAACACAAAGGGATTTGTATGAAACGCATGAACAGTGAAACGTCAGACAATCGATTGATGTTTTGCAACAGGAACAGGTCAGTTCGATATGATGGATTGATATTTTGCAAATGAACGATTTATGATATAGTTTTCCTATTTTACCAATTAACTATGCAATTTTAGATAAATACAAACCGGTTGCCTTCACCTGTGTTACCCTTCACTACACTAGGTTCGGATATCTGATTGGGTTGTTGATGAGAACTTTTAGTAGCCTAAGATCTGACTCTTATATTTGTAGAAACAATTGAATATGCTTGTATGTGCAACGACGCTGATTAAAAGCCTAATGGAGTATATTTTGGATGAATTTTTTGTTCCATACATTCAGTATGTAGACAAACATAAAAATGTAAAGCGTAAAAGCAAAGTGATAGCGAGTAGGCCAACCCAATGAGGCATGACTAAGTATTTATAAAAATAAAATAAAAAATATAATCTCAATCGTTAGTTACTTCATATCCGGCCACGGAAGAGATAGGGGTGTCACGAATTTCTTCTGAACACATAAATTGGGGTTGAATGTACGTATTCCTATGGCTTCTGCAATGTGTAGGAGACGGGATCGAACTACGTTGGGAAATGATGGAGGTATACAAGATAGATCACCCGAAAAGATCTAGATTTATCTACAATGTGACAACTATCTACCAAGTGTGCTAAGATAGAACTGCGTATTGTTTTTGACTGACCCTTCGTAAACCATGCTGGAAGATGTTCACTCATTCGTTGGGTAAGTAATGTACACACTCAAGTAAAAACAATCAAGGTCACGGCAGAATGATCAATAAAGGCGAAATAAGTATAATTATTGTCTCGACAAAAATGTGTTGATTAGTTTGTCCAAAGACTAGGACAAACCATGTGGATTAGACACATCAATACGCATTGCGGGGTTGTTGTGAAGATTATTAAGTTACATTATTGAAACCATGGATCGATCAATGTTAGACCACTAATAGAAACCTGGAAGCACTGGACGGCCGGTATTGAACGGCGTTAATGTCTAGTGGTCTAACGGTTAGGGCGCTCGCGCACAATACCGAAGGTCCTGGGTTCGAATCCTGCGGGGTGCAGGAGTCGTGGATACGCACTTCCACTGATGAGTCCCATACCAGGACGAAACGGCCGTCCAGTGCTTCTTGCAGGTTTCTAATGGTGGTCTAACATTGATCGATTCATGGTTTCAATAATGTAACATCAATACGCGCCACAAGTCGTTGAATTTTTACATACTAAGATGAAGCAGCGTTTAGGACTTTCTGATTTACAAAGTATAATCTATCTACGTTTAATGTTTAATGTAACCAATAAAAAATTCCACAATCTCCGCCTACTGAATCATACATAGTAAGATATTTATTCTGTCTCCTCTTTTTTTTTTCTTAATAAACTACTTTTTGTTTTACTGCAGTTATAAAAGTTTAAAACATCAACCACATTTACAATGTGGTTTAATTCGTCTTATGGCAAAATTAACTATAGCTGGTGTTGATTTACAAGCACGTGATAAATTTGGTAATACTGCTTTACTTTATGCTGCTGCTGTTGTAAAATCAAATAATTTTACAGATAGTCATGTCAACAACTCATTAAACACAAACAAATCAATACATGATCAAGAAGTTGAAAGAGATGGTAAACATGAAGATAAGATGGTTTTGAATACAGTTGAGAAACCTACAGTTGATAAAACTACTATTGAAAATATTGATATGAATAAATCAATTAATAATTCAGTTGTCAATCGTGATGCTGTTGTAAATCAGGCTATAAACTACAATGAAATGAGTTTAAATACAAAGGTACCAATATCTATGTTGGATCATTCAAATAAGTCAGTAAAAACAAATGAATCAACTCATCCATATTTAATGAATGTACCAGATTTTACTGATCAACGTTTAATTTCTATTTTAATTCAATTAGGTAAATTTAATATTATCTTGTTGTTTTTTTTTGTTAGTTTAATTGAAATAATGGACATTGAATATTGAACATAATGAATTCTATTGGTAATGACAACACAACATTCTTGAACATCGTAGAGAATATATCAAGAAATGATTCATACAAATTATTGCGATCGTTAATATTATTTGACTGAGGAATATATCACCAGTTAAGAGCTTAGAATGAAGTAAAAATAGTTTCTCTTCTGGGATTATTTACTAATCAATCATAAGACAATGGGGTAATTCAGGAGAATCATTCTTATGTGAATCGATGAATAAAGACGGTTTACATGTTTGCTGTAACTATAGTATCCCATAATGTATATCTAATCAGCGTTTTAAACACCACATATATAATCTTTCATATATATATATATTGTATAGTACAGAAACTTGGAGAATGTTAAGTTCGTCACTAGGTACGCTTGAAGCTATTACGAGTTCACCTTAATCGATAAACGCGAACAAGACAATTACCAGCGTCCAGATAGGCTACCTTGAATCCCAAGCTGTAAACAGAAGGCTTTGTAAGCGTAGAAAGTATATTCTACAAACACCCAGCAATCACAATACAATCAAGCATACAACTCTCGTTTATTTACACATCATAGAAACGTCTTTGGGACAGTCGCAAAATTAGCACACTAAAATACACAGCAGCCAATCACAGCCATGGATTTTGCTGGTGGAAAATGAGATCTCCAGGTCAACTGATCAGCACATGCTGGCAAACGTGCAATCCAAAATAAGGCATTTATCAAGCGAGTTCTGGAGATCTGACATCCCCAACAGAGAACGATCAAAGCTCTCATCAACACGATACAGGTGTTTATGACCAGTTGTTTACGCAAAATACTTCGGATCTATTGACCAGACACTATTAGCACCAACCTACTGTGAAAGAGAATAAACCAGATTCCAGCTGATAAAGAAATCAGGAAAAAGCATTGGAAGTGGATAGGATATACATTGAGGAAAGCACCTAAATGTGTCTGTTACAAGACAAACCCTCACGCACTTGATATTCTCAAGACCAAAGGAGAACATGAAGATCAAGGAACAAATTAAGTCAAGAATTGGGGAGAGACATGAAAAGAGTGAACAGCGAACGGGTAGCACTAGAAAGGAAATCCCGTGACAGAGTAGATTGGAGAATAATTGTCGGTTGCCTATGCTCCATTAGGGGTAACAGACGTGAGTAAATTTATACAGCCTATGTTATTGAAGTTATTGATGGTCAACCAATAGGCCTGCTGTACATGCACATCGCTGCTTTGATAGGCAACGCAAGGATTCTCACTGTAGCCAACAGTAATCACCCCTGCCCTAATCAGGAACATACATGTTGTCCGGGTTGGTCTGCAGACAAGTTGGACATCCAAAAAGCACGCACACGAGCAGTGGCCCCCGCACGGGCACTTATGAATCAAGAGATCCCACCAACCAAACCACAGCCCACAATCCCCTATCGGCGAGGGCGGCAAGGCGGGCTTACCCATCCGGACATGGCAACCTGAAGTGGATTACCGAGCCACCCAAGCAGTACACTAACCAGCAGCCGTTCCAACCGTCTGGCCTCCAACTGCCCTGCGCTGAACAATCGACCGGAGTCCCCAAGGCCCCACATAAAGCTAAAGATCGAGTTTGTCCCACAAGGTCAGCTAGAACGCACACCTTTCCATGAGGAAGATGTCATGGACTCGACCGAGCGCAAGCACTCAGCCAAGCAGGGTTCATCCCACAGAAGTGGGCAGACATCATTGGTGTCCAGTACCCTTTCAGCACTGAAGCACCGGGACCCAACTGGAGACCCTTGTTTAAGGGGCCTCGACGCCAGTTCACACACAACATCGAGTGAAGCATCTAAGGGACAACCACGTAGGGTCGGCGTCAGTAGTCCAGGATGTCTGCGGCTGCTTCCCCGAACATAGGGTCCAGGGCCGCCCTCGATCATCCTACTACGTCCCTTTCGGGAATTTTCCTACGCTTAATGATCGGAACCCCCAGCGTTCGGAGCGACTTTAGCCGCAGCGATGTATCCACCACCACGTTGCCTAGCGGGACCACGAAGAGGTAGTCGCCACCACAACCTTCCCAAAGGCAGCACGTTGCTTAACCCGAGGCCAGCTCAGGCATTCGGCAATCCGCCCCTCATATGACGAGGCATTTGGCTACCTTAAGAGAGATTCATTGCTCAGTCATTTATAAGTTAAATTTAAGGCTATTTTATTAGCAGTAAGTTAATAAACTATGTAACATATCTAGATATAAGGAATATTTAGATGATCGCTGATGTTTAAAATGGTTGAAGTGTCCTATGTGTAAGATCGATGATATATATGCTTTTAATGCTTTCTAATTTTCTGATTTAAATCATGTGAACTAATGTGAACTTTCTTCAAATTATGAGTCATCTCCATATGACCTTCAATTCTTGTTCTGATAATAATAATAATCATAATAATGACAATAACTTATTGCCATTTTCTTCCTCTCTCCAAAAAAATCAATAAAATATTAGGTTCCGATTGTACCATTCTATGTAACAATGGTTATACTGTATGTCATGAAAATTATATACCAAAAGGTGCATATACAATGAAACGTAATATCCAATCAAGTTTATTGAAAACTCATTGGCAACATTCAAAATCATTAATAGAACATCCAGGAATTTGGCCAATTGTTGATCGATTAATCTATAGTATACAATATCATAAATCGAATGATATAATTCATTATTTTTATACAGAATTAGAAAATACAATTAAAGATAATTTAATTTGGTTAAAAGCCAAACGATCAGGATTAACTGTCATCGAATGGATTCATTCATTATGGAGTCATGATCATAATGATCATGATCAATGTACAATGGGGATACGTGAAAAATTAACAAATCTATTACAGTATTATGTTAGTTTAACTGATTTTGTAATTTATTCTATAGCTGGTGATATTGAGAAAATGAAACATTGTTTAGGTAGGTGGTGTCTTTCAACATGAAATATATATGTGTTACTTATTTACGTCTGTTACTCCTAGTACAGCATAGGCCGCCGACCAGTGATCTCTAAAGTATATATATATATTCTCTGAGCTGGATGATTTGAGTTTTGAAGCTTTTGCAACCATTGTGGACATTGTCATCAGTACATATTATGCAAAGAAGTCTGCTATGATGATCTTGTTCACATTTAACTAACAGCTAGTGCTGTTGTCTTGTGTGATCAGCTTGGTTTACAAGCTCATAGAACAATGGAAACGAAATTGAAGATGTAAATGACAGCAACCACTTATATTTCAGTTTCTCAGAGCAAATTGCTCGTCATTTGCAAAGAGATTCGAATAAATCACTGCCTTTTTTTGATGTACATGTAAATGATGTTGTGTAGAACAGCAGTCCCATGAATTGTAATGCTACCAAAACCCTTGTAGTGAACGAGAACACAGGCGGGAGCAACGGGATCGTATTTAACGAAAATTACAGAGTTACTCAGTAAAATAGGAAAACCATATCGTAAATCGTTAATTTGCAAAATATCAGTTCATCATATCGAACTGGACTGTTCCTGTTGCAAAACATCAATCCATTGTCACTATTCATGCATTTCATACAAATTCCATTGTGTTCCCACTCTTCCTTTCTTGATGTTCCCCCATCTTCTGCTGCCAGACATTACGTTGACACTCACGTCATATACTACTTATAAGTGGCTTACACCACACCCTCACCCTGAACTTTTAAACATTCTCTACCATACAACACTTTTTTCATTATTATTCTATCTAGAAAACCTTTGATTATAATGAATGGTCTCTTTCAAAAAATAATTCGACACTACTTTGTTATAGACTACTATATTTAGTAGTCAAATTAGCTATACATATATGTATGGTTGTACAGTTTAAATAAAGAGATTATGATGTTTGCAAAATGCGGGCATAAAACTTTATATCTAAAATAATCCATTACATAAATGAACAAAATGAAAAGATAGTACAATGCAACAGATTTTGTTGTCAATAATTCTCATCCACTTAAATTGTACAATCAATCACATTTAAAGATAAAGTAGACAATTATTGAATCATTTAACAAACTTACAAAAATATCCAAAAAAAGGCTTTCGAATTATGAGTTATAAGTTGAAGAAAAGGCTTATTTGTTGATTCTCTGACGGAAACAACTAATACTGAGCAGTGAAACGTCAAGAATTTAATTTCCTACTCATTGTGTTGCGTAATAGTCCTAAGGTCTATAAGAATTTAGAATATAATCTTTAGTTAGTATTTTGGGTACTGCTGATCAACATTGGTTGAAAAAACTGAAATGGTAATGTAGATTAAAATACTTTCACTATGGTTCTTCTTAAAAAAAATTTCAAATTTTCATTTCCAAGGTAAACAATAATCATTAGTAGAGCATTTAAGTTGGTATCTCAAGCAAGTCCCTATAGATAACCTTCTCTATTGCAAAGACAGTTAGATCATATGCTATTTCAAGGATAAAGAGTATGTGAAAAAAGCGTGGAGTTACACTGTTTGTGATCATATCATCCATCTAATCCATCCAAGATCTTTGTAGCTGGTTGGGAAAGCTTGTTTTGGGGAGTCGTGTAAAACCTTGATCGATCAGAGTTAGTTGTTAATACCATTCGATGCTGGCTCAGTGGTCCAAAGGTTAAGCTATTCACGCGCATGGCCGAAGGTCCTTGGTTTCATCCCTGTGAGTATAGGCAGTCTTGTATACTTGCTGCTGATGAGTCCCGAACCAGGATGAAACAGCCATCCAGTGCTTCGGGGTTTCTAAAGGTTATCTAACATTGATTAATTCATGATTTCAATGATAAATTAGATTGTCAAACACAAAATGTACTGTATGAATGATTGCTTTTCATTTGGACAACAGTTTGCATTACTTCCTAATGTTGGTTGGTGAACTTTAATTTACTGACTGTTATAAGTAGTTGACGTGGTGATTTATTTTGTCTGTTTTCCTTAGAGTAGATCAAATTTATATATATATGTACATATTTACACATTGAAATCACCAATCAATTATTGTTAGACCTGGAAGTACTGAAGGGCCATTTCGTCCCAGGTTGGAACTCATCAGTAGTGAGCATCCACGACTCGTGCTTCTCGCTGGATTCGAACTCAGGACTTTTGGTCTTGCCAGAACGAGACGTCCATCCATTGCTTCCAGGTTTCTTCGAATGGTGGTCTAACAATCATTGATTGATGATTTCATTGTGTAAAAACACTCATACACATAACTCTAGTTGAAAGAATATATATATATGTATAAAGAATAGTTTCTACTTGACTTAATTTTTTTATGTGTATTTTCATTTATTTTCACATTTAAAGCTATGGGCAATAGTCAATTGAAAGCTCAACTTCATATGAGAAAATTTCTAGTTGGTATTAATAATGATAATAATGGAAGAGCTAATTTTATATCACGTCCATTGTTAGTTAGTGTTATGGAATATTCTACAGCTAAAGTATTAAAACTTATGATACAATATGGAGTAAATTTAAGTGAATATTATACAGGTAAGTGAGTGAGTGAATGATAAATTCAATCAAAATCATCATTGTTCATAGTTTCAACTTGTAGGGTTTAAAAATAAGTGATCCAACAAAACTATTGGTCACACAATTACAATAAACCGTATGATTGAATGACATTAATTATTATGACTTCTTACAGTAAGTATAGATAAATAAAACTTGAAGGTAAAGTCATTAGTAATTAAAGACAGTGTTGGGGATGTTAGATCCCCAAAATTCGCTTGATAATGCCGTATTTTGGTTTTCACGTTTTGCCAGCATGGGCTGATCAGTTGACCTTGAGATTTCAATTCCCACCAGGAAAATCCATGGCTGTAATTGGCCGCTGTGTATTTTAGTATGCTATTTTCTTAACTGCCTCAAGGACGTTTCTATGTTGTATAAATAAACGAGAGTTGTATGCTTGATGGTACTGTGATTGCTGGGTGTTTGTAGAATATACTTTCTACGCTTACAAAGCCTTTGGTTACAGCTTGGTATTCAAGGTAGCCTACCTGGAAGCTGGTAATTGTCTCGTTCGCGTATATCGACTAAGGTAAACTCTTAATAGCCTCAAGCATACTAAGTGACGAACTTATCAGATAGCTAGATGTTCGGTACTTCCTGAATTGACCAGTGTTAGACCACCATTAGAAACTTGGAAGAAGTCATGATTAGTAGAGTTCAACCGTGTTTAGGTGTAGACAGTAACTACCGAAGACAGTGTATGAGGTTAGGCAAGACAGTGAATTGTTCGAAGTTAGACACTAACACTAGATATCGCCTCAGTGGTCAAGAGGTGTTTATGAACAGTTGTCTACGCAAAATGTTTCGGATTCGTTGGCCAGACACCATCAGCAACAGCGTACTGTGGGAGAAAACAAACCAGATTCCAGTGGAGGAGGAAATCAGGAAGAATAGGTGGAAGTGGATAGGACACACATCACGGAAAACACCTAACTACATCACGAGACAAGCCCTCACATGTAAACCTCAAGGCAAAAGGAAAAGAGGAAGGTCAAGCAACACATTACGCCGAGAAATAGAGAAAGACATGAGAAGAATGAACAAAAATTGGACAAAATTGGAAAGGGAAGCCCAGGACATAGTTGGTTGGAGAAAACTGGTGTGCGGCCTATGCTCCATTGGGGGTAACAGGCGTAAGTAAGTAAGTAAGTAAGTAAGGTCAAGAGGTTAGGCATTCGCGTTGAAGACTGAAGGTCTTAGGTTGGAATCCCTCGAGGTGCAGGAGTCGTGGATGGCGCACTACTGTTGATTCTCTCAAGAATATTCATTCTTGAAGAGAGTAAATTTTCCTATTAAATTCAACAGATTTCCAATAGTCATACAACTAAACAATCAAAACAGATTAAAAGTAAAGATTTTATGTTCAAGGTGAAATAGCTATTCCAACGCTAAGAAGTTACTCGAAAGAAAATTGTCTTTTAACTACAAATACAATAAATAATTTTCATTCATTTGTATTCACTACATTTCATCAGATCGGATTTGATTGTAGTTGATATTAATTAGGTAATTTTCGTCTTTAATTCAAAACATTCCTGATACATTTACAGACCAGGGAGCACTAAACATCTTCCTTTCCACCTTAATTTGAAATACTCTATAATGATGCTCATTCTTGACCTCTCTGGAGAATGAACTATATTCCTACAGGTTTCACTATGAGCTTTCAATTATTATTAGGCCAACAAGTTGGCATTCAATAGTCTACAGATTAAAATCAAATCAAATCTCAGCATAAAATGACGTCGTCACTGACAATACCCAGTCAGTTAGAGTGTTAGGATACTCATCCATTGTCCTAAGATAATTGTTTGTAAGTCTAATTCTATTGGTCAATCCATATTGGTCGTCCTAAGTATCAATGTCACAGACTTCAATGTAGGTTCCTATTAGACCAAACTGTATAAATACGCATTATCTGTAACGTTTTATGGTCCGGATCCTCTTCCGGACTCAGACCTCGTACTTTCTGGATGCTTGTAGAATACACGTTCTACTTCATATCAGTCTTCTTTTACTCAATGGTGAGTAGCCTTTCGTGTCGCCGGATCCTCAATTCTAGCTCACATTTTCCGACTAAGGTAAACTCGAAATAGTTCAAGCATATCAAATGACGTGTTTACATGCATTTATAACACAGAGCTTTCCATCAGAACTTGAAATTATTTTTAATTTTTAAACTGGTCACAAAATCGCACTTTTGATGAGAGGTTTTGTCGTAGTCAACACATCGGGATCGATATTTTTCAAAGAGAGATTTTTCCGTATTCAATTGCCAAGTGTGTGTGCGTGTATGAGTGTGGTCATTTTATTCTAAGAACAATTGATCGTTTTTCGCATTTTTACTTAGTTAAAAACACGTAATACAGCTCAACTGTCAAGTATATGTCAATCCATTGCTCTTACATTCATAAATTTTTAATAAAGACTAGTGATACTACTTAAATATCAAACATTAAGTAGTTTAAACAAGATTTGAAACTGAAACGTAGCTTGAGGAACTAGGATGTGATTGGTCACTGACAGAAAGACACTCAACCCACTATCTTTTAATGAGTGATTTTCTTCTTCTTATAGATTTCTGCTCTAGAATAATTGGATACCGACCTCTTATAACTGTTAATGAAGTATTTTTTTAGCCTACACCTCGACTCTATACTTTTTGTTCGTGAACCTTGTATACCTATCTAGTAGAACCTGATCCAAGTCTGTTTATTGCCTATCGATCGGGTTTGGTATAATCTCGGTCAGCGGTAATATTATCGAGTCACGGTTGTTTATTGTAGCAAACATAGAACATTTTATTCCATTGTTATAGGAGAACATGAAAATTGATTTCTTGAAACACCAGATTACTTACTATTCCACTATCATAAAACGCGATTGAAACATGGTGTAATCAACAAAATAATGTTCACGCCAAATGTAAACGGTTGATAATCAGGCATTATTGAAGGACATTTGTTAACTCACAGTAAAATTGAGATCAGGATTTATATGCTTCTATTAGTAGGTTTGATACCTTTGAGTTATCTGGTTAAGATCCAATGGTTCACATTTTATGCTTTAACTTTGATCAATAAAATTTCTCAGAGAACATTATAAATTAGACATGATCTTCTGTGCATAGTTTAAATAGAGTTGACATACTTTCTCATTTACTTACTCACTTACTCCTGTTGCTCCTAATGGAGAGTAGGCCACCGACCATCATTCTCCAACCTATTCTGTCCCGGGAACTCTTTTCAAGTTCTAACCAAATTAGTTTTTCTGGTTAGCGTTTTTTTGGCAAATTAGTTTTTGAAGGAATGGGGTCGCCAACCCCATGTCCAACCCTCTTCCTTTACCCGAGCTTGGGACCGGCAGACATTAACACCTTTACATATCTGGGCAGCATCATCGACAATCAAGGTGGATCCGATACAGATGTGAGGGCGCGGATTGGCAAAGCAAGGGCTGCATTTCTACAGTTGAAAAATATCTGGAAATCCAAACAACTTTCAACCAAAATCAAAATCAGGATTTTCAATACAAATGTCAAGACAGTTCTACTGTATGGAGCGGAAACTTGGAGAACTATCAAAGCCATCATCCAGAAGATACAAGTGTTTATTAACAGTTGTCTACGCAAAATACTTCGGATTCGTTGGTCAGACACCATCAGCAACAACGTACTGTGGGAGACAACAAACCAGATTCGAGTGGAGGAGGAAATCAGGAAGAAGCGGTGGAAGTGGATAGGACACACACACTGCGACAGGCACCTAACTGCGTCACGAGACAAGCCCTCACATGGAACCCTCAAGGCCGAAGGAGAAGAGGAAGGTCAAAGAACACACTACGCCGAGAAATAGAGTAAGATATGAGAGGAATGAACAAACATTGGACAGAACTGGAAATGGAAGCCCAGGACAGAGTTGGTTGGAGAAAACTTGTGGGCGGCCTATGATCCAATGGGGGGTAACAGGCGTAAGTAAGTAAGTAGTCTAACTAAATGCTGTTCATTATTTTCATGTCTCTCACTAATTCTAGACATAATGTGTTCCTTGGTCTTCTTATTCTCCTTTGATCTTGGGAATTCCAAGTGAGGTTTCGTCTTGTGACACAGTTTGGTGCTTTCCTCAATGCATGTCCTATCCACCTCCAGTGCTTTTTCCTGATTTCGTTTGCTGGAATATCTAGTTTGTCCTCTTCCACACTAGATTGTTATTGATAGTATTTAAAATGCTTTTCGTACATAAAAATAACCAATACATTTCATAAGAAATAAAACGAAACATTTTCTTGACAATTTTCCCTTGATCTATTTAATTTTTTTCTTCAGAAACAAAACCATTTGGTCCAGTTGCATTTTGGAGTTTTAAAAATTTTGTCAGTCTTCAACACACTTATGAAATAATCAAAGAAGTACCAATTCATTTAAGAGATTCAAATGGATCTTCATTACTTCATTATGCAACTAGCCTTTTTCATACAATACATCCTGAAGATTTGAATGGATTTCAATGGGCAGCGTTAATTTTAGCTACACTATTAAAACGAGGTGTGAAAATTTATTATAGAGATATTTGGCAACAAACTGCACGAGATATTTTGAATAGATCCAAACAGAATTTAACAAATTTTCGACCATTCGAAGAAGAGGTAATCAATTATACACATATTCATTGTAGAGTTATGGAAATTATTGTTTTACATTGAAATCATGAATCAGTTATACAGCCTCGACGAACTTTGTTTTGTCGTGTAGGAGTAGGTTGGAAGAAAGTTAGGGGCGGCCAGACCAAAACATGGCAGAAATCCATGAAGTCATTGACGAGTGGACTGAGCCATGTCAGTAGTTTTCGACTACCTGGTTGGGGTCCGCGAGATGATAATAATCGATGGTTAGATACCCTGAATGACATATCTCAAAACCGTTTGCAATGGCGCCGGTGTATTTATTCTTTGTGTTCTCTCAAATCCTAATCTTCTGGATTCTTTAACACCTCTAGTTTTGACTTTCCAAACTTTTCTCACTGAATCATACTTCTTGAATAATATCTTCTAATCCTAACCTCTCCGATTTCTTCAAATACCTTTACTACCTCTTCTACTATTGGATTTGAATAGACAATTATATCTCTGTGCTGATGTGGTATGACAACATGAACTGATGTACTTACGTACCAAGTTCTACGTTGCATCTGACTGACTGACTGACACAACCATCATTAGAAACCTAGAAGCTGAAGAGTCTAATGCTACGACGAAACGGCCGTCTAGTGCTTTCAGGTTTCTAATGGTAGTCTAACAATGATCGATTCATGTTCAATGTAAAATTAATTATATCTATCATACCATTTTATGTTGCTGATTGCAATGTATCATTAATGAAGTTTTATACAATTTTTACACTATACACCAGTGAAAACTTATCATCTAGTTTAAACCAATAGGAAACCTTGTTTGGTACAGATTATAATTAAACAAAATATCTTCTTATGTGGTGCGCACTACTTGTAAGTAGTATATGAAGCGACTGTAAACGTAATGTCTGGCAGCAGAAGATGAGGGAAGATCAAGAGAAAGGAAGAAGAGTGGGAACACAATGGAATTTGTATGAAATGCATGAATAAGTGAAGTGTCAGTCGTCACCAGTGTTTCTGAGTTTTTAGGTTTGTCGATAAAATAAACTGTTAAACTGAAAAATATTTTATTATTTACAAAAGAAAACAGGAAAGTTACTTCTTGACTTAGTTGTAAAATTTCAACCCTTGAATACTGATAAATTTTTATCAGGAATGATAATCAGATCGTTTGTAGTTTGTTGTTCATTAATTTTACAATAAATTCATTTTACCAAGTAATATTATTCTAAAATTCACCCAGTATTTATATCTATTATCCCTAATGGAGCATAGGCAACCGACTAGTATTCTCCAACCTACTTTGTTCTGGGTCTTCCTTAGCAGTTCTATCTATTTGCTATTCATTCTTCCCATGTCTGTCTTCCGTTCTCGGCATATTGTGATTCTCTGTCTTCCTCTTTTTCTTTGGTCTTTAGGATTCCAAGTGAGGGTTTGTCTTGGGTGCTTTCGGTAATCCGTGTTCTATCCATCTCCATTGCCTTTTGCTTATTTCGTGGTCTGCTGGAATCTGGTTTGTTCTCTTCTACAGTAGGTTGCTGGCGATGGTGTCTGGCCAATGTATCTGGAGTGTCTTAAGTTGAAAACTATCTTGATGTTCTCAGTGAAAATTCTGACTTTGGTGTTGGTCAATAGTTGTTTTGAGTTTCAAATGTTCTTCAACTGTAGAAATTCTGCCCCTTCCGTGCCTTCACATCAGCTTCAGATCCACCTTGCTTGTCAATGATGCTGCTCAGATATGTAAAGGTTTTTACGTCCTCAAAGGAATCTCCATCAAGAGTGATTTTGTTGGCGCATGTCGTATTATTGTATTGGAGAATCTTCCTGTTACCCTGTATATCTTTTGGCGATGTTAGATCCCCAGAACTCGGTTGATATATGCCTTATCTTGGATTTCACGTTTGACAGTATGGGCTGGTCAGATGACCTTGAGATTTCATTTCCCATCAGGGAAATCCATGGCTGTGATTGGCTGCTGTGTATTTTAGTGCGCTATCTTCGTAACTGTCCCAAGGACGTCTCTATGATGTATAATAAATAAACGAGAGTTGTGCGCTTGATTGTACTGTGATTGCTGGGTGTTTGTAGAATATACTTTCTGCGCTTACAAAGCCTTTGGTTACAGCTTGGGTTTCAAGGTAGCCTATCTGGACGCTGGTTCATTGTCTCGTTCGCGTTTATCGACTAAGGTGAACTCGTAATAGCTTCAAGCGTGCTTAGTGACGAACTTAACAATATTTTGAGACCTACTGCTGCAGAGGCTACTGATACACTGACCATCTTCATCTGCATTTGTTGTTTGCGCCAGCTCAGTGGTCAAGAGGTTAAGCGTTCGTGTGCAAAACCGAAGTTCTTGGGTTCGATTCCAACCTGTGAAGTCGTGGATACGAGCTGCTGATGAATCCCATACTAGGACGAAATGACCGTTCAGTACTTCCAAGTTTCTAATAGTGGTTTAGCTTAGATCAGTTTGTAATTTCAACTACGAAAATTCCACTATCTTCCTCATTCTAATAGTACACATATATCTTGCACCATATATCAAGGGTATGATACATTTATTAAAATATTGTATGCCGAAAATTTGATATTGTACTAAACACATTATACTGAAAAAATCGATTATTTTGATTACAATAGTTAAACAATTCAATAAGAACATGTACTAACGGAGAATGATTAATACTACAATCCTGAATAACAAACAAACTCCGTCTTGGGCTCTTCTGGGGCTATTGTCGGTCCCAAGTCAGGATAAAGGAGGAGGCTTTGGCTTGGGTTTAACGACCCCATCTCGTAGAAAACTAACTTGCTAAAAATAACACTAACTAGAAAACATAATGCAGACCATTTTTACTCTGCCCTGGGAGTTGAAAGGTCTTCTCTCAGAAGAGTTATGATGTCTCATAATGAAGGCCGAGTTCCTTTGGAAGTCGGATACCCAACCAGAGCAACCATTTATTTTAGGTACATGGAACATTTAAACATTGTAGTAGACCGGAAGACTATTCCAAGTCGTTACAGAAATAAAGAGATACAACCTGAAGGTGCTCGGAATCACTGAAACGCATTGGACACGATTTTCGACAGCTGAAACTAACTAGTAAGATTAACAAACTATTTCAATACGACTATTTTATTTCTTCAGAGATTTGTTTTATGTTTATGTTGTTTTTTCTTTGATGTACAAATCTACAGCCTCCAGATCCTTTTGAAATGTATAATATTACAAATTCAGAAACTGGGAAATTATTAACTGCTGAACAATTAATTGATCGTCGTGTAGCTTTTCTAGCCTCGATTAATCATTTACAATCTATGGAAGATCTAATTCTCTATGGATATAATGATATACATTTAGCTAATTCTGGTCCTGTACGTTTTAAATCGGCTAGATTATTAGCTGAACAAAAAGGACATCATGAAATGTTATTGTTATTAAATACTGTGGATCGATATCGATCCGAAATGATGGAAGTTCATAAGACAATTATAACTGGTGATTATCATCGATTTCTTCGTTTAGTTAATACAAAAAGAGTTATTATGAGTAAGTATGATTATTATTATTATTATTTTTGTTGTTGATGATATTAATTTTAAAATCAACGATTTTCTCAGCAATACTCAATAAACGACTCCACTGGGAACTGAACCCATGAGATTCAGACACACTGTATTAGCATCCTATATGGTACATATTTCCACCTTCAAATAATTTGTAATTTGGTGTGACAACAATTTTCAATAAAGTTAGGGATAAGCACTGTTGAAGTGTCCTATATGATGACGAAATAAGTGTTGAATGCACCCTGATTTTTAGCGGTTGTCTGAATTAGCTAAGTTCATGATCTCATTAACAGTAAGTATTATCGGAAATCATCTTTGATAATAGAGTAAAATTCAATATTTGTTGGATAGATCTAATATAGCCACACTAATAATCAATAATTATTCTAAACATTGACCATTTCTATATACTAATAAAAAGGTTGTTTAAAATAAATCCTATGATCAATTTTCAATATTTACTTAACTATAGATGAAGATGAATATTGTTATGGAGTTTCGTTCTATGAGCTGGATATTTTGGTTGTGGAGGTTTCATTGTTCTTACGAACAATATCATCAGCACAAACTTCAGATTGAAGCGAAGTATTCGAATTTCTTCTTGATTAAGATCGAGGTTAACAGAACAAACTACGGGTCAAACGTGGAGAAGTTCAAATACTTACTTCACTTCTATCTGAAGTTTTTGCCGATGTTGTTATTCAGAAAAACAATGAAAGCTCCAGAACCAAAACATCCAGTTCAGACAACAGAACTCCGTCACAATCATCCAACTGAGCTTCTACAAATTTTCTCTATCATATCTATATAAATATGGTTCCACATTTTGGAATTTAGTTTTGTTGGGGATGTTAGATCCCCAGAACTCGCTTGATAAATGCCTTATTTTGGTTTTCATGTTTGCCAGCATGGGCTGATCAGTTGACCTTGAGATTTCATTTCCCACCAGCAAAATCCATGACTGTGTAATTTAGTGTGCTATTTTCATAACTATCCCAAGGACGTTTCTATGATGTATAAATAAACGAAGGTTGTGTACTTGATTGTATTGTGTGCTTGCTGGATGTTTGTAGAATATACTTTCTACGCTTACAAAGACTTATTACTTCCGCTTGGGTTTCAAGGTAGCCTACCTGGATGCTGGTAATTGTCTCGATCGCGTTTATCGACTAAGGTATACTCGTAATAGCCTCAAGCATACTTAGTGACGAACCAAATAACTTTACTATGAGAATTATTTAAATATGTAATTCAACCATTCTTCATTAAATATCATCATTACTCTTTTTATGTAATCGTACACAAACTGATAGAGACAGTCAAATATGATGCTATAAGTAATAAATTATTGATGTTAGCAGTCCAGAATAAAATTTGTGTCTTCATTTATAAATTAATTTTGAGCATGTAACAAATAATGCTGATCACAAACTTAAGCCTTTATTTCAAAATTGAACTATTTGACACAGCTTTAAATGGTTAATTAATGTATGCATTTTCAACATATTCATTGATTTTAAACTAGAACTTCAAGAATATATTGAGATAAGTCACTAATGAACTTACTATCATAATTTAGTCAAAGTGGTTTTGTAGAGATTGGTTTGATTTTTGTGGGTTTTATTCATCAAAGGCTGGTTTCAAATGAGGTACTGTAGTGAAGGAGAACACAGGTGAAGGCAAACAAATTGTATTTAACGATCATTACAGAGTTACTCAATAAAATAGGAAAACCATATCGTAACCGTTAATTTGCAAATCTTCAATCCATCATCAATCCATTGTCTGACATTTCACTATTCATGCGTTTCATACAAATTCCATTGTGTTCCCACTCTTCCTTTCTTGATGTTCCCCCATCTTCTGCTGCCAGACATTACGTTTACACTCGCGTCATATACTACTTATAAGTAGCGCGCACCACAGTACCACTAAAAAGCAGGTAATAATTACTAGCTATTTCGTCCTACTATGATATTGTCAGTAGTGCAAACTTATGATCTCGCTTGTAGCCCGTCTATGGACCCACAGATCTTGAAGCAATTATTTAGCCATCAAAAACCGATGGGTCTATATCGACAATCACTCTTCTGACATTTTTAAATTTTACCTGTCAGTATGTCTCACTAGTAACTTAGGAACTATTTAGAGTACTTCACTAGATCTGCCTTCGTTTATGAAAAAGCTGCTCCATTATTGTTTACGAGTAGCATTTTAATGACTGTAATTATAAAATGGATAAGTAAATTTCAAACATGTCACAAACGAAACATGGTACTGAATAAACTTATCCTTATAAAACCTTTTTTAGTAAACTCTAATAGTTAGAACAACACTAGTAAGTTATTTCAGGAAGTTGTAACTGATGAAGTTGAATGGATATCTATTCTGTATCAATGTTTCAATTAAAAACCTAACTTTATCTAATATGGATACATGTTAGATTTTGCTTAAGCAAGTCCTCATGTGTAATTGAAATAAGATATGAACGATGATTAATTGAGATATTTGAAACAACATACTTGGTTGTTCATCTTATCACATTAGAAAATCTATATAAGAACAGTAATAATAAAAGAAGCTTTCTAAACTTCAGTTGAATGCATTCTATAGCGAGATGGTGTAGATATACAATAGCTTGAAAATCATCTAGTTTGTTCTAGTATCACCTTATTACAAGTCTAACTCCTTTCTCTCTTTATCAGTTGTAAGTATTTATATCTTCCTCGCTTTTAATGTTGAGGTCTGCAATCGATCACTCGTTATTGGCATACGTGCATCCTATGTGGATCGCCTTGGTATTGACTCTTAATTACAAGATTTGGTGGAATTAAGTTGTTGAATATTAAATCAATGATGCGTACTTTGCTCTATTTTGGATTTGTCAGCTAAATTTACCTGCTGAGTTTGTTACTTGTTACTGCAGAATAGGCTGCCGACTAGTATTCTCCAGCCTTCTGTGTTCTGTGCTTCCCTTTCTAATTCTGTTCAACTTTTGTTCATTCTTCTCATGTCTTTGACTATTTCTCGGCGTAATGTGTTTCTTGGTCTTACTCTTTTCCTTTGTCCTTGAGGGTTCCAAGTGATGGCTTGTCTTGTGATGCAGTTGGGTGCTTTTCGTAGTGTGTGTTCTATCCTACCGCTTCTTTCTGAGTTCTTCCCCAGCTGGAATCTGGTTTTTTCTCTCCCACAGTACGTGGTTGCTGATGGTGTCTGGCCAACGAATCCGAAATATTTTGCGTAGACAACTGTTAATGAATACTTGTACCTTCTGGATGATGGCTTTGATAGTTCTCCAAGTTTCCGCCTCATACAGTAGAACATTTGTATTGAAAATTCTGATTTTGGTGTTGGTTGATAGTTATTTTGAGTTCCAGATGTTGTTCAACAGTAGAAATGCTGTCCTTGCTTTGCCGATCAGCGTCCTCACATCTGCATCGGATCCACCTTGTTCGTCCATTGTCAATTGATACACCTTGATCGTCAGTACTGAGTTTGAGTCGGCATGCAAACATTAACAATAGAATCAAAGCATATCCAGCTGATGTGTCCCAAATAGAATATATATGCCTCTTGAATTTCACTGATAGTCACTATCCAACTTCACTGACTATCTTGAATGATTTCATAAAATACATGTGTATTTTTAAAACAAAGTGCATATATATGCATATTATTATTATGTTCGTCACTAAGTATGCTTGAGGCTTTTACGAGTTTACCTTAGTCGATAAACGCGAACGAGACTTTTACCAGCATCCAGATAGGCTACCTTGAATGCCCAAGCGGAAGTAATAAATCTTGGTAAGCGCAGAAAGTATATTCTGCAAGCACCTAGCAATCACGATACAATCAAGCACAAAACTCTCGTTTATTTATACATCATACAAATGTCCTTGGGACAGTTACGAAGATAGCACACTTAAATACGGAGCAGCAAATCACAGCCATGGATTTTCCTGGTGGGATAAGAAATCTCAAGGTCAACTGATCAGCTCATGCTGGCAAACGCGGAATCCAAAACAAGGCATTTAACAAGCGAGTTTTTGGGGATCTAACATCCCCAATATATATATATGTTTAGAGAGAGAGAGAGAGAGAGAGAGAGAGTATCCTACAGCTAATCTCATTCAATGTTCCACTGTTCAGTTTTCTTTTACTTTGTGCATAGACGTGTTTAGAATACAAAATGAAATTGTATTCTTATAAACATGATGAATAAATTTGTTAATATCTCTGTTTACATTATCAAAAAGTGCATAAGTTAAAGATGCAATATATATTTTTTAAATAGACCATTCAATAATCAATTTATTATTACCTGTTAAAACTTGTTCTTTTCATGTCATAGTCTTGTTTGACAAATAAAAAAAAACCAAAATGTGATCGATCATATTGGAAATAAAAGGTAACGGGTCTGGTCTATACAAAGTATGAATTTAGAAAAAGAACGATTATAACTGTATAATTGGTATATTGTATTTATGGAAAGAATTCACCATTTAGAAAGTGAACTTTATATCATGAGAAAGGTTAAAGCATACTTTATTGACGAACTTCAAAAACATTTCAAACATTGGAAGAACATAGTCCACTTTTAGCCACTTAAAGTGTAAAAGGCGTAAATACGAATCATGTTATATTAAAACCCGAAAGAGGCTAAGCTTAAGATTCAGGTCTTAATAAATTTTGAATAAGATTCGGGCTATACGAGACCTTGGAACCCTCAAGGCTAAAGGAAAAGAGAAAGGCCAAAGAACACATTACGTTGAGAATCGGAGACAGACATGAGAAGAATGAACAAAAATTGGACAGGACTGGAAAGGAAAGCCCAGAACAGAGTAGGTTGTAGAATACTGGTCAGCGGCCTACGCTCCATTTGGGGGTAACAGGCATAAGTAAGTAAGTAAGTATGGGAGAGAATACATATCTGTGAATTTGTAGCTCATCTACATTTTAATATTCAATATATATGCAATATCTATCCACTCAGTTAGTGAATAAATGCTACATTCTAAAAAGACAAGTTTCATTCGAGATTTCATTTGAAGCTCTAACTCTCATTTTCCGTGCTTTTTCACACACATCATCTTGATATACTCCATAGTATTGTGTTTTTAGAAGACAGATAGATTTAAATGACTAAAATGAAATTCCCAGTGGAAATTATGCCTTTTATATGCAAAACTGACATATTGTTATAATATACACAGAAAAATGTTCGGAAATGAAAAAAAAAAGATATCGAACAATTTTTTGAATATTGCTAAAGGATAGTTGACCTCAAACCGAGAGTTATACGTCACCGCATTTTGTTGAAGTACTGTTTAGTTTTAGCTGATAACAACTATCTAACGTAACATTGAATGAAGTACTCCGTCCATTTTGAGCATATAAACTCCTAGGTATGAATATATCACTTAATGAAATTCTAATTGAAATTCAGGTTTTAAGATTGTGTATATATAGAGCACTCAGTTATAGGCTAATACTAGTTGACAAAATGTTGTTTAATACACAAAGTGAGTGATATTGAAACCTGACCCAGTAGTTAAGTTCAATAGCTAATTTGATTAAGAGTTAAGGACATCAATATTGTTCATTGAGAATTTTTGACCTAAAAAGTTTTAAATCGAAGTGTTATTAATTAATGCCCTTAGTATAAGATAATCATTTCATATATATATTTTATATTATGATGTACTTACTTACTTACGTCTGTAATCTCCAATGAAGCATCGACCACCGATTAGTATTCTCCAACTTTTAGTCTGTTCTGGGCCTCCCAATCCAGTTCTTCCAATTGTTGCTCATTCTTCTCATGTCTGTCTCCATCTGTCGACGTAATATGTTCCTTCGCCTTCCTCTTTTCCATTGACCTTGAGTGTTCCAAGTGTGGGCTTACGTTCTAACGCAGGTGGGTGCTTTCCTCAATGTGTGTGTCCTAATATTAATTATGATGTACGCTATAAATAACTAATGACATGATAATTGAATACAATATTTTATTTTCTAGGTCGTGACTGGAGAGAACGCTCTCTATTACATCTTGCAGTTATTTATTATAGAACAGAGTTCGTTCTTCATCTAATTGAACTATGTCAAGAACTAGTTAACTGTCAAGACTGTCTTGGACGTACTCCCTTTCATTATGCAATTTGTTTACCTGACAACAGAAGGTTATTCTTAAAAATGGTTTCAAAATCTGGAGGTATCAATAAACAGATCAAGGATCTGGTATGCTTTCAGATTAACTACTAATGAATGATTCAGTTATTTCTATATTATTCAATTCATCTTAAAAAGTTTACATCACAGACATATACAATGGATAATACGAATTGGCATGGGACTCCTCAGAAGTGGGCAACTATGAACCTACTAAGGATCAATTCAAATGATCTGATCTTCAAAAACTATAATCTCGCCATACATTCCGATCCCGAGCTCTTCTCTCCAGTAGTAACTTCTGAGCAACACTCCGTTGCATTCTACTTAGATTCTATGTTGCAAGTAATATCCACCACATAAGGACCTTCATATCTTGCAATAACTTCGTAACCCTCAAAACCTCCCCGTTGTAATAATAGTTATTTGTCCGTTGGGGATTAGTTTCAACTGGAGATTCTCAAAGTTCTAATCAGAATCCATGATCATTGGAGTTCAAACATATCTGGTGGTGTGAGATAGTTACCCACACATGATAACAGAGAATATCTGCACAATATCGCAAATTCATTGGGTTTCTAACTTAGTTGCTCAATAGTTAAGTTCTCACTGAAAGACCTGAAGGTTCTATGTTTCATCTTCAGTGGCAAAGTTGTGGATAGTTTGAATCATCAATCAGTCATTGTTAGACAACCATTAGAAACCTGGAAGTATTGGACGGTGAATGCGCACTGCTGATGAGTACCATATAAGGACGAAACGGCGTTGAATAACGTGTAATACAGTGACCATCGTCTATCGATATCGCTTGACTTGTTCATTGATCATTCACATCATAACTTCCCATAGATTTAGTTAAAAGCAGGACATATGAAGACATAAGAATGCACGTTTTGTCCTAGTTAGGACTCATCAACTGGGTTTGCTTATATCTCAAAGTTGATGTACACTTCGGTACTTGAACCCAGTACCGTTTGTTTCAAACCTCATCGCGTTACCCTCTTAGCTAAGGATTCCAGATAGCCATTTACTTAGGCAACGGGTGTGATAGTCATATCTAAAAGGTTTGGATAATGTAGGTGTCTATGTTATTCTCGTATCAATACTACAGACACATTTTAACGTCGAGTAGTACTTGATTTCTTTTGAAGTTATAATTTAATATAATGGCTGACCGAGACTATGGTATAACAGTGTGGAGCAATATAATTAGAAGGATTGTCCCCCTGAAGCCCCTCTGGGGCTACTACCGGTCCCACGCCCAGATAAAGGAGGAGTGTTAGGCTTGGTGTTGGCGACCCCATTCCGTAGAAAACTAACTCGCTAAAAAAGCGCTAACCAGAAAAAAATAACTCAAAATAATCATTGTCTGACAGTGTCTTTTATCAGTCAGTCAGTTGCAACATAGAACTTCGTACGTATATACATAAATTCATGTTGCCATACCACATTAGCACAGAGACGCAAATGTCAAATCAAATCCCATAGTGATAAACATAGTGGGGGTATTAATGGTAATGAAGAAGACTAGGGTTAGTAGATATTATTCAAGAAGTACAATTCAGTGAGATAAGGTTAGAAAGACAAAGGTAGAGGTGCTGACGAATCCAGAAGATTAGGATTTGAGAGAGCTCAGAGAATGGAGGCACTTGCGCCATTGCAAACGATTTTGAGCCATGTCGTTCAAGGTCTCTAACCATCGATTATTATCATCTCGCGGACCCCAACCAGGTAGTCTATATCTACCAACATGACTCAGTCCACTTGTCAGTGACTTCATGGATTTCTGCCATGTTTTGGTCTGGCCGCCCCTAGCTTTCTTCCAGTCTACTCCTACACCACAAAACAGAGCTAGTCGAGGCAGTCGATGGTTAAGTATTCCTAACACATGTCCCAACCACCTCAACTGATGAAGTTTCAATACTTCATCTATTGATCTGCCATCCTTACCTAGTACTCTTTTCCTAACGACAGCATTGCTTACTCGGCTGTCCCACAATATACGAGCAATGCTTCGAAGACACCTATGATCGAATACTAGTAACTTACAAACATCTTATACCCTTAATGGCCATGTTTCGCATCCATATAGCAGAACGGAGCGAACTGCTGCGCAGTACACCCGTCCTTTGGTTAGCGAACGGATATTTCGCCTACGCCATAAGTGACGCAGGTTGGCAAAAGCCAATCGAGCTTTCTGTATCCGTGCTGAGATTTCGTCAGTCACTAGGCTATCAGCGCTGATGAGACTCTCAGATAAGTGGAGTGATCAACACGCTCGACTACTTCACTCCCTAAATGTCTTTTATGGTTTATCATAGATTTACAAGTATAAACTATATTCACTTGTACAACGGACTGCTTTAGCCTATTACAACTTTCAGTATTCATACCTTGAATATATCAAATGTTTGTTATCATTTGACAATATGCTTGATTTTATATGACAACATCTTTGTAATGACATCCTTTTCCCTAAATCCCACTACTTTTTTTTTCTCCCCTAATATTTTTAAGCGAAATATTTCAATTTATCAATATGGTGAATTATATGAACGAAAAATACCTGAATATCAAAATTTAATTCATTTAGAAAAATCAATTGAACTGGTGGAATCAAATTGGCCAAATCAACGACTTTGTTCATTGCCACCTGCATTATTATCAATAGGTGATCGATTGTCAATCGAAAATCAACATGGTGATGATGATCATGAATTGAATGATGAACAATCAATGACAAAAGCAATCAATAAATTAAGAAATGTTACTGATAATAATAGTTTATTATTTCCAATACCTAGTGCATTCAATGCATTTGAAGTGAAACGAATTAAATCAGCATATAATTGGAAACAACGAACGTAGGATAAAGAGAATGAGAGAGTAGTGAACACATTGATAAGATAAATTATATTCTGAAATCAATATAGAGAGATGACTCTATATATATATAGTTTTTATCTTACTAGTAAGAACAAAAAGGTTTCAAAAATGCTTCACTTGAATGGTTTGCTTTTTATATCTTTTCTAATGTAATCTAACATATAGTGTGTACTTATCATGATGAGTAAGTATTATTTATTACTGAATATATTGTATATAGTTGTTTATTAAAATAAAAGCCTATAATCTTTATAGTAGATATTTTCTTTTTTGTTTTTACATGAAAAAAAAATGGAGGTTAAGCGTTCGTGCGCAAGACCGAAGGTCCCAGGTTCGAATCCTGCGAGATGCAGGAGTCATGGATACGCACTGCCACTGATGAGTAGTCTCATACCAGGACGAAACGACCGTCCAGTGCTTCCAGATTTCTAATGGTGATCATCTAACAATGATTGATCGATCATTTCAAATGTGTAAAAACAACACTAATCTCCATAACTTTAATTGAAAATATTTAAGAAGTATTCTATTTTTGAGTTTTATATTTATTGCATGAAATTAATATAAAACCAATGATCAGTTGGAAAAAGCGAAATTCCCCGATGCAACACAACATGCACCAACCAAATCACTCTTGATGGAGATGCCTTGGAGGGCGTTAACACCTTTACATATCTTGGCAGCATCATCGACGAGAAAGGTGGATCGGATGCAGATGTGAGGGTGCGGATTGGCAAAGCAAGGGCTGCATTACTACAATTGAAAAATATCTCGAACTCCAAACAACTTTCAACCAAAACCAAAATCAGGATTTTCAATACAAATGTGAAGACAGTTCTACTGTATGGAGCGGGAACTTGGAGAACTACCAAAGCCATCATCCACAAGATACAAGTGTTTATGAACAGTTGTCTACGCAAAATACTTCGTATTCGTTGGCCAGACACCATCAGCAACAACGAACTGTGGGAGAAAACAAACCAGATTCCAGTGGAGGAGGGAATTAAGAAGAAGCGGTGGAAGTGGATAGGACACACTACGAAAAGCACCTAACTGCGTCACGAGACAAGCCCTCACATGGAACCCTCAAGGCAAAAGGAAAAGAGGAAGGCCAAGGAACACATTACGCCCAGAAATAGAGAAAGATATGAGAGGAATGAACAAACATTGGACAGAACTGGAGAAGGAAGCCTAGGACAGAGTTGGTTGGAGAATGCTGCTGGTGGGCGGCCTATGCTCCATTGGGGGTAACAGGAGTAAGTAAGTAATGGTCAGTTGCATTCTTGAATAGTAACAGCACAAACTGTTACAAATAACAACGAATACCGAAGGTCAGACTTGATAGTTTCGAATAAATTGGGCATTAGCTGGAAAGTTAATAATTACTTATCATTATTACGTCACGAAACGTCAGAAATACAAATTCCTGTTTATTGGAATATCACCAAAAATTTATAATGATTCTTATTATGATTATCACCATCTTGAAACACCGTCTTTCACTGGCTTGGATGTGTTACAAATGTCAACCCAGCGATCTTCAAATTGTGATTTACTCATCGATGTAGGGACTGCTTAGAGGAGGCGAAGAGGTGATTAGCGGCTTGGTATGGAAGAACGCTGTACAAAACTGACACCTGTCGATCCTTCACTATTCCCTGATTGGAGTCATGTGGTGGTGCAACTCAATGAGTTGAAATATCATCAGACATGGTTCAGTACAGAAGCAAATGCTATAAATGTTATAAACCAGTCAATCTCTCATTCACTTATTTATTTACTCTGATTATACTCCACCTTTTCATTCATCTATCTTTCCAATATCTTCATCTTTTGTCTGTAAGAGAATGTTTACTTGGGTACTCAGTTAGAGTTAGCAATCCTGATCATGATTATGCACTGGTGTGAAGTTCGCAATTATGGTAGAATACCCAGATAACTGTTTATCACTAGTTGATTTTATGTCATTCCTTGATGCAAGATACAAACAAACAGCCATTATAGGGTCGTGAGATCGCTGAGTTTCATTGAAATTATAAATAGATCAATCCATTAGAAACCTGGAAGCACTGAACGATCGTTTCGTCCTAGTACGGAACTCATAAGCAGAGTGCGTTCAGGGCCACGCACACGAGCGCGAGCGGGGTCGTGACTGAACACCGCTTATGAGTCCCATACTAGGACTTGACGGCCTTCCAAGTTCATAATGATGGTTTAACATTGATCGACTAGCGATTTTAATAGGAACAAACTAATGGATTTTGTCAAACTACCATTCCTTGATTGTTAAATTTATATGATCTCAGAAAAATGTTCAGCAATATACCACATCGCATTTTTTCGGGCGACAATATAGAGCCTTTCTGTTAAAGTACTCGTTGCGATAAATACAACAAAAAGGGTTGTGGTCATATAGCAATGGCATAGTTTATTTACCTACTTACGTGGAACGTATCATTTTACTGTTTCTCATCAAAATAGACTATAGAAATGGAATCTATTTTCGAAACTTAAATTAAAATCTAAGCGCTATTCACTCGAATAATAGTCTCCAAAATTTCCGCAATCCGTTGACCTCAGAGACTGTCGATAGACAACTCTATTCCAAGCCAGACCTTTAAAAGTACGCCCGCGAATGAATGTAAATGTAAAAAATGTAAAAATTATACATAAATGCACCATTTGCATATTTTCTTTGAGGTGATCTTTACAGTTTCCGTCATTCATTCATTCATTCTCGTTGTTACTGTGATTGCTCTCTGATTTCCTTTTTCCTTCCTTCATTTCTCTCATTTGTCAATGGGAATTCTATTGACTATTCCCGTTGTATACAACTTATATCTGTCAGTATTACGTAGCACACACTATACACATCATACATGTAGTGTGTTTTGCTAGTTGAACATTTTTATTTAAACAGAACTCATTTGAACATTTCATCATAATTAACGCATAATTTTTAGGCTAAATTTTAGTAAATTTATTTTAAAAAATGTATAAGAATCACAAGTCAGCATTTAAAATTGATATAAACTTGACACTGTTCCATTTTCATTGATACATACATTTCTTATCAATAAATAAGAAAAATATAAAGCTATAAATAGAGATTATACAAAACAAGAGAAGTCAAAGGAAACCAACACAAATTGTTGTTCAATGAATAAATTGAACAAGTGTGACATGATAGACAGTCAAGGTCATGTCGATATATATATATATATATATATATATCTCACTAATACTGTCACTAAGAAAATGCATTTTTAAAGGCAGACATTATGGATGTGTGTAAATAATAATAATAATAATAATAATAATAAATACACGAGCATTGTGTAAGAGTATACATCAATAGATTAAAAAAAAACGATCGATATTCTTTACATATTCAAACATCGCAGGTTGTTTCATCCTCATTCTCATCCTCATCATAAGAGCTGACTATGAACTACTACAAAAATAAAATTATTTAAGAAAACAAATAAAATAAAATTATCATCATCAACACAACAACATACAAGAAAATATATGTAATAAATATCACAGCAGAATGTGGAATGATAAAAATCATTTCGATGTATCATGTGATTCGAGAATGCATCATCATCATCATCATCATCATAGGAGAGAATGTAGACGATTTATTGTCAAATGGAAATTGTTTTAAAAATTATCGTTTAAAGGGAAATGTTACACCATTTCAGATTGTTTTCTCTGTGTAGAAAAAAAACAGACAAGATAAAAGATTATTGTATATATATATATTACAAATCAAGACTAGTCCATTAGAAATGATTAATATATATAAGTAACTTTGCATTGGATAATTTGAGAAATATGCCCATGTTCAGTCAGTCAGTCAGTTACAACGTAAAACTTCATACGTATGTATGTACATCAGTTCAGGTTGCCATACTGTATTAGCAAAGAGACGCAACTGTCAGTTCAAATAATATAGTGGAAGAGATAGTAGAAGTATTAGCAGGAATGGAGAAGATTAGGGATTGACGATATTATTCAAGAAGTATATATAGTTCAGTGAGATAGCTTTAGAAAGAGAAAGTTGTAGATGATGAGGAATTCAAAAATCAATCAATCAATAACAACGTCAAACTACCATACCATACCATACCATAAAACTGCCATAACACAACATTAGCACAGAGATGTAATTGTCACTTCGAACCCTATAGTAGTAGAGGCACTAAAGGTATTAGCAGTAATCGGAGAGATTAGGGTTCGAAGATATTATTCAAGAAGTAGAATCTAGTGAAATAAACTTAAAAAGAAAGAGATAAAGGTGATGAGGAATTCAGAAGATTAGAATTTGAGAGAACACAAAGAATAAATGCACCGGCGCCATTGTAAACGATTCTGATCCATGTCATTCAGGGTCTCTAACCATTAGCGATTTACGTCTCGCGGACCCTAACCAGAGTCTTCTGACTATCATAAGCAACAATGCGAGCATGTTCGGGATGCGGTTCTCACCTTCGAAAGGCAAAATGTTGCTTCAAGACTGGGTTGCTTCGGCACCTGAACTAGTGATAGGGAGTGAAGTAGTCGAGCGTGTTGAACACTTCACTTATCTGGGGAGTCTCAAAAGCGCTGATAGCCTGGTGACTGACGAAATCTCAGCGAGGATACAGAAAGCTTGATTGGTTTTTGCCAACTTGCGTTATTTATGGCGTAAGCGAGATACTCGTCTGCTAACCAAAGGATGGGTGTACTGCGCAGCAGTTCGCTCCGTTCTCCTATATGGCTGTGAAATATGGCCGTTAAGAGTAGAAGATGTTCGTAGGTTACTAGTATTCGATCATAGATGTCTTAGAAGCATTGCTCGTATATCGTGGGACAACCGAGTAAGCAATGCTGTCGTTAGGAAACGAGTACTAGGTAAGGATTGTAGATGAAGCAGTGAAACTTCATCAGTTGAGGTGGTTGGAACATGCGTAACGAATGCTTAACCACCGACTGCCTCGAGCTATGTTTTGTGGTGTAGGAGTAGATTGGAAGAAAGCTAGGGGCGGCCAAACCAAAACATGGCAGAAATGAATGAAGTCACTGACAAGTGGACTGAGTGATGTTGGTAGATGTAGACTACCTAGTTGGAATCCTCGAGACGATAGTAACCGATGGTTAGCTGCCCTGAACGACATGGCTCAGAATCGGTTGCAATGGCACAGGTGCATCCACTCGTTGAGCTCTCTCACATCCTAATCTTCTGAATTCGTCAGCACATCCACCTTTGTCCTGCTAACCATGTCTCACTGAATTATACTTCTTGAATAATATCTTCGAACCCTAGTCTTCTTCATTACCATTAATACCTCTACTATCTTTATCACTATGGGATTTGATTTGACATTTGCGTCTCATTGCTAATGTGGTATGGCAACATGAACTTATGTACATACGTACGAAGTTCTACGTTGCAACTGACTGGACCCCAATCACGTAGCCTACATCTACCAACATGACTCAGTCCACTTGTCAGTGACTTCATGGATTTCTGCCATGTTTTGGTTTGGCCGCCCCTAGCTTTCTTCCAACCTATTCCTACACCATAAAACATAGCTCGACGAGGCAGTCGGCGGATAGGCATATGCATAAAAGCACACGAGACCAAACTGGTCACAATCAAATCCTTTCTGATAAGGAATTCAGAAGGTTAGTATTTGAGAGAACACAATGAATGGATGCATCTGTGCCATTGTAAACAAATTTGAGCCATGTCATTTAAGTTCTCTAACCATGCTCAAGGTGATTCTAATTTAAAATCTATTTAAATTTGAAAGTTTCCAACGTTATTGCTTAAAAACTATGTTAAAGTGATTCATATCATCAGTATATATTCACTTTATTAATGATTAACTTTGAGGAATTTTATAGTTCTAGTGAGAAGCTTTGACCGGTGAAATGACAAGATTTTAAACATACATATTGTTACAGTTACTACTGTAGTGAAGGAGAACACAGGTGGGGCAACCAAACTGTATTTAACGAAAATTACAGAGTTACTCAGTAAAATAGGAAAACCATATCGTAAATCGTTAATTTGCAAAATATCAGTTCATCATATCGAACTGGACTGTTCCTGTTGCAAACAACATCAATCCATTGTCACTATTCATGCGTTTCATACAAATTCCATTGTGTTCTAACTCTCCCTTTCTTGATCTTCCCCCATCTTCTGCTGCCAGACGTTACGTTGACACTCACGTCATATACTACTTGTAAGTACCTCGCACCACACTACTACTAATTGACTGTTTAAATTGAAGTGAATTTCGGTGAAGAACTGCTAATGCTAGATAGGAAGTATTGAACAATTGCTTTGTCAATGATTCAGATTCCATAGTAGAATGAAAACCATGATCATTTTTCAGAATTAAACAAGAAACCTTTAAGGATTGGCTGATTCACAAATATAATATATATATTGAACAGAAAACTAAATAATTCTTGTCTCACACTCTCATCAATTTCAAAAGCATCCTCTTTTTAGGATGACTAATCTGATTTATCAAATGATGATAGTATTTAAGACTATTATTATCTTGATTATAATAATACTTTACAAACAATAAACTTTTTATTAATTATTACACTTGTTCCAACATGTTTTCCAACTAACAATTGATTGTTTACTCAAACGAGTTATTGTAATATGATAAAATATAAGATTTGTAATTGTTGTAATTGTACTCTAATGTAGGAGGAACGTGAGTGACTGATTTTTTTTACCAAATACACTAGATTACATGATAGATACATAGATTTGATTGATTGTGACCGATTTGATCTCATGTGCTGTTACGAGTATGAGGGCGGAGGTCACTTCTAGGCTGCCCACACCGAGGAAGGGTAATTCTTCAGGAACCTGAATAGGAAGTTGAATTATCGTTGGTCTTATCTACCCGGGGGCGTGACTGCAGAGCCTAAGGGACAACTGCTTGAGGCCGGTCACGCACGGCCTTTTTATAGGAGGTTTTCAAGATGTTAGCTCCGCCCATAAAGTGGCCTTACCGCTAGGGACGGAAATCCGTGGGGTAAGGTGACATGTGACATTTTTAGGGTCGATCTTTGCTAACCCCTTCCTTCTGTTGTGAGAAGGCGGCATCGATGTAGATACTGGTTGTCCATGGGGAAACGCCTTGCTGCTGTCACACCCCTCTACAGTCAGCAATACGATTTCGCCCTCAGACTTTGAGTTGTTGCTTTTAGTCTCGCCATTCTCCATTCGATCTGCCTGGCATGATAGAACCTTCAGGAATATATGTTCCAGCCGATATAGCTCGGTTGGGTCATCACGATAGGCAAGCCCGACCACCACGTCAAGGTAGCAGCTGCGGTGGGAAGATAGATAGATAGATAGACGGTCTGATATCTGGGCTACCTTTTTTGCTTACATTAAAATATTTCAACCAGTTAGCTCTTTCCATTCGGTTTAACACGTCAATTATATCTACTGACTGCATAATCTATTCAGGTACTGATATAAGATTGTATATAATCTATCGTTTTACAAGATACAAAAAAAGTACAATTCAAGACATTGCAGTTGGCTGGCAATATGCACTTGCTGAAATATTCTGTGCTGAGAATTTCACATTGCACTTAACATATAATATTGAATAAAGCCATAATTATTATTTTTGTTATGATTATAGATAGATAGATGAACTCGAACAAATGTATATCAATTTAAGTGGCTATGCATGGTTCATATTAGTACAATCAAGGTAGATCAATCTGAGTATGATAGAAGAATATAGATTATTGACTGAGTTATTTTTCGAATAAATTAAGCAACATGGAAATGTATAAATGTGGTTTAACCGATTATTCAACCCCGTCTGTAGCCCCTATGGGGCTACTGCCAGTTCCAAGCCCGGATAAAGGAGGGTTGGGCATGCGGTTGGCGACCTCATCCCATTAAAAAAACTAACTCGGTAGAAAAACGCTAACTAGAAAAATCAATCCGAACCATTTAAACTCTGCTCTGGGAGTGAAAAGGTTTTCATTCCAAAAGAATTATGACGTCTCATGATGAAAGCTGAGTTCCTTGGGAAGTCATCTAACCTTTTGAATGCATTTTAGTGAAAATGTTTTGGATGTAAGAGGGAATAATAATTAAATCAAACAATATATGCATATTTACATACATACCTTGATGTTGAGGTGAAGTTGCCGGTGTTATACAACATTCATTGTTAATTGATGAGTTTTTTGGCAACTTTTGATCTAAAAGTTTCTGTGGGTAAAAAAGAAAAATTTTAATTAAGGTAAAACAAAACCAAATCTATTCAGTAGACATTGGTGCAGTAAGGTTTTACTAGTCATACATATAGTGTATAGTTGATCCTCAATTGATCCCCGTTATTTTTGATGCTGTTAGGATATTCATCAAATATCCTAAGAGAATTATTGGTCAGTTCCTATTGGTTAATTCCTATTGGTCAATTTTATGGTCGTTCTAGATATCAATGTCACGTACTTCAATGTTGTTTCTTATTGGTTGTCCTGACTATCAATATCACTTCCAATGTTGCTTCCTATTGGTTGTCTTAACTGTCAAAGTCACAGACTTCGGTGCTGTTTCCTAATCAACCTAAATGTATAAATACGCATTATCTGTAACGTTTTATGACCCGGGCCCGTCCCGGATCCCTAATCCGAGATCCTGATTCTCTTCTGGACTCGGACCTCGAACTTTCTGGATGCTTGTAGAATACAGGTTCTACTTCATATCAAGTCTTCTTCTTTTATTCAATGGGGGTTGGGACACTCGGATTAGAGTAGCATGTTGTGTCGCCGGATCCTCGCTCTCGTTCCCCGACTAAGGAGAACTCATAATAGTTCAAGCATATCAAAATGACGTATTTACGTGCATGCGTAACAGTTGCTAATGTACGTTCTTGTGATCATTGTTCAGACAAATGCTACTGATAGATCAAATAAGCTTCCAAGTTCTTAAACTACCTAGAACCTTAAATACATCAGGATTCTTCGAAAGTTCCTGAGAACCCATACAATGCTGAAAAAATAATTTCTTCAATTATTAATATTGTTAGAAGCTTTTGAAGGGATTTCAGAAAACCAATGATTATGACGTCCTTATCCTGATTAGACAATTGCAGAATCTATTATCAATTTTGGTACGTTCTCTAGAACGTGCTCTTAGAATTTCAAGTTAACACATATATTGCAATAAACAACTTCGTCTTCTTTACATTAACTGTGAATTTCGAAACGCAACTTTTCCATACTTCCCATGTGCTTTATATTCAAAGTTCAACATTTTGAGACTTTTACGGACAGAGATGGGGAGTAAAAATTCACGTGTCTAAAGTGTTCACAGTTCAAGACGTATGTTGGTAAGCATAACACAAAAATACTTGTTAATGGACTGTATATACTGATTCAACAACATCATCAGTACAAACTTCAGATAGAAGTGAAGTATTCGATAACAACCAACCAAGATCGAGGTTAACAGAAGAAGCTACACGTCAAACGTAGAGAAATTCGAATACTTCACTTCTATCTGAAGTTTGTGCTGATAATGTTGTTCAGAAGAACAATGAAAACTCCACAATCAAAACATCCAGTTCGCTTAGTTTGCACATATATTCCTCTATTATAAAGTTGGCTACTTAACCGAATGATGTAAAGAAGAGTTTTATCAGCTACATCACCTATGAGATATAAAAGAAACTGTAGGTTTATATAAAAATAAATTAGATCACCTTAGTCAATTTCACATTTCAATTGAATATAAGTTATACATATTTTAAATGTAATGTACACAGATCTATATATGTAAATAAACTAAAACTGACTAACTTTATATTTAGTTACTGTAGTTAACGCTAAAGATTTTTCAATTTCCAACGATTGAATTTGATCTTTTAACATTCTAGGATAAAGAGAGTGGGGTGAGAATGATAATAATTTTGACAAAGCAATTTCTGTGAAGTAAATTAACCGGATACTCATATGCAAATACATTTAAAGGTTAAATTTACTAGTAATTGGAAACCTCGAATTCCTTGGTACAATCAAGGGAGATATCCGTTTGATGACTTAAGGACGAGTGTACTGCGCAGTAGTTCGCTCCGTCTTACTTTATGGCTGTGAAACATGGCCAGTGAGAGTAGAAGACATTCGTCGGTTATTGGTTTTCGATCATAGGTGTCTTCGAAGCATTACTCGTATATCGTGGGACACCCGAGTGAGCAACGCTGTTATTAGGAATCGGGTGTTAGGTAAGAATGGCAGATCAATAGATGAAGTAATGAAACTTCATCAGTTGAGGTGGTTTGGACATGTGTTGCGTATGCCTAACCACCAATTGCCTCGAAGAGCTTTGTTTTATAGTGTAGGAATGGGTTGGAAGAAAGTTAGGCGCGGTCAAACCAAAACATGGCACAAATCCATGAAGTCATTGACAAGTGGACTTAGCCATGTCGGTAGTTGTCGACTACCTGGTTGGGGTCCGCGAGATGATAATAATCGATGGTTAGAGACCTTGAATGACATGGCTCAAAATCGTTCGCAATGGCGCCGGTGCATTTATTCTTTGTGTTCTCTCAAATCCTAATCTTCTGGATTCGTCAGCACATCTAGTTTTAACTTTCTAAACTTTTCTCATTTAATCATACTTCTTGAATAATATCTTCTAATCCTAACCTCTCCGATTACTTGTAATACCTTTACTACCTCTTCTACTATTGGATTTGAATTGACAATTATATCTCTGTGCTGATGTGGTATGGCAACATGAACTGATGTACTTACGTACGTACGAAGTTCTACGTTGCATCTGACTGACTGACTGACTGATCAAGGGTGGGGATGAGTTAGTTCTTGTTCTTCGCCTTGACATGCACTAACAAGGTTATACGTTAATTACCTCCACTAGAAGAGTCTTACTTATTGATTTCATGAAGTGGGAGTGATTTTTTACTAAAATAAATGGATGAAAAGCAAATGCCTAGCATCTAAACCGGGTTAGTGGATACGCGGAGTCAATATATGGAAGTTAACGAATTCTAATTCTAAACCAATAATGTAAATAGGCTCCAAGATTCTGAACCTATTTTGGTTGCCGGCTACCAAAAGACGGTATCTTCTGACGTTGGTTTACTGACTTGTGGATTAATCCCCCGGATCAGAGGATAGTGGAATGATCTACCAAGAAAACCATTTACTTCGAAATGAGTGCCCGGGCAGAATTCCACATCACTCACAAATATGACAACTGATAATGATCAACAAAACGATCTATTGTGTGGCACATACTTTTTTTAACCAAGTACAAGATTATGTCAGTCAGCTACCAGATTGTGTATTAAATAAGTAAGTAAGTAGGGAATAATTTAAGTTGTTTACCAAGTTTACTAAACTTGAATTTTGGTTACGCTAGTTGTAAACGAGATTTTCATTGATACGAACTGGTTGGGAGAACCGATATACGTGGAGTAGGGCTCTATTCTTTGTGTTCACTCAAATCCTAATCTTATGAATTACTCTTGACCGCTTTTTCCCTTTTTCAATGATTCCTTTGGGGTATACATCTGGAATGATATATTCGATCATTAAACTTCTTGATTACTGCTAATACTTTTATTACCTCTACAACTATGGGATTTGAATTTACAAGTGAGTCTCTGTGCTAACGTGGTATGGTAACTTGAACTGATGTACGCACGTACAAAGTTCTATGTTGTAACTGACTGACTGACTTGACTGACTACCATAAATGTAACCGTCAAAATAATGAATGTATTTGTGGTTTCATAATTTAGTCATACATCTACGTAATACCAATGATGAAAATCAGTTTCAAGTTTTGTAAGCTTGCAACAAAGTCATTATATTTTGGGGCACAGTTTTGGAGGTTTGCGTTTTTACACATTTGAAATCATCAATCAATCATTGTTAGACCACCATTAGAAACCTGGAAGCACTGGACGGCCGTTTCGTCCTGGTATGGGACTCATCAGCAGTGCGCATCCACGACTCCTGCTCCTCGCAGGATTCGAACCCGGGACCTTTGTATAGAAAAATAACTGATTTTTTATCATTTGATCGAAAGATGTAAGAAATCTGAACGCTGATTTCTTAATATTGAATGACTTGCAATAAATAATTATAGATTATATAGTTTGTTAATCAAGCTACATATGTTGTGTATACATGTTACAAACTATTCACAATACAGTGCTTAAAATGGGTCGGTGAGTAAGAAGGAGTTGGAAAACCTTAATTCTATACTAGGATTCTGAAGGAAAAAATGAACCTCTTGTTGGTGACCGGCTAACATAGGACTGCATATCCTAACGTCGCTCTACTACTTTGTGAGTTAAAACTTGTAGGCTAAAAACTCGAAGGAAAGTCCTCCATGAAAACTACTTTTTCCAGTTTGGGCAGCCGAACAGTACCACAGCCCATTAATAAATTCAATTATTATGTGGCGTATATATATTTTGATGCTTCTTTGTACCGAATTTTATGCGTTTAAATTAAAACCACCAATTGTGGTGGCAATTACCGTCTTTTTTAGATCACAAACCGACCCAAGTAAGACAATAATTGAAAACTCAGAAGCGGCGGATAGATGCCTTGTTCTAGTATGGGACTACTCAACATTTAGTACCCATGACCCACCGCCAGGGGTCAAACTCATGGCCTTAGATCTCGAGGGCGAACGCTTAACCTCCACATCACTGGGGTGAAATCTAGTGTTGAGCATCTCTAACTCGAATTAGTTCACGATGTTGTGAGACTATTCGTCATCTTCAGTGGGTACCGTCCTCATACGCGACACAGTTCAGCCCCACTAGTCACGGTTTCTCAAACAGATTTAGGGCATTTCCATTACCGGATTTCAGTTTGTTATATCTCAGTAACATTCACTTGTCGTCACAACTCCCATATTGATAATTACATTCTAGTTTGTAACTATTTCAGTGAAACATTCAAAACAAGTCTTCTTAGGTATGAAATTATGTATAATCTTACGGAATTACAATTAGTATAAAACTGTATCCTCGTCTGAATTTTCAGGAGTAGACCTTCTACAAGGAGGCTCGCTTATTGACTTAGAATATGCCCATGACATAGTCCTACTTGGTTAAGACGCTGACAAAATGCAGTCTTCTGACCACCCTAAGCAACAATGCAAGCATGTTCGGGATGCGGTTTTCCCCTCGAAATGCAAAATATTGCTTCAAGATTGGGTTTCATCGGCACCTGAACTAGTGATATGGAGTGAAGTAGTCGAACGTGTAGACCGCTTCACTTATCTTGGGAGTCTCATCAGTGCTAATGGCCTGATGACTGACGGAATCTCAGCTCGGATACAGAAGGCTCGATTGGCTTTTGCCAACCTGCGTCACTTATGGCGTAGGCGAGATATCCGTTTGCTGACTAAAGGACGAGTGTACTGTGCAGTAGTTCGCTCCGTCTTACTTTATGGTTGTGAAATATGGCCAGTGAGAATACAAGACATTCGTAGGTTATTGGTTTTCGATCATAGGTGTCTTCGAAGCATTGCTCGTATATCATCCTGGGACACCCGAGTGAGCAACGCTGTTATTAGGAATCGGGTGCTAGGTAAGAATGGCAGATCAATAGATGAAGTGTTGAAACTTCATCAGTTGAGGTGGTTGGGACATGTGTTGCGTATGCCTAACCACCGACTGCCTCGTCGAGCTTTGTTTTGTAGTGTAGGAATAGGTTGGAAGAAAGTTAGGGGTGGTCAAACCAAAACATGGCAGAAATCCATGAAGTCATTAACGAGTGGACTTAGCCATGTCGGTAGTTGTCGACTACCTGGTTAGGGTCCGCGAGATGATAATAATCGATGGTTAGAGACCTTGAATGACATGGCTCAAAATCGTTCGCAATGGCGCTGGTGCATTTATTCTTTGTGTTCTCTCAAATCCTAATCTTCTGGATCCTTCAACCCCCCTAGTTTTGACTTTCTAAACTTTTCTCACTGAATCATACTTCTTGAATAATACCTTCTAATCCTAACCTCTTCGATTACTTCTAATACCTTTACTACCTCTATTACTATTGGATTTGAATTGACAATTACATCTCTGTGTTGATGTGGTATGGAAACATGAACTGATGTACTTACGTACGAAGTTCTACGTTGCATCTGACTGACTGACTGACTGACTAGTATAAAACTGAGAGGAAAAATACTGATTAACCTTTTTACCTGCTTTCAGTTATTAAGGCGTCAATATCTTGAATTTTTCTTTCATCTCCACTTAAAATATAATTTAATTCATTGTTCAATCGATCACATTTATTACGATAAATATCTCGTTCAGTTGCAATTTCTTGTTTCTCATCAAGACATTGACCTAATTCACGTTTGATTTCCGAGAGCTTTAAGAGAAATGGATTTAATTTGTTTTTTTAGAAAGGAACGTGAAAAAACTGGTCAAAATACATTAATATAACATGATACACAAATTAATATTTGAAAAAAACAGGATTATGTCCGGAGAAAAGTAGAACTATACAACTTGATACATCGGTTAGATTCCTAATCACTAGAATTCCATGCTTAAATCCCCTAAACCAAAATCACTTGTTCACTCAGTATGTAGTGAAAAAGAACACAGGTGGGGCAACCGAATGGTATTTAACGAAAATTACAGAGTTACTCAGTAAAATCGGAAAACCATATCGTAAATCGTTCATTTGCAAAATATCAGTCCATCATATCGAACTGGACTGTTCCTGTTGCAAAACATCAATCCATTGTCACTATTCATGCGTTTCATACAAATTCCATTGTGTTCTAACTCTTCCTTTCTTGATCTGCCCCCATCTTCTGCTGCCAGACATTACGCTGACACTCACGTCATATATTACTTATAAGTAGCTCGCACCACAAGTATATTATTTTATTACTTAAGAGAGAACAATTATAATACATTAGGATATTGGTTTATGAGTGAAGTACGATGCACAGATAGTATGTCAGTTGATGAAGTTGTGAAACTTTTACATACTGAAGTTGTTCGAACATGTGTTGTGCATTTCAAACCGGGATTTATCTCTATATGCCATGATGGTTAGCATATGGAATGGTTTGAAAAACAGACCAGTGCCAATCCATAGAGTCAGTGAATACCTATTTCAGTCACTCAAGGTGTAAGTTATCTAGTCATAGTTTAATAATTTAGGTGAGTTATGAATTCACAGTTGGTCACTGGCTACAGATGTACTCACTCCTAATCCTCTTACGGATTTTCAACGTTAATGAATTTAGCTCTACTTTTTTCCTTCTTGATTACACTTATTTGATTTTGAAACCCGTTTTTGATATTTTGAATTTTCCTACACTATTTACTTTAATTAATTGTTTTTCTTATGTATTTTCATATTCTTCATCTGTTTCGTTGTATGAATACAAAATGTGGTAACTGGAGGAGACATACACATTTGCATCACACTCCGCATTGTTTAGAAAATGAGTAGTGGCTGGGAAGTTACAGTGCATAAGTTATGATGCTGTTACATATTATCTATAAGCAGTCGAACTGAAATAAGCGATATAACAAATTAGTATACTTATTTTTTTTTTAAATTCCTGTTTTAATAAAAACAAAACACAGTGAAATAAATCTTTTACACACAATATGCCGACAGGATTTGACTGTCAGGAAGCATAATAACATAGACAACATATACTGGTTATAATTAAGACATGCACCTATCACTAGTATTCTAGTGTAAAGCTTTGTAGACAAATCAAACAGATTATCAGAGAATATATCAATTTGTACCATATTGGTGATGTACTTAGGTATGTGCGTTAGTTATGAGTAATGTAAAACCTGGCACATACGAGTATCAGTTTAAGTCGTTGCACAATATCACCAAGAACTATGATTTAGTTTACGCAGATATGACCTCAGAGAGATTTAAAGATACTCGAAAAATGTTAACCACCTGAAAAGTAAGCTCTTCTAACTGAGTTACATAGGTTTGGCGATCATTTCCATAAATTTTGGTATCGACTGTCTGCTGATTTTCACATAAACGATCATTAAGTTGTCTCCTCAACACTTTAATATCCCCTTGAAGTTCTTCAATTTTTTCCCGAGAGTTCATTAGTTCATGTTCTAAACTTTTATTAGCTTCTCGGCTTTCTATCAATAAAGAAGCAAGCTATGAAACAAACTTGAACGTAAAAGATAACCATATACCTGTTTAGTAGATAAATGCATTAAATCAGGGGTAGAATACTCATCATCTTTTTCACATTCCATGAGAGTTTTTTTAAGCATCTGGTACCGATTCATCACCTAAAAGACGTAAGAGATAGGTTAACAAGATACCTGTTCTGCCATTCTCTTAAATTCATTCTTCTCTTTATTGCATTTTTCTAATGATGCATTCAAAATCGAAACTGCTTGTGTCTTGGCATTTAACTGCTGGACGGTCACTGTCAGCTATTAGATGTATTGTTGGTTTAATGTTTTGTAACTTACATCATTCTTTAAATTTTCCAACTCCAAATGCAGTCGTTCTTCTAACTAAAAGCGGTTTATAATTAAAATAAATAGTAAAATTTTCGACCAACCATTTGATCAGCGATGAGTAACGCAGTTTTTCATATTCATATCTACAGCAAAGAATTCGCCACGTTTGATAGGTTAACAAAAACATAGAACATGCAGAATTTTACAAAGTATATAATTCAGCCACTTATTTTTCGACAATTGTAATATTGTATCATTTTCAAGAAGCTGAGATCAACTAAGAATATTTGTTAACTGTATTATTTACTCACGACGTTATATGGAAAGCGCTTAACGTGAGAACAAAACCAAAAAACAGGTCATAGTGACAGTATAATCTTAAAAATAATTGGCGATTATCGTTAATAGAACATTATACGTGTACCCAGACCGGAGTAGGTGAAGCAGGATAGAAGCTAGTAATTTAGTGGCTGGAATTGGGTTCTTTAACCATTGAGACACCTACTAGTCTACAGTTCCAAGTTTTTTACCTTTCAGGTATATTATTATCCCCTCAAATTCACATCAGTCTGTATTAAGGTTCCAAGTGGTTCCAGTGATTGTGGGAATAAATATTTGGGCGAACATAGTCTTATTTCTGTAGTTAACACTTTGTTAATTTCTAATGTTACAAGAATTACACTGTCTGTTCTTTTAACAGAACATGGATATCCTGATTATTTCCCGAAACAAACAGGATGGAATGTATCAATTAGAGTGACTCAGAACTCTCCATAACTTCACGAACTGATGTTCTGTAATGTTTTGGCCACCATCAGCTTTATTAAAGCTTGATATTGCAATCATCAACGTAGATAGTAACAGTTACAAGCAATCCAAGTGACAACTACTGTGACGCTCTAACGAAGCAAGTTTCCTCAGTCCAATCATTTGTGTGATTGTATCAGTGACAAGAACTAGTTCAGCATTCGGGCGTCATTTTACACACAAGGATGCGTTTAAACGGAAGTATAATTGGTTGACATTTGTTAGTAGTAATAATTTTAGGTAAGGAAATTTGATTCAGAGAGCTGTATCAAGTTAGTAAAATTCTTAAAGAATTAAAATAACTGGTTGAAGACAAAACACAGGAATAATGAGCTCAATTTGTTATTAAATTACCAGTTAATTGTTAAACACTTTCAAACTACTCTGACCTAGAACATTAAAATGCGACCGTTAACATAACTTTTCAATATTCAATATATTCTTGACAAACTATGACTAAATAGTTAGGAGCTCTGCATTAGTATAATATCAGGACTTCCTCAAAGTATGTTCTATTCACTTCTGGAGTCTTTCGATTTCATTCTTGATTCTGAGCTACTTTTTCTTATCAGTGCAGAAATCTGTGATAATATCGGGTAGGTGGGTTTAGAGTGTGATTCATGGCCGGACAGCAGTTGAACCTCTGTCTAATCGATCTTGCGGATCAGCGAATGTGCTAGACCTAGTTCTCTTAGAGCGTCACTGTAGAACCCACAGAGCTTTATTCATGTGTTTTTTTCGAGGATTATGTTGTCACCTAAAACCATTTTAACGATTTGTGAATCTCCTACAAATGAGTGTCTGGAATACGTCCTTAAACTGTCATACAGATTCGTAACAGGATATAGATAAAATGGATAACTCTGTAAACAGCTAATAGTTATCATCTTTTTCGAAAGTGTAACTTAATGTAGTTGGTACAATCTCAAAATAAAAGTCTATTACAGCAAGAACGATATATATACACATACTGGACAGTATCAGCTTTACAAAACAATGATTCGATAACAAAGAGTTAATCATATTTATATGACAGATAAAATTTTACGACCAATTTTTATATAAAATGGTCAAATTTGTAACCAGTTTGCAATAAATGAGTCTTAAGTGATGGGCATTTAACTCAGTACCCTTGTTTATCCATTCTTATTGACTGAAATTTATACCACATACAATAGTAGTCGTGTAATCTTACGAGGATTACGCAATTGCTGAAATGGAAACATTTACTATTGGACTTAATTCTAACAATAATTGTTCTATCGCGCTCCTTTTGTCTAACCGTACTAAAGACTATGTCTCGCGCGCCAAGCAAGTCATTCTCATTCTTCCCCCACCTCGGTATTTGTTAGCCGCTTCTTTATCCTGCTCTTGATATTATTTCGACATCACAAGACCACGGAACAATAAACTTTTTCATCCGGATACTATCTGCGTTCTGATTTCTGGATCTGTCAGAATCTGACTTGGTAATCGCCCGAAGAGCAGTAAATATCATTTCGCATTACAATCTTTGGCTCTTAGAATCCTTATCGATGTGGTCATGTCCTCTCTTGAGCAGTCTCTTTCAACTGATTACGTCCTCTCTGCAACTAATCTTTATCATCTTATTGCTATGTCTTCCCTGTAGAATTCATCAGGCAGGAAGAAAAATAGGATATATCATGTTCAAAATCATTTCTCAGTCTTCGATTTGTCAAAATCAAATAATCGCGTAATATTTGATATGACGGTGTAAAGATTTCTAACTTTTCAAAGTTCAGACTGATTTTTCCAAGTTATTCAAGTCACCTGATAGACAGGGGCTTGCAGCCTGGATAAGTTTTCAGGTTTGTGTCTCACCAATGTTGTGTATGCTTCAGTGAACAAATTAGCATCCAACTGTGTGAACGTACATATTCAAGCACATTTGGCTCCGAACCTTTTAGCTGTAATCGCATGGTGCTGAGTTACGACCTTAGGATCATGGCTAACTATTTCATCAAGATTGTTGTGGGACTGGACCACAACTGTCCACTCATCCACAATTCTGTACCTGTTCATGTTTGTGCTCCCGACGTACATTTAGACACTTAATTGCGATGATATGCATTAGTCCACTTTTGACCAGCTAACCAGGGCTTCTAAATCAGCCTAAAATGCACTCAAATCTGCATCCCGATGATTTTTAGATAACCAACATAAAATGAAATCGGTGATGTAGGTAATAGGTAGATAATATTTAGTGATTTTTTATTATCTAGCGACTCAGTCCACTTGTCTCTTAATATAAAAAGGTTTATTGTGTATAATAGCCCTTACATGAAACCAGGCTGTTCACTTCTTAACTGCTATTTATTCCTACGAAGGACTACATAGTCATTACGACTATTTTTCACATTATCCACGTACACAGGTAAAGGTCTCATTGACTTATCTTATGAGGAAAAATTAAAACGCCTCAAACTATTTCCGTCATCTTACAATAATTTACGAGGTAGTTCACTACTAGATTCACTACCAAAACCCTGACTAACACACCGACAAAACTGCTGGTTGTTGTTAATCACCCCATCTGTTAGCAATACAGAACAGTGGGTGAACGTGAAGAAGGGGAGTGGCAACCCTCTGACTCACAAGCGGCTACCACCCAAAGACAGGGACGACAGATTAAATTCACTTATTTTATTTAATGTCTCAGTATCAGAAGGAAGCTTGTTAGAAGGTAAGTCTGTCTTTGACAAAGAGCAGTGGGATAAATACAGCAAAACCCTTGGAATGTGCAACATCCCAGCTAAAATATGCTACCTTTTCAAAGGCCAAAATGTCTCGGAAGGAAAACCCCGGCAACGAAGGTAACTCTCGACTCGGCACGACTTGCTGAAGACATCATCCATTCATCTTAGAGACCATCGGTCAAATTGTCCTCGCTGATTCTTATCAGGCATGACAAGCCGTGGTCGGTAAGAACGGCAGCCAGGACTACGCCGGGCACCCAAGAGCAGGCCACCATGTTAGTTCACGGTGTACCCGAATTCGCTGACGGTAACCTGGACGAAGCCCACGTGCACGATGTGAAACATTGGCGATGGTTATCACGTAGCCTAGCCCTTCATACCACGATGGCTGGTTGCATTTCCAGGTTGCCCCATCCGTCACACCTTAAGTCCATCAAGTCACCACGTCTGATGTCTGTGACATTTAGGAATCGGGAAGACCTGACTGAAGCACTCCAGGCTTATAACATTTCGAAGAACTATCTGTCTAGCCACATTAGGTGTTGCAAAAGCCGACCTAGATCTGTGAGACAACAACAGGGAGGCCACGATGAACGCACAAAACTGACAGTTAACCTCGGCCAACAACCTCTGCAGCAAGACCCGATTGAACTCACTGCACAGGCAAAAATCCTGCGGAGGCCATTTTCCACAGAACTAGCCAACTCGGGTTGAACAACTTTTTTGAAAATCTGACAATGGCAGTTGCTTCAGAAGTGTACCAGGTGTTGAGACAAACCACCAAGTGCCTCTATAGCAACGTAAAAGGACTAAGGTGTAGACTGTTAGAAATCAGGAATACGTGCTCTCAGATGGATCTGAATATCATAATCCTAACTGAGGCATGGCTATCCCCTGACATTGCAGACGACGAAGTGAGCCTGCCAGGCATGACACTCTTTCGAAGAGATAGGGTACACCAAACCTGAAGCGGAGTGGCTATATATATAGACAGCCACTTAAAAGCCGAGCGGCTATATGACACCCAACTAACTGAGGTGACAGAATCATGTTGGTGTTGTTTCCACATAAATGGCCCGAAATACTTGATTGGAGGGACCTCCTTCGGGTACTAAGGCCCAAACTGATAGAGGTAATACTGCAACTGCCACTCCCGGGGTTTGATCAAATACTCTTAGCTGGATATTTCAATACCCCATCTCTAAATCTCAGCAATCAGAGTATAACTCCCACTGATTGGTTCCAAAGACGACTTGGTACAGCCATTAGAAGCTCTGGGCTGACTGAGCACGTATGCAGTGCCACTAGATGGACTAAGAAGGGAAGTCCCCAAACCTGCATTATCTGTTAAAAAATGACCTGCTCCTGGTTGAGGTAGTAGTGACCATGGCACAGTCTTGTTTTACGTGATCATAAACGACAAACCCACACAGGACGAAAATGAGCCCTATCTTTGCCACACTAGGGCCAATTATACGCTTATGAGAGAGATCCTCCCACATGCCCCATGGCCACGGGAGTGGGGGAGGCTGACGGTAGGTGATCACTGGCAAACAGTGAAAGATATCATCCAAAACGCTGTCGTAGACAATGCACTACAGTCACACCACTTATGGGAATAGGAGAATTTGTTTGGGCGCGGCACGGAAGGCTTATTACAGACGAAGAGGAGAGCCTGGCACAAGTGGAAGGTCTCGTTGCAGGATTCCGATCGCAGATCTTACTTGGCACTGAGAAACAGATACAGTACCAAAGTTCGAGGTGATAGGAGACAATTTCGGATGAAGCTAGCTGCCAAAATACAGGAAAACCCGAAGCATCTGTTTAGGTTCATGCCCAAAAGAAAACTTAATCAAGGGTTGTTTTCTCTCAAAGGACCAAACGAAGAAGACCTCACCAACCTAGAGATGGCTGAGATCTTCAAAACTAACTTTACTGAGCAGTTAAACCAGACATCCACATGTTCAGAGTATTACGCCAACCCGGTGCCAGCTGACGGCTTAGGGAACATCCGTATCACTCCTGACTTAGTGCTCAGGAAATCAAAATCCTTACGCCCAGGTGAGTCAACAGGTTGTGGCAAAATTTGTCCCACAATCTTGAAACAATGTGCAGAAGTCCTCTGTTCACCGATATGTGACCTGTTCAGGCATTCACTGGAGTCACACCGACTCCCATCAGGATGGAAACAAGCTACTCCCTCTCAAATCTTCAAAGGAGGAGATAGAAAGGACTCAGCCTGTTACAGACCAGTCGCATGATAACCAGTACTATCAAATGTAATGGAAGGGCTGGTGGACGAACAAATAAGGGAGTACATGGATAAGAATAAAATGCTCCATGAAGCTCAACACGGGTTTTGAAAAGACAGGTCGTGTGCATCTAATATTCTCATTGCACGGGACAGTTAGACATCCTGTTTGGACTGTAAAATACCGGTGCACGTAATATTTCTCGACTTTGCAAAACCATTTGACACATTACCCACGCACGCCTAATCACAAAGGTTTTGGAAATGGGGTTCATTGACCCACTCCTATCCTGGCTCAGAAACTACCTTGAGAATAGCAAATTTCTTACCAAGGTAAATAGAGTGCACGCGAGCTGGCGACTATCCACATCGGGAGTTTCACAGGGGACCATCTTAGGCCCGCTTCTCTTCCTGATATTTATTAACGACCTGTTAGGCTCAGTTAGCTCACTGGCATTGATCTACACAGACCATGCAAAGATCCGGAAGTCCATTAGAAACGCAGGGGATTCTACTGAGCTTCAAAAGGACCTTACATCTATTGAGGAATGGGCAGTGAAAAACGGTTTAAAACTCAACTAACCGAAGTGCCACGTCATGCACATTCTGCCTCACACGACGCAGACGATCTACACCCTCACTGGAAGTCCGCTCCCTAATGTATCCTCAGGGCGCGATCTCGGTTTAATAACCACAGAAAGCCTCCACACGAGTCCTAACTATGTATGGAACGCAGCCAAGGCAAATGCAACTCTTCACTTTACGCGAGGACAACTTGGTGCTATCACCCCACAATTACTTTTAACGCTATGTAAGAAGTATGCGCGCCTACACCTTGAAGTTCACAACGTCATCGCACCCCTTTTGCTTAAAAGAGACAAACCTCTTGGATCGAGTGCAGAGACGAGCAACGAAATGGGTGATAGGGTTGAAAAATAAACCCTTAGATGATAGACTCCCGCTCTTGGGATTATTCCCACTGAGCTACATGAGAATCAGAGGTGACCTGATTATGGCGTACACCATATTAAACACGCCAAATCATCCCAATGTGAGCATCTTACCGATGCATCACCACCACTCCCCTTGAGGCAATCCTCGAAAGATTGCACATCAAACAGCAAATACTCAGATTCGTGTACACATTTTCTCATTGCGAGTGGTCTCAACTTGGAATGCTCTCCCAGCCGAGGTAGTTACAGCCCCCTCAGTGGACAGCTTTAAGAAGAGACTTGATAATCACGTACTCACATACGGATTATCATCTCCATCTTGAACAAGCTGTTCATGATGCATATCTTGAGACCTGCTAGTTGTTATCATTGCCATCTCTTCAGATCACTTACTTAATCTATCTCGCCTATTATCTCTGTTTCCTCTCCCTTGCTTACACTTCGGTCCTCTCTCACAATCTTCACTACCAATTAACAAACTAAATTCATCTATATATTACTCAGTTCTGAAATTTTATTCATATTAGCATTATAATTTTATCCTTATTATCCTTATTACTCTCCACATTGCAACTAACTGATCTCCAGTCTGGTAATGTGATAGCTGCTGGTATCCAGAAACCCTACTGCCCTGAAACAAATGTTTTCATTCAAATCCCGAGACATACGAACTCACAACCAGCTGCGAACTGACTAGAATTAGAAAATCGAGTGGCTAGACCACCATCCATTGGACATTACCGAACACCTGGAACCGTACTGAAAGAACAAGAATCGAGCGCAAAGAAAGCAATCGTGAAAAATATATTGGATATTGTATATTGGAAACCACCATGTTCTCAAGGATGAATATGACATTAAAATATTCTCTCTTTTCTATCCATATGTGAACATATTCTGGGGAAGTTAAAAATCGAAATCAAATCGTTTACGTCTGGATTTCCGTTTCTAGTGAATTAATGGGATTCTCTCCAGGAAGACGCATTATCTGCATTTTATGTTGATACATTCAAAGCAAAATCGGATCTCTACAGAGCTTGAAAATGCTAGGAATAATATAAGTCGATTGTCGTAATATCCTTACTACTGAAACTGAAGACTAAGTTGGCGCTGTAGTTGCGATGTGCGTTACTATTCGATAGATGGGTTTTTCAGGGGTTCTAGGAACTCGTGTTTCAACTTGTCTGAGTGAACCCTGTATGAGTCTAAAGTGTTAAAATTTTTAAATATTCTGTAAATTTAAAAATATACCTCGATAAATGCAAAATTCATGTATTTTCTCTTATAATTCTAACCTCTTAAATGTTAGTTCAAGAGGTCTTGGTCATCATAATTCCTACCGGAAATTATTATACCATGATATCATGCTGTAACACAGTCTGTCTTACTCGGGATTGACAATTATGTGCTTAAGAACTCCACTTGGCTCTATAGACCACAGGTGCACAGCTTATAGTTATTCTGTACCTGGTTTACTTTGAACGAATAATTCTCTCATTTGTGATAGTAAAATATCCATATCCCTCGTGTAACTGAGATAGCCTACCAAATCTTTGCTAAAGTCAGTGAAGATCAAACTTACAAATAACTTTTTATCCCTTAGCATATGCCTTAAACGAAGAAACTTTTCTGAAACCACTTTTCAAGAGTATCGACATTTTTTCAAAATGATTAATTTCCTTCTACCCATTCTCAGACTCCTAATGACTATACAAATCAAGTTTTCTAAATGGTACTTTCCAGAAAATGCAAAGGAGGTTGTCTTAAATATCAGGTCTACTGTGATAATGTTCTGACCGTTAGGTATCCTCTAAAGAATGGGATGTTAAAGATTATAGGAAAAATTTTAAAAGTAGATGGTTTAAATTTCTTCAATAACTCTGAACATTGAATCTGATCTCACTCATTGTACCATGTTGGATTTATACATCGACGGTAGGACGTCCACTTTTTTAAAAGTAACTGACTCCAGAACGTAGATTCGAGTGGGAAAATTTACCTGTACATTCAAGTACCCTGGTGCGATTGAGTGTGGAGAGGGTCTGCTTCGTCTCAAAATGCTGTCACATGACCACGGGTATATGGCCAATATCAGGGAGATACTCAGTGCCTCGCGGCGAGGGTGTTTTAACGAATTTGAGATGCCGAGAAGACGGTATTCGACGCTTAAACTGAGTTGGTGGGTACGGGAGATTTGCCTAGGGGAGTTTGAAAACCCTGATTCCAAATCAACGGGTTTCAGGATCGTGATGGAACAAATGGTGCATGAACCTATTGTTGGTGACCCGCTACCATGGAATTGCATCTCTTAACGTTGTTTCACTACCTCACCTAATACATTACTATCAGACGATTAATCAAAACTATATTTGCTTCAACAATTGAAAATGTAAATACTTGAACTAACAAATAGTTATTATTGTTTACATTTTAACGTCCACCTATTTGCTTAGTCTGTTATTCTCATAAAACAATTGTTCGTCAACACCTAAGTAATAGTTCCTAATCAATATAAGTTAGTAGCAACTGTTACGATCCAAATTTTTGTCCATAAATCTTATCATAAATTTCTAAAAACTGAGTTTATTATTATATGAAGACAGAGTCAACTAAGAGTTTATCATCTCATTTAACTTTACGTGAGTTGGTTAAATAATTGAGCTTAAATTTCTCATTTAACAAACAGTTAGTATCGTTCTAAAAGATTGAAAATCAATTCAAGCAGTTTTAGATTAATTCATTTCTGAATTTTGATCATTTTCCAACCTGTTACTTTATTATATTTACTGTCTAATTCAATAGTTCGATGGTATACAGATATTTAGTTGAAACTACATACACTAAGCGATTTTTGTAATTATATATACTAGAGGTTTAATGGTTTCAGCTACCGAATTTTTTTTATGATACTCTTATATGTCAAATACACCTAGGTTGTTAGTGTGTATCTTTGAGATTCATTTGCTTAGAATTATGTTTTTAGCATTAATTTTCATTAGGTTATTTCTTCAGGATTTAACAAGTCAGAAAATGTATCTTGATAGATCCATCATTATGTGGTAAATTTGATGGCTCATGTATTGCTTTAAGGCTCTAATTTTCCAGTCAGTTAGTCAAGTCAACAACAACAACGTAGAACTTCGTACGTACGTACATCAGTTCAGGTTGCCATATCACATTAGCACTGAGATGACATTGTCACTTCAAATCCCATAGTAGTAGAGGTAGTAGAAGTGTTAGCAGTAATCGGAGAGATTAGGATTCGAAAATATTATTCAAGAAGTAGAATCTAGTGAAAGAAACTTAAAAAGAAAGAGATAAAGGTGATGAGGAATTCAGAAGATTAGAATTTGAGAGGAGATAAAGAATGGATGCACCTGCGCCATTGCAAACGATTCTGATCCATGTCATTCAGGGTCTCTAACCATTAGTGACTTACGTCTCGCGGACCCCAACCAGGTAGCCTACATCTACCAACACGACTCAGTCCACTTGTCAGTGACTTCATGGATTTGTGCCATGTTTTGGTTTGGCGGCCTCTAGCTTTCGTCCAACCTATTCCTACACCGTAAAATATAGCTAGACGAGGCAGTCGGTGGATAGGCATATGCATAAAAGCACACGAGACCAAACTGGTCACAATCAAATCCTTTCTGATTAGGAATTCAGAAGGTTAATACTTGAGAGAACACAATGAATGAATGCACCTGCGCCATTGCAAACGATTCTGATCCATGTCATTCAAGGTCTCTAACCATCACAATTACTATTATCTCACGGGCTCAGTATAAAATGATTGTTATGTAATTTAGTTTTGTGTAAGATTTTACTAGTAGTAAAACGTGACAGAAAAGGCTGTTAAATTAGTGCAAGCTTGTAAATCAATTATTAAACGTAATTCTCAACAAAACATCTGTAGACAAGGATATGTAGATACCTTTGCGCTAATGGTAATATTATCCTATATATATATTTTTACCAGAAGTTCATAAATGTTTCTATTATTTATTATTAAAACTATTTTCAAGTATAGGAAGTAATTATCAATCTGATAAATAACTTTCATGTCCGTAGTATGTAACTTCAATTTCCTCATTTTTTTATTTTTGTATGCTATTTAGCTGTTTTTATATGTTTGATCATTGTACCTTAGTTTTTGCAAAATGTATTGTTTTGTTCGATTTACTAAGAGGTTGTTTGGTTTTATTGTTTTCATTTAAACATTAGATCTAATCCCCGTAGACGTTCAAATGGAATGCTTCGGGTCAGTCTATTATATCCACTCATAAATGGGGTCATCCTTTTCGAATTTAAACAAGTCTTGGGGATGTACAAGTTTCGGAACTTCTGGTAACAGAAGTAATCGTAAAGAATTAAGTGCATTTTGCCGTTGTCCTAAGAATTGTTCATCTGGATATACGTTATCTAACACTTCACAAACCAAGACTAATTCGCTGCCAGTAGATGAACTATCAGCTTCTGTTATAACAAGTCCAGCTGCGATTAGTACATACAGTTGTACATGTAAAAACTCTTTAGTGCATTATAATCTAAACTCTGATACACATTTTTCTAATTTGGACAATAGTTATCAATTATGTGGTGTTGGTTCACAAGCATTTGTAGTACCTGCTAATTCAAATATTTCTATCAGCAGTCCTATTCTACAGTCTGATTTTAAACAAGAATACAATAGTAGTCATACACAGTGTACTGATGATGCCGAGAAGTGTGCTAACATTGATACAATTAAAAAAGACAGTGTATTTACAGATCTTTCAATACTGACTGATTGTGCAATTGATCAATTCCGAAATCTTATATCTTCTTGGTCATGTAATGATTTATGTTGTCTTTATTTGGAATATGAAGCATTATATGAACTGCAACTGTTATGGAAAGAAGCAATTAAAACTAGATTAAGGGCTCCTACTCTTAAGGTAAGTGTTTTTTTTATTTATTCTACAACTTATTGGTTTTATGTATTAGTCCTGGTTTACTTTTATTGAGTGGGGTAAGTTACCATTATTAGTATTTATGAGTGAGTACTACTGACATTAGACTCTGTCATTAGATCCTGAATGATATGGCTGAAAGTCGTTTGCAGTGGCTTAGAGGTGCATCCATTCACTGATCTCCACTCGAATTCTAATCTTCTGAACTCCTCATCACATTTATCTCTTTCTTTTTAAGTTTATTTCACTAGATTCTACTTCTTGAATAATATCGTCAAACCCTAATCTCTCCGATTAATGCTAATACTTCTACTACCTCTATTACTATGGGATTGGAAGTAAAAATTGCATCTCAGTGCTAATGTGATATGGCGACCTGAACTGATTTACATACGTACGAAGTTCTGCCTTGTAACTGACTGACTGACTATCGAGGAGCAAAAAAAAATTGATCAGAAAAGCCTGATATCTGAAAATGACCATACATTTATGTTTATTTATAAACTAGATAAGAAATAGTTCTGTGGGAAAAGTGAATTTTTATTTGATCGGTTTCAATCAGGTCAATGAAACTTTATTGTCATCCTTGTTCAATGTCATAACAGACACATGTTTAAATTTAGACCTTTTCGTTTATCGTAAAATTGATGTTTTATTGCAAAGTAAGCTATGCCACAGTTTACTTAGTTAAAAGTATTCAATATATATATATATATATGTTTTGTGTTATAGGAGTAGGTTGGAAGAAAGCTAAGGGCGGCCAAGCCAAAACATGGCAGAAATCCATGAAGTCACTGACTGGTGGACTGAGTCATGTTGGTAGATGTAAACTACCTGGTTGGGGTCCGCGAGATGATAATAATCGATGGTTAGAGACCTTGAATTACATGGCTCAAAATCGTTCGCAATGGCGCTGGTGCATTTGTTCTTTGTGTTCTCTCAAATCCTAATCTTCTGGGTTCTTCAACACTTCTAGTTTTGTTTTTCTAAACTTTTCTCACTGAATCATACTTCTTGAATAATATCTTCTAATCCCTAACCTCTCCGATTACTCCTAATACCTTTACTACCTCTTCTACTATTGGATTTGAATTGACGATTGCATCTGTCTGTGCTGATGTGGTATGGCAACATGAACTGATGTACTTACGTACGTACGAAGTTCTACGTTGCAACTGACTGACTGACTGATTTAAAATATTTAATTCATTTTTTAAATATATCAGATTTATTTTTTATCTTTCTATTCTATTTTCTTCTTCTTTTTTTACATTCTAACATCATTTTATATTTATTCAGGAGGATCTTTGTTCTTTAGCTCAACATGGTTGGTGTTTTAATATGTATCTTATTCATAATCATTCAACTCATAAAGCTCATTCATATTTATTAGCTTCACAGTTAAATAATTTCAATGAATTATTATTTACTTCATTGAATTATGAACAGTCGCATAGATGGTGTTATTTAAACAAATCAACAATTGATAATCATAATTTAATGAAAAATATTACTACTAACATTTCTGCTACCATTATTGTTAATAATGATGACAATATTAATACTTCTACTACTACTACTACTAATAACATCTTGATTAATTCACTTTCCATATCCGACAAACATATTGATCAATTATTCAATGTTCAATCTGAAACATGTCCTGATTTATTATCTAGTTCATATTTAAAATTACAAGATACTTCATCGAAAGTGAACATGTTCAATACTACTACTACTACGACTACTACTACTACTACTTATCCATATGAAAATCGACAACACTTATCGAATTTCAATTCTACACATCATTGTGTAAATGTGAACAACAATCAAGATGAATTGAATTCATTGGAAATGTTAACTAATTTTCTATGTCAATTATATACAGGAAATTATACACAAAAATTAATTTCTAAACCAGATTTATTAAATCAACCAGAAATTAAAGAGAGAATAATCACTACATATAATAATAACACTACTATTACTAGTAGTAATAATGATAGTAATAATAATAATAATTTACTGGAATTGTATAATTTTCTAAAATCATCACCTCCACATCAATGTTTATTATCGCATGACTGTGAATTAATCTTTACATCTCCATCGATATTTAATTTAACATCGATTACTCTACCATGTCATGCAGGTATATTAGCTTGTCGTTCACAATTTCTACGTCGGATTTTATTAAAACGTGGTAAATCCAACTTTAACACTACTACTAATACTACTACTACTACTACTACGAGTAGTATACAAAATTCTATACATAAAATTATTTTAGATGGTAAAATAATACCAGGACATTTTGCTACTGTGATTTTACACTTTTTCTATTGTGATTATCTTAATTTAAATGAATTATCCAATGTATTATTGATTTTTAATCAACACACATTATTGAATAAATTACATTTTAATTGGCACATTGAACATAATCAGTTGATTAAAACTACTACTACTACTACTACTAGTAGTAGTACTAATCATAATAATAATAATTTTACATGTTGCAAGTCATTCATTGAACAAAACTTGCGGTCGTCATCATCATCTTCAACGACTACGACAACAACAACACCTGTATCTAAATGTACACATGCTTATTCATCAAGTTATTGTACAGAATCTACTGATTCAGGATCATTTTTTACATTGATTGAATTTTTAATGAATAATTCAGAATTTTATGTGAAACAATTTTGTTTAAAATGTCCATTTTGTCTGACACATCTAATTCAACTTTATCCAATTGGAGCAATTTTAGAATTTCATAGACTTTCTGAAGGTAATTTTTATTTCTATTCCATATGATTGATGTTAATTATGATTGTTACAATTGAAATAAGGAAATGTTTAAGTATTTGGTCATGGTTCGGACTTGCTTATATGCTGGTTGGAAGTTGAATATACTTTAACGATATTATTCTATGTCAGCACTCTTCACTATGATTACTACTGAATACATAACATAATGTAGTGATGGAGAACACAGGTGAGGGCAACCGGATTGTATTTAACGAAAATTACAGAGTTACTCAGTAAAATAGGGAAACCATGTCGTAAATCGTTAATTTGCAAAATATCAGTCCATCATATCGAACTGGACTGTTCCTGTTGCAAAACATCAATGCATTGTCACTATTCATGCGTTTCATACAAATTTCATTGTGTTCTAACTCTTCCTTTCTTGATCTTCCCCCATATTATGCTGCCAGACATTACGTTGACACTCACGTCATATACTACTACTTATAAGTAGCTCACACCACAATAGGGTTTGTTTAAATAAACATTCCATCGTAGTTTTTTTAAGTTTTCATTATTAATTTTGAAGAAACAATTGTTGTCGAAATGCAGCTGCTTTTCTGTTTTACTTAACGATCATCAAAAGGATTTCAACTTGTTCTGTTAACATCGATCGATCAGCAATCAACACACACATCGACATTGACCCAATTTATCAACTAATCAGAAAAAAACCATTGGCAAACATAGGATCCAGAAGCAGATCAAAGGGGGATACAATCAAAATAAAGGTGCAAACAACGACAGGTTTAAGGTCAATAACAACCAATCAAAATCGAGGTTAACAGAACAAGCTACAGGTCAAACGTGCAGAAATTCGATTACTTCACTTCTATATGAAGTTTGTGCTGATGATGATGATGTTGTTCAAAAGAGCAAACAATGAAAGCTCCACAATCAAAGCATCCAACTTAGAGAACAAAACTCTCCGCCACAATCATCCATCTGAGCTACAAATTTTCTCCACCATCTCAAGATGATGAGTTGGTCATGAGAATTACAAATCTTGGGTTCAGGGATTTCATGTTTGAGAGAAATAGCTGTTCAACGCATCTCAGTTTTCAGCTAAAATAGATAAATGATGTTATTATTTTCTTCTATTGTCCAATAATTCGCTCAACTCTTCACACTTCAGTACAATATGAATTGGATACAATAGGTTCCAATAAGTCTTTTCTAAAAATCACATTCTTAATTTGTTGTCTTCCTGTTAATTGGTACTGTAATTATTTCGACTACTTCACATCATTCATGATTTTAATTTCATCTTATAGTGGTGTGTTTCAGGTATGACAACTTGATCTAGGGAAAATTTATGCTAGATTCTATGTTGATGATGACTGATTGATTGGCTTCAGTGGAAATTTGTGATATTGCATGGCCTACAGTCTGTCACAGTGTCAGTGGATCGTGAGGTTCTGTGGCAGTGTCTGTCATTGAAAGGTGTACGAAAGAAGTACATTAACCTTATACAAGCTCTCTACTCGAACACTACTGGTCGAGTGACAGCTTATGGCGATCTGTCATTTGAATTATCTACATCACGTGGTTTGCGTCAGGGCTGTCCACTCTCTCCATTCTTGTTTAACTTTGTTGTAGACATCCTCTTAGAGTTAACATTAAGCTTGTCAGATTTTTCAGGGGTTGACTTTCTACCAGGAAAATCGCTTACTGATCTAGAATATGCCGATGACATAGTTCTATTCGGTGAAGACGCTGACAAAATGCTGAGTCTTCTGACTACCATAAGCAACAATGCGAGCATGTTCGGGATGCGGTTTTCCTCCTCGAAAAGCAAAATGTTGCTTCAAGACTGGGTTGCATCGGCACCTGAACTAGTGATAGGGAGTGAAGTAGTCGAACGTGTTGATCGCTTCACTTATCTTGGGAGTCTCATCAGCGCTGATGGCCTGACTGACGAAATCTCAGCACGGATACTGAAGGCTCGATTTGCTTTTGCCAACCTGTGTCACTTATGGGGTAGGCGAGATATCCGTTCTCTAACCAAAGGACGAGTGTACTGCGCAGCAGTTCGCTCTGTTCTCCTATATGGATGCGAAACATGGTCGTTAAGACTAGATGTTCGTAAGTTACTAGTATTCGATCATAGATGTTTAAGAAGCATTGCTCTTATACCGTGGGACGACCGAGTAAGCAATGCTGTCGTTAGGAAACGGGTGCTAGGTAAGGATGGCAGATCAATAGATGAAGTGGTGAAACTTCATCAATTGGGGTGCTTGGGACATGTGCTGAGTATGCCTAACCACCGACTACCTCGACGAGCTATGTTTTGTGGTGTAGGAGTAGGTTGGAAGCAAGTTAGGGGCGGCCAAACCAAAACATGACAGAAATCCATGAAGTCACTGACACGTGGACTGAGTCATGTTGGTAGATGTAGACTACCTGGTTGGGTTCGGCGAGACGAAAGTCACCAATGGTTAGAGACCTTGAACGACATGGCTCAAAATCGTTAGCAATGGCGCAGGTGTATTCATTCGTTGTGTTCTCTCAAATCCTAATCTTCTGGATTCGTCAGCTTCTATACCTTTGTCTTTCTAACCTTATTTCACTTAATTATACCTCTTGAATAATATCTTCGAATCCTAGTCTTCTTCAATACCACTAATACCTCTACTATCTTTATCACTATGGGATTTGATTTGACATTTGCGTCTCTGTGTTGATGTGGTATGGCAACATGAACTTATGTACATACGTACGAAGTTCTACGTTGCAACTGACTGACAGTGTCATATTCATATTTATTGTTCACTCGGTTCCCACAATCTAACCTTGGTATCGATTCTTTGATCCGTTTCACAATAGTTGTTGTTCTATCTCTATTATATACGTAATGGTTAGTGATTAATCTATTTTAGTTAGTTCCACTTTAAGTACAGAATGGTTATTTGTCTGTTCGTTAGTGGTGATTGAATTTGGTCGATTTCAATCAAACCAGATCTTTTATGACCACATCCAATCACATGTAATGTCGAATCACTTAGACTAGTGATTTGCATTTCAACTTGATTGATGGAATTCGATTAGTACTGTTAAAGGATTAGACAAACATGACATTAGTTATTACACAATGATTGATTGATTTCATTAGTTCAGTTCTACAGGAAAGATGCGCGGTCTGAATAAGTTCAATGATAAAAACACAGACTATGATACTGGCTAATATAGGTTCGAATCATATATGGGATATCAGTTCTCTGAAGATAGTAGGTACGTCTTGCTGATATGTGTCAGCTAGTTCGAAATCTACTTTCAGAGTTTTACTGTCGATTACTTTCAATTATTAATTAACAGTGTCATTTATAGTATTAAGCAAGAACCGTAGGTACAACACAACATGCACCAACTAAATCACACTTGATGGAGAAGGTTTGGAGGATTTAGAAACCTTTACATATCTGAGAAGCACCATTGATGAACAAAGTGGATTTGATGCAAATGTGAAGACATGGATTAGCAAAGCAGGGGCAACATTTCTACAGTCGAAAAACATCTGGAACTAAAAACAACTACTAACCAACACCAAAGTAAGAATTTTCAATACAAATGTCAAGACAGTTCTACTATATCGGGCAGGAAGTTGGAGAACTACGAAAGCCATAATCTACAAGATAGATACAAGTGTTCATTAACAGTTGTCTACGCAAGATACTGTTGATCCGTTGCCCAGACACCATCAGCAACAATCTACTGTGGAAGAGAACAAACCGGATTCCAGCAGATGAAGAAATTAGGGTAAGGTGGTGTAGGTGGATAAGGCATTCTGAGGAAAATGTACCTATTTGGAATCCTGAAGGCCTAGGGAAATGAGGAAGATCATTGAACGTATTACGCCGAGAATCGAAGGCAGACATCAAAAGAATGAACAACAGTTGGATAGAACTGGAATAGAAGGCCGAAAACAGAGTAGGTTGGCGAATGCTGGTGGTCGGCCTAATGTTCCATTAGGGGTCACAGACGTAGTCAGTCAGCCAGTCAGATGCAACGTAGAACTTCGTACGTAAGTACATCAGTTCATGTCGCCATACCACAACAGCACAGAGATGTAATTGTCAATTCAAATCCAATAGTAGAAGAGGTAGTAAAGGTATTAGAAGTAATCGGAGAGGTTAGGATCAGAAGATATTATTCAAGAAATATGATTTAATGAGAAAAGTTTAGAAAGTCAAAACTAGAGGTGTTGAAGAATCCAGAAGATTAGGATTTGAGAGAACATAAAGAATGAATGCACCGGCGCCATTGCAAACGGTTTTGAACCATGTCATTCAGGGTCTCTAACCATCGATTATTATCATCTCGCGGACCCCAACCAGGTAGTCGACAGTTACCGACATGGTTCAGTCCACTCGTCAATGACTTCATGGATTTCTACCATGTTTTGATTTGGCCGCCACTAACTTTCTTCCAACCTATTCCTACACTACAAAACAACGCTCGTCGAGGCAGTCGGTGGTTAGGCATACTCAGCTCATGTCCCAACCACCTCAACTGATGAAGTTTCATTACTTCATCTATTGATCTGCCATTCTTACCTAACACCCGATTCCTAATAACAGCGTTGCTCACTCGGGTGACCCAGGATATACGAGCAATGCTTCGAAGACACCTATGATCGAAAACCAGTAACCTACGAATATCTTCCACTCTCACTGGTCATGTTTCACAGCCATATAGGAGAACGGAGCGAACTGCTGCACAGTACACTCGTCCTTTAGTCAGCAAACGGATATTTCGGGTAACAGTCGTAAGTAAAACTAATTTATAATATAATTTCAAGTTATTTTTCATATTTTTTTTTAAACTTTTAACCATTTTTATACTTTTATTCTTAATAAATCAAATATATTTTCTACTTATTTATTCCTAAAATAGTATGTGAAGATTTGTTAGCAGAAGCTCTTAGTTTACCATCAACTAATGTTGAAAATTATGAAAATAATAACTGCAAACATTTGTCTACTAGCACTACTACTACTACTACTACTACTACTACTAATACAACTGTTCCAAAAAAACAACAAGATATGTCTTCCTCTGTAAAAATGAGTTCTATCAGTTTAGCTGTTGGTCTATTAAAATGGATCGATGAAAAATCCCCATCATCATCAACATCTTCATCTTTGCCTGAACTATTTTTCAACACTCAATTTTCACAGCATAATAATAAAAGTGCTTCAGACTCTCCAATTGTTGTTAGTCAACAATTTAAATCTAATGAAGATTTTTCATCTACTATGGATCATCAATACAGTTTTCAATTTAATGATCATAAAAATCTTCAAATTTCTTCACCTTATAATGGAACATCACTTGGTTTTGTATATCATCATGCTATACAATGTTTACGAGAAAATTTCTCCGCATTAGTTCGTTCACCGTTTATTTTAAGACGGTTATCACCGCAACACCTTCATGAATTGCTTGATTCTAGCCTTGTTCAAGTATGTTGTTGTAGCATATGTTTATATGAAATTCGATTATAATTTTATTTTATTGTCAACTTGCGTCATCTATGGCGTAGGGGGGGGGAGATATCTAACGGTTAGGGCGTTCGCGCACAATACCGAAGGTCCTGGGTTCGAATCCTGCGGGATGCAGGAGTCGTGGATGCGCACTGCTGAGGAGTCCCATACCAGGACGAAACGGCTGTCGTGCAGTGCTTCCAGGTTTCTAATGGTGGTCTAATAACAATGATCAATTCATGGTTTCAAAAATGTGTAACTTACCAATCTTCACAACCCCTGTAATGAAGATATCTATCTGCCAACTAAAGGACGCGTTTATTGTATAGCAGTTCGCTCCGTCCTAATTTATGTCTGTAAAACATGACCAGTAAGAGTAGAGGATATTCGTAAGCTACTTAACTAGTATTCGATCATAAGTGTCTTTCAAACATTGCTCGTATATCCTGAGACCAATGCGTAGACAATGCTGGTGTTAAGAAACGTGTAGTAGGTAAGGTTGCCAAATCAATTGTATCATGTTATACCAGATACCCAGTTTTACTGAGCAAATAGGTAACCAGAGTACTATGCGATAGGCGCAAAACTTTACTTCATACAGTCATTAACAGTCACTAATCCTGGAGTAGGAGCTAATGATAGGAAAGGAAGTCATATTTTTAATAGCCTGTTTGTCCACACTCAATAAGTAATCACATTTGACCTTTATTACTACGACACATCATAACGCATGGAATATTTATCGTAATCAAAATGAATAAAGTATGTGTAAATTCACAGCTATTATTCATTTTATGACCTGCTAACAATCATGAACAAAATGTGTGTGTGCTGTTTTGAGGTACAGATCAAAGATTCAAATTGAATTGTCATGTGGAACGTTTAGCCTATTATTAGATTCCGGTTATAAATTATTTAGTTCGTTTGCTAAGTAACAGGTTTTTATTAGGTGGTGACTGAAGATTAGGTTCAGTGCTAACTGGACTCTTGAAGGGAACTGATGCTCCTCCATGTAGGATTTGAAAATGTTGAGTCACTTAGACTTTGTCGGTCAGCACTAAATACCAAACAAATATGACATTGGTGACTGCTCAATAGCCGATTTATGTAAATATCTCAATCTTAAAGGATATATATTAACCTAATAGCTCAACTGCAACATCTTATAGTGTGAAATTGAATCCCACATGAAACATCAGTTCCCTCAAGATTACAGGTACGTTTTACTGATTAGTGTCAACTACCTAATTATCAAAACATAGTGTGGATATAATTTTGAGTCACTTAGATTAGAGCTCATATCACACAACTTGGTTGATAAAACTTGATTAGCTCTATAGACTAGACAAACATGGCATTAGTCACTATTCTTTCCATCAGTGTGAACAGTTTTCATTTACTCAGTTTTTAGCCATACTCTTTTGATTCACAGATGGCCGAACTATAGTGGCTAGAACAAAGTTTGAACCTGTGGCCTGCTAGTTTAAAATCCTAGTGCTTTATCACTGAGTCAGTATTCCACTATGTTGAACCAGTTAGTATGTTTAACCCCCTATCTTAAAGGCAAACGGTGATATTTTGAAAATCACAAAAAGTGACACAGTGTAGATTCCGTTACTATTAACAAACTACATAAACTACCGCTTAACTTGAAGAACAATTCTATTAAGTTTGACTTTAGGTTGAGAGTTAAAGACAGTCAAATAAAAAAAACATGACATCAGTCCTTCACTGTCTATCTTGTTCATTTCATCTCATTATGTTAATGTGAAATGAGAACTTAGGCTGATGCAAATCTGCACCAGTCTCCTACATTGGTTAACTGACTAACCCAAAGCTTAATTAACAAACATCATACTGTGATGCGCGCTACTTATAAGTAGTATATGACGCCAGTGTAAACGTAATGTCTGGCAGCGGAAGATGGGTTAAGATCAAGAGAAAGGAAGAAGAGTGGGAAAACAATGGAATTTGTATGAAACGCATGAATAGAGAGTGAAATGTCAGACAATGGATTGAAGATTTGCAAATTAACGATATACGATATGGTTTTCCTATTTTACTGAGTAACTCTGTAATTCTCGTTAAATACAATTCGGTTGCCCTCACCACCTATGTTCTCCTTCACTACAATACTATATACAGATTTTTAAATCCATGCAATTTATACCTTAGTTGTATGCTTTCTATTCTTATATATCATATTTAGGATTCCAATTAATGAAATAATAATATCTATACATTTACACAAATTATGCTCACATTAGATTTGATAGAATGAATAATTAATACAATGTAAAAAAAAAGCATATTCCCTTTCTTTTCCCTCTTTGCTTCTCCCCTTGAGAATTACTTATTCTTCCCCTTGAATCATCCTTATTTACTCTGTTTCTGTTACATTTTTAGTTTGATCTCCTTGTTATACTTTCAAAATATTGTTAATCAGTCAGTCAGTCAGTCAGTTAGTCAGTGTTTTAACTCCCTACCAGTTTCTTCTCAGTACTGTGGTAAAAAAAAATTGTGTGATTTTTATTTATTATCTTCAAGTTAATTTTATCTCACTTTTTTGACTTAAGAGTGAAATTTATTATTGGTTTTATCTATACAGTGTTTATTGTTAATGAGTGAGTAATAAAGAAGTTGAAAGTCTAGAAACTACATTACAGACTATGACTGTTTATATACTTTGATTATAATATCTCACTTATAGCGTAGGTGAGATGTCCGTTTGCTAACCCGAAGGACGAGTGCCCTGCGCAGCAGTTCGCTCTGTCCTACTATATGGATGCAAAACATGGCCGGTAAGAGTAGAAGACATTCGTAGGCTATTAGTATTCGATTGTAGAGATGTCTTTGAAGCATTGCTCGTATATCTTGGGACAGTTGTGTAAGCAATGCTGTCGTTAAGAAACGAGTACTAGTCAGAGATGGCAAATCAATAGATGATCATTGAAACTTCATTAGTTGAGGTGGTTGGGACATGTGTTACGAATGCGCAACCACCGACTGCCTCTTCGAGCTATGTTTTGTGGTGTGGGAGTAGGTTAGAAGCAAATTACGGGCAGCGAAACCAAAACATGGCAGAAATCCATGAAGTCACTGACAAGTGGACTGAGTTATGTTGGTCAGTCAGTCAGTCAGATGCAACGTAGAACTTCGTACGTAAGTACATCAGTTCATGTCGCCATACCACATCAGCACAGAGATATAATTGTCAATTCAAATCCAATAGTAGAAGAGGTAGTAAAGGTATCAGAAGTAATCGGAGAGGTTAGGATTAGAAGATATTATTCAAGAAGTATGATTCAATGAGAAAAGTTTAGAAAGTCAAAACTAGAGTTGTTGAAGAACCCAGAAGATTAGGATGTGAGAGAACACAAAGAATAAATGCACCGGTGCCATTGCAAACTGTTTTGAGCCATGTAATTCAGGGTATCTAACCATCGATTATTAACATCTCGCGGACTCCAACCAGGGTGTCCCAGGATATACGAGCAATGCTTCGAAGACACCTATGATCAAAAACCATTAACCTACGAATATCTTCTACTCTGACTGGCCATGTTTCACAGCCATAAAGTAAGACGGAGCGAACTACTGCGCAGTACACTCGTCCTTTAGTCAGCAAACGGATATGTTGGTAAGTGCAGATTACCTGGTTGAGGTCCACGAGATGATAGTAATCGGTGGTTAGAGACCTTGAATAACATGACTGAAAGTCGTTTGCAATGGCTTAGGTGCATCCATTCTTTATCTCCTCTCAAATTCTAATCTACAGAATTCCTCATCATCTCTATCTTTCTAAAGTTGTCTCACTGTACTATACTTGTTGAATAATATCTTCAATCCCTAATTTTCTCCATTACTAGTAATTTTTCTACTATCTCCACCACTATGGGATTTGAACTGACGGTTGCGTCTGTGTGCTAATGTGGTATGGCAACCTGAACTGATGTACTTACGTACGAAGTTCTACGTTGTGACTGACTGACTAACTGATACCTTAATTATATAAGTGTTGGACAATTGGATCATTGTATTCCTGTATTCCATGGTATTGTGAACTACTGTTGATACTTTCAACTATTTGTTGCTTACTTACGCTCGTTACCTCTAACGGGGAGCATAGGCCACCGACCAGCATTCTCCAACCTTTGTGTCTTGCGCCTTCTTTTCCAGTTCTACTCAATCGCTGTTCATTCTCTTGATGTCTGCTCCCGATTCTTGACGTCATGCGTTCTTCGGCCTTCCTCTTTTCGATTTCGCCTTGAGGATTCCGAGTGAGGGCTTGTCTTGTAATGTAGTTCGGTGACCAACTATTGTTATGCGACTTATTATTCTCTAATTATTATTATTATTAGGGAATTATGTATTGTCTAGTGAATTATCTGTTACGCGTATGGCTTAGTCCTTTGTAATTGATGACCTCTTGTCTGCAACGATGGATGCGTTGTTATCTGATAAATTGATAAAGTAGTGAGTGTTTGACAGAAAGAATTAATACAGGCTACCTGAAATACAATACAAGAAGCTTGTTAACTTATATTCTTTTATTCGGATTTAACAATAGGGATAGAAGGCGCGCATACCGATTACATATCATCAGGGTTTGAAATTACATTAACCTCAACTCGAGATTAATCTTTCCATTAGAAGTTGATCATTGGTCCAAGTTTGAGACGTGGGATATGGAAATTATATAGCGGGATTCTGATTGGCAAATCTAGCACTAATACTTTACTGTTTAGTAGTGCTCGTAATGCAAACGGTATTTTCTCTTCGTATCAACGTAATCAATCTTCTTGTTAAATAAATTTTATTCTAGGGTTAAGGAGATTGCTGAGTTTCGTTGCAATCATAAATCGATCAAGGTTAGGCCACTGTTAGACACCTAAAAGCACTGGACGGCCGAAAGTCCTTGGTCTCTATTCTCGCGAGTAGGAGTCGTGGGTGCTCACTGCTGGAAAGTCTCAACCTAGAATTCGACAACCGTACTGTGCTTTCAGGTTTTTGATAGGGGCCTAACATTGATCGATTCATGATTGCTATGATATAAATTTTAAATCATCAATCAATCATTGTTCGACCACCATTAGAAACCTGGAAGCACTGGACGGCCGTTTCGTCCCGGTATGGGACTCATCAGCAGTGCGCATCCACGACTCTTGCACCTCGCAGGATTCGAACCCGGGACCTTCGGCATTGTAGGCGAACGCCTTACCATCGGACCACTGGGCCGGTATCCAACGGTGTTAATGTCTAACTCTGATTGATCTAGGGATTTTGCGCGACCCCACCCATTTGTCTTTGGTAGTTACTGCCTACACCTCCAAAACTCTGCCCCAAAATATAAATTTTATTCCGTCGAAACAATGCAATAATTTAGATTTGTACACAGTAAATCCTCTGATTAATCACTGAGTATAACTAGTAGTGACAAATGTCATGTTTGTCTTATTGTTGATCAAATTCGCTATCGATTAGGTAGCTTGAAATAAAATCGTAGATTGTATATAACCTAGGTATTAGCAGCAGTAGTACTAGTAACCTTAGTAACAGATTAGTTATGTAGGGATGATGAACCAATAACAATTGAGAGAGAATAACTTTTCAGTGTTTGCACGATATTCTTAAATGAATAACTTTTATGCTATCATTATCAACATATGATGTGATACACTTAGTACTACTTTGTTTGCAGATTGCATATAATACTCAAAAAAAAAACTCTGTTCTTAAAACTCTTGATTCTAACTTTAAATTCTTGAAATTAAATCTTATTCACAAGCAATGTTGGGACTGTGAGTAAATTTTTTACTTCCTTATTAGGACTTTAAGAGGATCAATGTTCTATAACTATTTGGATGAGTTTTTATAAATCTTTGTCTTTTTGATATACAAAGAGAAATAGTCACAAAAAGGCTTTAATAAATTTATTAATTCTGTAAAATTTGTGTGCCCTTTATGATGTGGTTGGTATCTCATCAGTCGTGATGGCTTGGTGTCTGATGAAGTCTCAGCACGGATGCAGAAGGCTCGATTGGCTTTTGCCAACTTGCGTCACTTATGGCGTAGGAGAGATATCCGTCTACCAACCAAAGGACGAGTCTACTGCGCAACAGTTCGCTCCGTCCTATTTTATGGTTGTTAATCATGGCCAGTAAGAGTAGAGGATATTCGCAAGCTACTAGTATTCGATCATAGTTGTCTTCAATTCATTGCTCGTATATCCTGGGACAACCGAGTAAGCAGTGCTGTCGTTAGGAAACGAGTACTAGTCAGAGATGGCAAATCAATAGATGAAGCATTGAAACTTCATCAGTTGATGTGGTTGGGACATTTGTTGCGTATGCCCAACCACCGACTGCCTCTTCGAGCTATGTTTTGTGGTGTAGGAGTAGTTTAGAAGAAAGCTAGGGGTGGCCAGACCAAAACATGACAGAAATCCATGAAATCACTGACAAGTGGACTGAGTAATGTTGATAAGTGTAGACTACCTACCTGCTTGAGATCCACGAGATGATAGTAATCGTTAGTTAGAGACCTTGAATGTCAGTGCTCAGAATCGTTTACAATGGCTTATGTGCATCCATTCTTTATCTCCTCTCAAATTCTAATCTTCTAGACACCTCATCACCCTTATTTTTCTCTTTCTTTTTAGTTTATTTCACTGAGTTGCATTCCGATTACATCTCATATTTCTACTATCCCTACTACTATGTTATTTGAATTGATAATTGTGTCTCTGTGCTAATATGGTATGGCAACTTGAACTGATGTACGTACGTACGAAGTTCTGTGTTTGTGAAATAGCTGTCTTTATATTGGCCATGAATGAACTTAGATTCGTCTCGGTTATTCTTAGCCCTTACCTGTACCAAATACTCTTACAATAAAGAGCCTTAAACCATGAGTTTCCCAAGATACCAGAAAGTTAGTGAGTTTGACCTTTTTCTCACTGAGATTATGTTTTTAGTATAGAGTTGTAAAGGTTGTTGGATTTGATTAAAAGTGTCAAACAATCTAAGTTAGAAAACCATTGAAAACCATGAAGCATTCAGTAGCCATTTCATATTGGTATCTGACTCCGTAACAGTGCGCTTCCATGATATTCTAAAGAAGGAGTCGAATTTTGGACCTTTGATCTCTCACGCGAACGCCTAACCCCTAGACCATTGAGCTGGGATTAATTGGTGTACAGATCTGGCCTCGGCCAGTCTACGATATTGCTTAACCACCTTTGGTGGATATCCTCACACTTAACACGGTCGTGTCCTACTGATCATGGCTGTTGACGGGAACTTCATATATTTTGTTATTCTTTCGTTCTTAATAAAACTCATACAATTGTTGGTAAATACTATGTCTAACTATATTTTTTTTGTACATACAAAACAATAATTATCTAGGCACCTGAATCTGAAATTCTCGCTGGTCTGTTATGTTGGGCTGAGTTTCAACTTAAATTTAAGCAGAATACATGTTTTGATGCTCAATCTGCAAATGTATGCCCTAGTAGAGGTAAGTATCAACAATATAAAATGCATGTGTTTTTGTTTTATCCACTTTTTATTTTGGTCACTTATAACCTTGTAATTTGATGTGATATTAAGAAGCTCTTATCTTTGACATGTTATTATTGTCTATTCCAATGATATTGATCAACCGAGTGTTTGAAAGATGATGGTAAGAGGTGTGATTAAAAAAATTATTTTCAGAACCATGAATCGATCAATGTTAGACCACCATTAGAAACCTGGAAGCACTGGACGGCCGTTTCGTCCTGGCATGGGACTCCTCAGCAGTGCGCATCCACGACTCCTGCACCCCGCAGGATTCGAACCCAGGACCATTGGTATTGTAGGCGAACGCCTAACCATCGGACCACTGAGCTGTTATCTAACGGTGTTAATATCCAACTTTGATCAATTCATGATCTTGCGCAACCCATACATTGTCTTTGGTGAGCACTGCTTCTTGATTCCAATAAGTAACCCAACAATCTCCACAACCGCATAATGCAAATAAAATAATAGTTGAAGATATTTCTCACCATACGCTGACATTACAGTCCTCTGTCTCAAATTGAACAAGTTTAATTCAATGCCCACCTACTATCTTAGTTAGTAGGGTACAAACTCTCAGGACTTCAAAGGTTTTTTTTTAGTGCACTGAATAACCTTAACCAGACTTTCATTAGTTATTGAGAATATACGACAATAGTATTTGGTTTGTTCGCCAAAAAACTTTCAAAACTTTCAAGTCACATATAATGCCGTCAACACCTATATTTTCTGTACATAACTTCACTTTCAAACTAAACCTTCTACATTTGTCGGCTTTTGTAATCTATTCAAGGCTCAGGAGTAACAAGTTTATAGGGATTAAGATGTTGGCCTGGTTGTGAAGCGTTCAATTAAGTGATATGTGTGAGACGGTGGAAACGATTATTATTTTCATACTGTATTTTTTGTAAAATTTCGATTACTGCTCATACTTTTACTACCTCTACCACTATACGATTTGAAGTGACAATTTGGTCTCTCTATCCTAATGTAGTATGCCAACTTGAACCGATATACGTACGTACGTACGAAGTTCTACGTTGTAACTGACTGACTGACTGATTGACAATCATTCAGTTATAAATAACACCACAGAAAGTAGGATAAATGTAGATCAGTTCAAGTTGTCTCAAGCATAGATGAATAGTAGAAGTTATCATTTTGCTGAAAAGCCAATCAGATTACAGCTGGCAATTATCGAGTTCTTGTGCAAAGTTATAAACTTGATCATCATTAATTTGTGTCGTATTATTAAAAGCTAAATAATACTTCCTGAAAGTTTATGACTAAAACTCTTAAAGATTTTTAAACATGAGAAAACTATTAAAATATCGACCATAATTTATGAGGCTTTTGAAAGTAGCCTTAACTCCTAACTCTAATCTCGGTCCTTAATCGCAAATGTTAATTGTAACCTCATCCTCTTTGGGGAAATTTATGTAGTCAATTATTGATTGATATCACCTGGTCCAGCCCAGTGGTCCAGAGATTAGCCGTTCGCACGCAAGACCGGAAGTCCTAATGTGGTGCGCACTACTTATAAGTAGTATATGACGCGAGCGAAAGCGTAATGTCTGGCAGCAGAAGATGGGGGAAGATCAAGAAAGGAAGAGTGGGAACACAATGGAATTTGTATGAAACGCATGAATAGTGAAATGTCAGACAATGGATTGATGATGGATTGAAGATTTGCAAATTAACGGTGTACGATATGGTTTTGCTATTTTACTGAGTAACTCTGTAATTTTCGATAAATACAATTTGGTTGCCCTCACCTGTGTTCTCCTTCACTACACTAGGTTGGAATCCTGTGAGGCGCAGGATTCGTGAATATGCACTGCTGATGACTCCCATCCCAAGACGAAACAGCCATCCAGTGCTTCCGGGGTTTCTAATGGTGGTCTAACAATGATTGACTGATAATTTCAATGTAATATCACCGGCGTTCTGATTGGACAAATCTCGATCTCACTTTTTTATGGTCAAGAGAGTTGTTAAATGTCATCAATAAACTATACTAAAAAATATACCGAAAGAATATAATTTAATTGGAAGTCTTAATGAAAGGATTAAAGAATGAAAGTATTTAGATCTCTATCAGTATCGATTTTGATTTAGGTCACATTAAAAAGATCTCAACGCATCGAGTTTACAATTATCACATTGATGAAATGCAATCATGAAGCTGCTTATTTCGAATACTTTTTAATCTAACAACAATCACTAATTTCATTGTCTTTAGTATCGTCATCATCATGAACTGATGATATCGTGTCGTTTTGGTCTGATTGCATCATCAATGTTTGTAGCTTCTATATTGGGTTTACTAATTCAGTCAGCTATAAGCAACACAGAATCTGGATCATATATGCTTCGATTACATTTACCATAAGATATCTGCACACCGAAATAAATTGTAGTAGTACTTATCTATGTGTTATGCTCGTCAATTGATATGCTTGAAACTGTTACGAGTTCACCTTAGTCGGTAAATGAGAGTGAAGACAAATGATCCAGTGATACGAAAGGCTACTCTAATCCGAGCGTCCCAAGGCTCCACTAAGTAGAGGAAGAATTCTTGACAAGACGTAGAAAGTGTATTCTACAAGCACCCAGAAAATCAAGGTTAACAAACACATACATCGAGTTTATTTATACCAAATAGAAACATCCTTGGGAGAGCCACAAAAATAGCGTACTAAAATAATAATAATAATACATCAACCAATAACAGTCAAGAATTTTCCGGGTGATAAATATTATCTCAAGGTCAACGGATCAGCCAATCTGTGAAAGCTTAGAATCCAAAATTAGGACCTTTATCAAGTGAGTTCAAGGGATCTAACGTCCTCAACACTATGTGTTAGAAAACAGACACAGAGTTCACATGCATTGACGTCATTACTACGTTCGACCAGGTAGAGAGAGGTAGCCCCTACAACTAACTAACCAACATGATGCAGTTGGTTCAATTCAGTCATGTCAGACTAAACAATATTATAGATTGATGTTATATTATGTTGCGTTGATTATCAATTCGTAAATCTCTCTTCCTCTATATATTTTATCAATTGATTTTTAAAAATATTTTTTTGTTTTAAATATCTCCATTTCATTCATCATCAATGGTACAATAAAAAATATTTAGATGATAATGAAATCAATAATCATCAATCGAACAAATCATTCAACAATCATATTTTCACTGAATATCAATCAATTTTAACATCAATCATTGATAATCCATCTGTTTTGAACTGTAATCAATCCGATTCGGCAGAAGAAGAAAATGATGATCTTTTTTCCTATTTTAATCATTGGTTGCTATTATGTCTCAACTGGGATAATAATAATAATAATAATAATAATAATAACAGTAATAATAATGCAGGCAATTGCATGAAAAAGTCTACATCAATGATGGATAATTATGTATCCAGTTTGTCATCCTCTTGTCAATTATGTCATCCTCCTCCTCATCATCATCCGACTACTACTACTACTAATAGTAAATGTTTTTCCATTGAATCTTTTCTTCGCAGTCATCATCTTGGTCAATTCATCACTAGTTATTGTACACAATTGATTGATTTTAAAGCAATTGTGAATTTATTAAATGAATATAATTTACTGGATTGTATTCGACCAGCGCATTTACTTAGTTCTATGCCTAATGAATTATTAGCCGACATTCTATTACGTCATCATCATCATCATGTACAGGCTGATCATCAACACAATTTGAATGTATATCATTCATCTTATTTAATTCGAGATTCTGTGAATAGAAGCACAGATTTAATGAATTCACCGTGGAATTCATTTATTCAATTGATAAAGAAGTCTTCCCCGTCGATTTACTCAGAGAAACAAGTAAGTTGTCAATGAGAGAGAGAGAGAGAAAAAAGGCTTGACCATTTTTTTGGTCTGGTGTTTTTTGACAGTACTGACTCCAGCCCAATTGATGAAGATCTTAGATTTTTAAAGCGAATTATTTTATTGGATGAAAAGGTATGGAAAAAATGTTTAAGACTGAATGATGGTGGTATGGGACCCATCTTTGGCAGTGTGCATTGACGACCCCACATAAGGGAATCGAACTGAAGACCTCCGGTCTCGTGCGCAAACACCTAACCTCTTGATCACTGAGGCGAGTTCAAAAGTGTTAATGTGTAACATTAATCAATCCAAGGTATTGCACAACCTCACCCACTGTTTTCGGTAGTTACTGCCTACATCCAACAGGGTTGAACTGGACTGGTCACGACTTCGCACTAGGACTTCGTGAATTTCTTCACGAAGCTAGTCGCTAGTGAGCACTTTGTATGCTATTAGTTATAGAGTTATGGAGGCTGTTGTTTTTCATTGAGATCATGAATCAAACATTGTTAGACCACCATTTGAAACTTGGAAGCATTCGCGTGCGAGATCAAAGGTCCTGGGTTGGATTACTGCGAGTGGGGATCGTGAATAATCGCTGCTGAAAAGTCCCATACTACGACTTGATGGCCGTCCAATACTTCCATGTTTCTTATGGTGGTCTAACAATGTTTGATTCATGATTTCAATGAAAAACAACAGCCTCCATAACTCTATAACTAATAGCATACAAAGTGCTCACTAGCGACTAGTTTCGTGAGGAAATTCACGAAGTCCTAGTGAGAAACCGTGACCAGTGGAGTTCAACCCTGTTGGATGTAGGCAGTAACTACCGAAACAGTGGGTAAGGTTGTGCAATACCTTGGATTGATTAATGTTACACATTAACACTTTTGGACTCGCCTCAGTGATCAAGAGGTTAGGTGTTTGCGCACGAGACCGGAGGTCTTCAGTTCGATTCCCTTATGTGGGGTCGTGGATGCGCACTGTCACTGATGAGCCCCATACCATAACGAAATGACCGTCTATAGTGAGAAGGCTATTTACCAAAAAACGAATTATCATTATTCATTCATATTTTATGCAGGTTATGGGCAAATCGATTGAGCTATTGACTGTTTGTTTGAATTACGAATTTACACCTTTCAGTATACATAAATACATACAGATGTGACTTTTTCTGAGGTTGTATCGTTGGTCATATCGCTCATAAAAGTAGTTAAAATGGTGACAGATATTCTAGCTGCTCAGGTGAACTACTCAAAGAACACAACATAGGGGAAAATTCGGATTAGTAACTGATTATTGATCGAGTTGTATTATAATTAGTAATCTAGGTAACTCTATATCGCCTGAACTATGTTTTCATGTTAGTTGGTTGGATGTAGTCGACAGGGAATCCTAGACGTAGGTTCCGATAAATTCTGATCACTACTTAGTGACTAAAAATGTAGAAATATCAATTCTGCAAGATGTCAGTCGCAACTGGAATAGCTCATCGTTAACGTTTCAGAATGTAAAGATAGTAACGTTGGTTCGTATTCCACAAAGAGTATCAGTTCCCTCAAGATTGTGAGTATGCCTTGTTGGTGAGTGCCATTTAACACAAAACCCTAGGTCAATCAGGGTATACCTTCAATTACATTCACGCACCTAACATAACATTAACTAGCTACTGTGTTGAAATTCAGTCTCATTAGACTTAATGCACACTATAATCTTTATTCAATGTAAATCAGTATAGATCCACTTTGATTAGTGGCTTTGTTTTACTGTCAAAGTCATGTGATCATCCATGATCTGTGGAGTAAATGACTCATCAGTGCCGATGGCCTGGTGACTGACGAAATCTCAGCTCGGATACAGAAGGCTCGATTGGCTTTTGCCAACCTGCGTCACTTATGGCGTAGGCGTGATATTCGTTCTCTAATCAAAGGACGAGTGTACTGTGCAGCAGTTCGCTCCGTTCTCCTATATGGCTGTGAAACATGGCCAGTGAGAGTAGAAGATATTCGTAGGTTACTGGTTTTCGATCATATGTGTCTTCGAAGCATTGCTCGTATACCGTGGGGCAACCGAGTAAGCAATGCTGTCGTTAGGAAACGAGTACTAGGCAAGGATGGCAGATCAATCGATGAAGTGGTGAAACTTCATCAGTTGAGGTGGTTGGGACATGTGTTGCGTATGCCCAACGACCGACTGCCTCGTCGAGCTTTGTTTTGTAGTGTAGGAATAGGTTGGAAGAAAGTTAGGGGCGGCCAAATCAAAACATGGCACAAATCCATGAAGTCATTGACGAGTGGACTTAGCCATGTCGGTAGTTGTTGACTACCTGGTTGGGGTCCGTGAAATGATAATAATCGATGGTTAGAGACCTTGAATGACATGGCTCAGAATCGTTCGCAATGGCGCCGGTGCATTTATTCTTTGTGTTCTCTCAAATCCTAATCTTCTGGGTTCTTCCTCACTTCTAGTTTTGTTTTTCTAAACTTTTCTCACTGAATCATACTTCTTGAATAATAATATCTTCTAATCCTAACCTCTCCGATTACTTCTAATACCTTTACTACCTCTTCTACTATTGGATTTGAATTGACAATTACATCTCTGTTCTGATGTGGTATGGCGACATGAACTGATGTACTTACGTACGAAGTTCTACGTTGCATCTGACTGACTGACTGATTATTTGTTTGACATCCTTGTGATACGTCGTACTATAGGATTGATCCCTAGGAGTACAATTATTTATCGTATAATTCCAAGCCAATGATCTGGACAAATTGTACAGTATACTACTGTCTACTAAGCTATTATGTTCAGATAACATTTTGAACGAGTATGAAGCGCTTATAATTAATGCCCCATTGTTGATCATTTCGTTATATTATTAACAATAGCTAATTAATTATAAAACCGTTCATAATGTTTAAACTAATTATTGCTTTATAATAATAGTAGTTATATAAGTAGTATATTATTTATTATAAAAAAAGAGAAATGACGAACTTCAAGAGTAGTTAATTTATTCAATGTCCAATAAACTTTGAAATTCGATGCATGACATTAAGGTCATTCCTTCATGTAAATTTTAAATACATAGATTTTATCCTAATGTAAGTTGGTTGTTTTATTGAGTTGGTTTTGTTGGCGATTTTTTCCCTTCTTTTTATATCTGTTCATTTGAAAGACTGAATGTTATTAGTTCTAACGTACATGATACTTTCAATAAATACTCAAACTGAAATACTATTGGTTTTTTTGTCGGGGAGGGAGTGGGAGACATTAGTAGAATTCTAGACAGTTCTATAGTGTTAAAGGCAATTCATAGAGCCAATATATTAAAATGTCACTACTCTATAAGAGAAGTGGAATACCAAAAGGGATGATCTAGCTTCAAGGATGATTATCTACTGTGTGTTGTTTGAAAATACTGAACATGTACTACAATTTCTCGTACTTTTAAATAGTGTGTTGTTTGAATAAATAAATGCATGAATTTAAAAAAAACAGTCATGTTTATGGCACATACTACTCATCAATGTTCGATAATAAAGACATAGCTGATAAAAATCAATCTCTTGGAACCTTCTATTACAAGACTAATATAACTGCAAATACACAGAATATTTCAAAAGAGGCTGAAATTGATGTACGCTTAATTTTGTAAAACAGAGTTTTTAATGACCTCACTTCATGTATTTTCTGTACAGACGTTATGCTGCTCTATGTAGCTATTCGAAATTCTACCGATTGATCAAATTCATCTATTCCAGTACGACTCCAGTATTGGGGATGTTAGATCACCAAAACTCGCTTGTTAAATGCCTTATTTTGGGTTTCACGTTTTCCAGCATAGGCTGATTAGTTGACCTTGAGATTTCATTTCCCACCAGCGAAATCCATGTGGCTGTGATTGACTGCTGTGTATTTTAGTGTGCTATTTTTGTAACTGTCCCAAGGACGTTTCTATGATGTATAAATAAACGAGAGTTGTATGCTTGATTGTGTTGTGTGATTGCTGGGTGTTTGTAGAATATACTTTCTACGCTTCCAAAGCCTTTTTACTTCAGCTTGGGATTCAAGGTAGCCTAACTGGACGCTGGTTCATTGTCTCGTTGGCGTTTATCGACTAAGGTAAACTCGTAATAGCCTCAAGCATATTTAGTGACGAACATAACATCCAGTTACTGTTCCCAAATCTCCAATATATATATCAGAACATAACACCGTTAGATGAAGTTGTTTATGAGGTCTAGTACAGAAGAAGTAAAGGAAGGAAGGAAGGAAGGAAGAAATTATAAGCTTTACAGATAATGCATATTTATACATTTAGGTCGAATAGGCAACAGCATTGAAGTCTGTGACATTGATAGTTAGGACGACCATAATATTGACCAGTAGAGGAATTGACCAATAGAATTAGACTTCCAAAAATAGTTCTCTTAGGATGTTTGTTGAATATCCTAACAACAGAGTAATTTCAAGCACTTTTTTTCTAAAGTAATAATACATTCTGAGATCATATATGTAATTGTTCCTGGAAACCCTTCTGAGGATACTACCTATCCCAAGTCCGGATGAAGGAGAAAGGTTGGACGTAGGATTAGCCCCTTCATCTCGGAGAAATCCAACTTACTAAAAAAGAAGCTGGTCGTCGGCCTGTGCTCTATTAGGGGTTAACAGGTATAAGTCAGTTTTGTATATCCGATTAAAATCATTCTGTGTAATATAAACTAAGAAATAAAAAATTAAGTTTCATATATTTATATACCCGTTTATGTTAATTTTTTTTTTTAAAAATATATTTTAGTTTACATTTGCAAAACTACTATCCAATCATTGCAATAGTCTGTCACCTGCACAATTCTCAGAAAAATATCATTGGGCCAGTCTATTATTAACTAATAATAGTAATAATCATGATAATCTTTCAATGAATCATCAACTGAATTCCAATCATCTGATTGACAATGATTGTGTTTGTTGTTGGAATAAACAACATCTTGTTGACAACAATTCATCATCATCATCACCAATCAAAAATCCCAATGATAATAATAATGATGATGATACAAGCAAACAAATGAAATCACAATTGAAATTATTATTTATTCCACCTAGATTATATTATCCATTTTTCAATGAAGTTCGAGTAAGTTCTCTCTCTCTAAATATATATATATATGTGTGTGCTTTTTTTGAGGGAAGCAATTCTTGTGTTCCGTTTGATAATATTTTACTGACTTGTTTGAGGTGAAGACCGGTGTCAGGCAAGGTTGCTGCTTACTCTCACCCTTTCTCTTTCTCCTGGTGATCGACTGGATTATGAAGATGTCAACATCTGGAGGGAAGCACGGTATTCAGTGGACAGCTAGGATGCAGCTGGACGATTTGGATTTCGCAGATGACTTGGCTCTTCTATCGCACACGCAATAACAAATGCAAGAGAAGACGACCAGTGTAGCAGCAGTAGGTCTCAACATACATAAAGGAAAAAGCAAAATTCTCCGATGCAACATAACATGCACCAACCAAATCACTGTTGATGGAGATGCTTTGGAGGACGATAACACCTTTACATATCTGGTCAGCATCATCAACGAGAAAGGTGGATCCGATGCAGATGTAAGGGCGCGGATCGGCAAAGCAAGGGTTGCATTTCTACAGTTGAAAAATATCTGGAACTCCAAACAAATATCAATCAACACCAAAATCAGGATTTTCAATACAAATGTGAAGACAGTTTTACTGTATGGAGCGGAAACTTGCAGAACTACCAAAGCCATCATCCAGAAGATACAAGTATTGATGAACAGTTTTCTTCGCAAAATACTTCGTATTCGTTGGCCAGACACCATCAGCAAGAACGTACTGTGGGAGAGAACAAACCAGATTCGAGTGGAGGAGGAAATTAGTAAGAAGCGGTGAAAGTGGATAGGACACACACTACGAAAAGCACCTAACTGCGTCACGAGACAAGCCCCCACATGGAACCCTCAAAGTAAAAGGAAAAGTGGAAGGCCAAGAAATACATTACGCCGAGAAATAGAGAAAGATATGAGAAGAATGAAGAAAAATTGGACAGAACTGGAAAGGGAAGCTCAGGACAGAGTTTGTTGGAGAATGCTGCTGGTGGGCGGCCTATGCTCGATTGGGGGTAACAGACGTAAGTAAGTAAGTAAGTAAGATATCATTTCAATGACTACATTATATGTTCGAACCCTAACCTGTTTACTTCTATCCCAGAAGACAAGTATTATTATTATTATTGACTTAATCTCCTTTAAAAAATTTTTCACTTGGTTTTTAGTCATTTATATTAAAAAAAAGTTCTGTGATAAATTGGTTTAATGTGTAGGTTAGATTCGCCTCAGATTAGGGTACAATTGAAACTAGGTAGGATTGGGAAATTACTTTAAGCAGAAGTCGTGGCTGTTGAAGCTGAGACATGTCAGGAGTAAAACATTTGGCATTGATGGCATTGTACGAGTGAGTATCTCAAACCGATTGAAATTGGAATTGTACTACTAGATGCCAACCGAGTGGTTTCAATGTTTGCCAGTTCTCTCTTACAGATATGTAAGTCCCTGGATCCGATCACTGGTGGATCATGAGTAACTGCTACTGAGGCGCTCCATACTACGATGAAATAGTTATCTTATACGCCCTGGTCCTTATTGGTATCTCAACTAAGATCAATCCGTTACGAATGCAATCTACATGTCAATTACGTGGTTATTAGAAAGTATCATTAATTATAACCGAAGACATTATATAAACTGCTTAAAATACGGTCTAACCAATCAGATGCCTTTTTGGTGAATTGCAGAAGCTAACCTATTTAAGTTATTTTCGAATCTGATTGGTTAGTTTAATTTGATTATTACAGGTTTTGACTACCAGGATTAAGCTTGAAGTAAATTTTCAGTCGGCATTACTGTCTTTTGATTTCTCCAACGCCCCTACATGTCCTGGTACTTTCGAGAGTGAATAGAATCCGCTCCCCCTCCCGAAATACTCTCATATATCGGTACGTATAAAGCCACTGCCAGAGAAGTCCTACTCACTCACTACCTTATTGGGACACAAATGTTCCCTGAGTAGTTGAGAGAACTAAAAGCAAATGTCAAATAGGTGCTTTAGCCAGGTTGGTGAGTATGGAGGATCCGCCTAGGGGAGTTGGGAAACCCTGATTCCAAACCAATGATGCCCTTGGCCCTCAGTGTCTTAATGAAACAAATGGCTTATAAACCTAGTGTTGGTTACCGTCCACCATGCGGTTTTATCTTCTATGTCTCTTAGTAAAACGCTTGAGGAGTGACCTTCTAGGAAAACTACCCGTTTCGGTTTGACCATTCGAGCAGAATTCAACACAGGCATAAAGTCAATAATTTGTATGGTGTATAAATATTTTGGTTTTCCTCTGTACCAATAGTTAATCTGTTTAAATCAACCAATCAGACAAATAAATCATGATTGATGGATGAACCAATAAGAACTTGGAATTCCGATCATTCCTGAATGTTAAGACAATAAATAATTGGTGAAAGAATGTTATCGATGCAACAAGTATAAGTTTATCTCTTCTAATCTGATTCCACATTGTCTGGTTGCTTAAATTCAAGTAATTGGAGTTAGGTGTCAATCCTATGACCTTTTAGTTGAAAATTTAAACACTATTGGCATCACCCTACATAACCTAGTTTTCTTAAACATTTAGGCTACCTATTTTTTCTAACTGTGTAAATATTAAAATTAATTTTCCTGTTTTAAAACTGAATAATTCTGAGTGTTGATTGTATGCATTCAAATACTTTTTAAAATAAAATAATTAACAATCTATCGTGCTCACTAGTGACTAGCTTCGTGACGAATCTTCTCCGAGTTTGGGAAGACGTGGGAAGACGTGACCAGTGAAGTTCAACCTGTTCGGGTGTAGACAGTCACTACTACCGAAGACTGTGTATGAGGTTGTGCAACTCCGTGAATTTGATCAAGTTAGACATTAACACCGTCAGATACCGGCTCAGTGGTCTAACGGTTAGGGCGTTGGCGCACAATACGTGGGTTGGAATCGTGCGGGGTACAGGAGTCGTGGATGCTCACTGCTGAGGAGTCCCATACCAGGACGAAACGGCCGTCCAGTGATTCCAGGATTCTAATGGTAGTCTAGCATTGATCGATTCACGGTCTCAAAAATGTGTAACTTAACAATCTTCACAACCCCGTAATGCAAATCTATCGAATGTTAAATACAGGAAAAATTACACAGAAACACGATAGTTGTTAGCATATCCTCTGAAGAAGAAGATCAGTCAGTCATTTACAATGTAGAACTTCGTACATAAGTAAATCAGTTCATGTTGCCATACCACCTTAGCACAGAGACATAATTGTCAATTCAAATCCCAATAGTGGTAGAGATAGTAGAAGAATTACTGCTAATAGAGAAGATTAGAGTTTGAAGATAATATTCAAGAAGTATAATCTAATGAGATAAGTTTATAAAGACAAAGGTAAAGGTATTGACGAATCCAGAAGATTAGAATTTGAGAGAACACAAAGAGTGGATGCACCTGCACCATTGCAAACGATTTTGAGCCATGATGTCATTCAAAGTCTGAGGAAGAAAATACAAGACAAAAGACCAATATATATATTGGAATTCATTCATCTTATATATGGCGTATGGAAACAATAGTTATCGCATCTGAACTGGTAAATAACTTTCACAATTGAAATGTTAACCAACGGAACAATAAATTATTTGAATAAATTGGATGTAGAGTTAATGGTAGATTTCAAGGTACCCATTTAGTCCCGTTTTTAGGACTTCTCAGTTGAATGTACCTGAATCCTGATGTTATATTATACCAGGACTCGAAAGCAAGTACTCTGCTCTCTAAACACTCACTTAGTCTAAATAACTACTAGCTTATGCAATGAGTAGGAATTCTAATTAAATTTATATTTGTTTAAATTATCTCATTGTTGATATTCTTGACTGAATTTCATTTAACCTCTGTTTTTATGTGCATATATTATACATGGATTGTCTCGATATGTACATTTGATCACAATTTTTCTATCGAATAATGTGAAGAATGTGACTAACACTAGAATACAGGATGCTCATTGACGTTTGAAATGAATGATACTGGCATTGATTCCTTACGTAGCATATCAATGTTTGAATGCAGATACATCTAGCTTATGAACTACAGATAGAAAGATATATGCAAATCTTGGATTCTGTTGTCAAATGAACTGATCAATGTTAGACTATCATTGGGAACCTAGAAACACTGAGCAGCCATCTCTTTCTAGTATGGGACTCACCAACAGTGTGCTGTTACTCATGGAAGAGTTGATTTAAATTAGACAAAAACACTGTTGGATGCAGGCTCAGTGGTCAATAGGGTTAAACATTCGTACGCGAAACTGATGGTCTTGCGTTTGATTCCTGTATACCGGATTGTGAATGCGTACTGCCACTGATGAGTCCTACAATAGGACCAAAAAACAACCGTCCAGTGTGCTTCCACATATCCACTAATGGTCTAACATTAATCCCCGACCGAAGCTGCTACCTTGACGTGGTGGTCGGGCTTGCCTATCGTGATGACCCAACCGAGCTATACTGTCTGGGACATATGTTCCTGAAGGTTCTACCATGACAGGCAGGTCGATTGGAGAACAATGAGACTAAAAGCAGCTACTCAAGGTCTGAGGGCGAAGTCGTATTGCTGACTGCAGAGAGGTGTGACAGCAGTAAGGTGTTTCCCTCGAATAACCAGCATCTGCAGCGATGCTGCCTTCTCACAAGGAAGGAAGGGTTAGAAAAGGTCGACCCTAAAAATGTCACACCTCACCCTACCTCACGGATTTCCGTCTCCTTGGGTAAGGGTGCCCACTAAGGGCTTTCAAGAGCGGAGCTAACACTCAAAAAACTTTTCATAAAAAGGCCATGCGTGACCGGCCTCAAGCAGTTATCTCTTGGGCTCTGCGGTCATGCTCCCAGGTCGTGAACACCAACGCTAATCTACCTTCCTTTTCAGGTTCCTCAAGAAACAACCTTCCACGGTGTGGGCAGCCGGGAAGTGACAACCGCCCTCATACCCGTAACAGCACACGAGACCAAATTGGTCTTACTCAAATCAAATCCTAACATTAATCAACCCATGAGTTCAATAAAACCCAATATTCTCTACAATCCTATACTAACAATCATCATTATTAAGGCAATCCACATAGAAATCAAATCTAACCAATAAAGAAGATTGACACATTTGAAATCATCAATCAATCATTGTTAGACCACCATTAGAATCCTGGGAGCAGTGGATGGCCGTTTCGTCCTGGTATGGGACTCATCAATCGCAGTGCGCACCCACGACTCCTGCTCCTCACAGGATTCGAACTTCGGGACCTTCGGTATTGTGCGCGAATGCCTAACCATTGGACCATTAGGCCGGCATCCAACGGTGTTAATGTCTAACTCTGATTGATCTAGGGATTGCGCGAAGAAGATTGATCAGAATTCAGTCTTGAATATCAACAACAGAATATTGAATAAAGTTGTCACTCTTCTATTATTATTATTATTATTATTCTCAGTATGTTAATATTATATTTATGGTTTTCGTTATTTGTTTTCTTTTAAGATGCTTTTTATTCAAAAACATGCAATACATCATCAAAAATTACATCTATTGCATAATGATACTACTACCAGTAATAATAATAATAATAATTTCCATTCCCAATCACAATCCACTGAATGTACATGTTGGGAATTTTTATTATCACATAACTTTGATCAGCAGCCATGCCATACAATAAATTTCTCACCGATTCCAACGAAACACATTCATTCACCGCCATCATCATCTTGTAATCAATATCATCATCACCATCATCATCATCATAAATCTTTACATTTCAATCATCAACCATCACATACTACTACTGCTACTACTAATAATAATAGAGATTATTCACGTGATCTTCAATCATTAGAATGTGATTTAAGTTTTCCAGATTTAGCTAAGAAACGTTTCGGTTCAAAAGTATTTAATCATCATAATCATAGCCATAATGATCATAATCATCATCAGCATAATAATAATCATCATAATTATCAGTTTTTTATGAATAAAAAGTTCACCATATGTTGTGATTATAAATGTCGTGATTTTGCTTATTGTTTATTACCATCTAGTCAATGGACTAGTATTATTGATTATTACATGAGATTAGTTCGTGAATTTATGGTAAGTGTTGATAATGATAACGATGATGATGATGATGATGTATTCTGTTTGTGATTTGCTTTTACAATTGACTGGTCACACTGATTAGTGTTGAGTGATGAATGTGTATGTATGTATGTAGTGAACGAGAACACAGGTGAGGACAACCGAATTGTCTTTAACGAAAATTACAGAGTTACTCAGTAAAATAGGAAAACCATATTGTAAATTGTTCATTTGCAAAATATCAGTTCATCATATCGAACTGGACTGTTTCTGTTGCAAACAACATCAATCCATTGTCATTATTCATGAGTTTCATACAAATTCCATTGTTTTCTAACTCTTCCTTTCTCTTGATCTTCCCCCATCTTCTGCTGCCAGACATTACGTTGACACTCACGTCATATACTACTTATAAGTAGCTCACACCACATATATATATCAGATACTTCTTAGCGCTGATCGAATTCAATCGATACAGTAGCAATATAGCTGCTAATCTAAGTGAATTAACATCTCGCACATTGTATAGTAAGGATTTGTTTGTGACCAAGTTGGTCTTGCATTCAGCATGAATACAGAAAGCTCGATTGGCTTTTGCCAACTTGCGTCACCTTATGGCGTAGGGGAGATATCCGTTTGCTGAGTAAAGGACGAATGTACTGTTCAGCAGTTCACTCCGTCCTACTATATGGATGCGAAACATGGCCGGTTAGAGTAGAGGACATTCGTAGAGATTGCTTGTCTTCGATCATAAGTGTCTTGGAAGCATTGCTCGTATATCCTGGAATAGCTAAGTAAGCAATGCTGTCGTTAGGAAACGGGTGCTAGGTAAGGATGGCAGATCAGTTGATAAAGTATTGAAACTTCATCAGTTGAAGTGGTTGGGACATGTACTACGTATGCCTAACCACCGACTGCCTCGACGAGCTTTGTTTTGTGGTGTAGGAGTAGGTTGAGAGAAAGCTAGTGGCGGCCAAACCAAAACATGGCAGAAATCCATGAAGTCACTGACAAGTGGACTGAGTAATGTTAATAAGTGCAGACTACCTGGTTGGGTTCCGCGAGACCACTAATGGTTAGAGACCTTGAATGACATGGCTTGAAACCGTTTGCAATGGCTCAGGTGCATCTACTCTTTGTGTTCTGTCAAATCCTAACCTTCTGAATTCCTCATCACTTTATCTTTTTCTTTATAAATTTATGTCACTGAATCATACTTCTTGAATCATATCTTCTAACCCTAATCTTCTCCATTACTGGTAATACTTCTACTATCGGTACCACTATGTGATTTGAAGTGACACTTTCGTCTCTGTGCTAATGTGGTATGACAACCTGAACTGATGTACTTACGTACGAAGTTCTACGTTGTATCTATCTCTGTCTTTCTGTCGTACACTATATTTTTTCCGTGTTAGGCGGTTACATGTAGTCAATGAAAAAAACTGTGTACTTGAGTTTCTTGCTATTTATTGCATATAATCTTGAAGAAACTAATGCCCTACTGGAAAAAAATTCAGTCAAGCGTTTACCCACATTCCCAGTCAAACACATTACCACATTGTGACTTGATAGATAGAATTCTATCAGTACTAAAAATAGATTTGATATATATTTGGCGTTAGTCGCTCGCTACACGGTAATCAATCTATTGTCAAGACACTTCAACCCTACTGGAGGTCAGTTGTAGCCTCTGAATGAGTTAGCTCAGCGGTGGTGATTGTGACCAAAGTTGTCTGGCGGCATCAGCTAAGCCCCGTGCTAAAGAATGCTGCTAACTAATACAAAACTCAAGTCCAAGAATTCTTATCGACTGCCTCCAAACACCACAGTGCAGTTCTTGTTTTACCTGTTAACGATTATCTTTTTATCATAGTTAACAGCATGAACTAATTAATCTTAGTTAGATAAACCATTAAAAACCTAGAAAGCACTAGAAAAACAACTGTTTTTCACTTCACTATGGTGTACTACTTACTCTTCACTACTACAACATCCATGCGTGACCTCTGCTAGAAGAAATCACACATTGTACTCGTCGGTTATACAACGAACATTTAAAATTTAGATCATTGTATTTTTTTTCTAAAGCAGTAGTAGTAGTAGTCTATGCGTCGTCTAACTTTGATCAATTTTCAATATTACACAACTCTCTCTTCCAATGTCACAGTGTGATGGTGGGTGGTAAGTAAATGTTTGGAAACCAGACATAGTTTGATACAGCTATTAAAAAATAAGTCATCCAGAGGATATATATATATAAAAGTAGCATATGGAATTATTTGTTTAGTTTAATAAGTTAGTCAGTTAGTTAGTTTTCGGTATTTCAACTTCACTATAGTAGTTTCCTTTTTCTCATAATTCCCTCCCTTCCTCCCTCCCTTCACCCTCCTTCGGTTGTCTCTCATACATATATATATTTATATTTCTAATGTTTATGTATTAGTCTCGCTTCGATATCCCCTTACCATATGTCATTTTATTTGAATACAAAAATAATTTGATAGAAATAATTATTTGGTAAGGGGAGAATAGCGAAGTAATAATAATAATAATCGGTCAAATAAATGTCACATCTTATATAAAACTAAAGTCGCTATTTTCTTTCTGAATGATTTCCAATAAATCGATATATGTGTATTTGTCTGTACTTCAGTTTCATTCATTTCAAAGTAGTTTTTCATCTGTTTATTTTAATTTACTCATTATCTTCATTGAAATTCTATCGAAAGTCATACTATTTTTAGAATATGGTTAGCCTGAAAATGACAACTACCTTCATACCCATGACACACAGTACACAAACAAGATCGACTTGTTGATCATGTAATTCTTCCTCCCACCAGTTAGTTAATAACCCTTTTTATCTCGACGACTAATCGTTCTCGCAAACCTTTATCACCTCGTGCCACCAATTGTAAACGATTTGAGTACACGAAATATTGTTCCTGGTCTTCTGAAACCCATCACTAAGTTACATATTGGAGATTTCAATACTCGGACCTTGTGCAAAATAGATAGGAAAACAGGCTTCCTTAGCTAGAACTTTAGAATCTCACGCCGCTATTGATGCATTCTGCGTCCCCGAAACTCACAAACAAGATCCGAGTAAAATCATTCATTTGATCTCACCTTGTCAATCTATGAAGTCACTGACAAGTGGACTGAGTCCTGTTGGTAGATGTGGACTACCTGGTTGGGGTCCGCGGGACGAAAGTCACCAATGGTTAGAGACATTGAACGACATGGCTCAGAATCGTTTGCATTCCCGCAAGTGCATCCATTCGTTGAGCTCTCTCAAATCCTAATCTTCTGGATTCGTCTTTCTAACCTTATCTCACTGAATTATACTTCTTGAATAATATCTTGAAACCCTAGTTTTCTTAATTACCATTAATACCTCTGATATCTTTATCACTATGGGATTTGATTTGATATTTGCGTCTCTGTGCTAATGTAGTATGGCAACATGAACTGATGTACATACGTACGAAGTTCTACGTTGCAACTGACTGACTGACCTTGTCAATACCGACTGCAGCAACTACCTTGACATGGTAGTCAGGCTTGCCTATCTTGGCTGGAACATATAATCCTTTAGGTTCTACCATACCAGACAGGTTGATTAAAGAACGGTAAGACAAAAAACAGAAACTTAAGGTTTGAAGGTGAAGTACTGCTGACTGTAGAGGGGTGTGACAGCCTTCTCACACGGAAGGAGGGAGCTAAGAAAGGTCGACCGTAAAAATCGCATACTTCACATTACTCCACGGATTTCGGTCTCCAGTAATAAGGCCGTTTGAAAAGCGGATCTAGCATCTTGAAAACTTCCCATGAAAAGCCGTATGTGACCGGCCTCAAGCAGTTGTCCCTTGAGATCTGTGATTACTCTCCCAGGTCTCAAAGAACATCATTAACCTAATTTCCTTTTCAGACTCCTCAAGAAACACCCTTCGACGGCGTCGACAGTCAGGAAGTGACATTCGCCGACATGTCCATAACAGCATAGGAGATCAACTTTACGACACCATAACACTATGATGAACCTTCGTGGTTTACTTTAAGTGTATCTGGAAGTACCAGTGCCACTTCCCGTGGCCTCGTTGATGTAGGCATAGCATGGAGTTCTAAAGCAGAGCTAGCTTTCTTAGATAGTTGCTTATGAACTGTCCGATTAAACGGGACAGTAAGAACTTGAAAAGATGAGAACATTCACCGTTGCCTCTTCGTTGTCTCTGTCTACGCTCCGACTGATTGCAGTTCAAATGAAGTAAATGATCAGTTTTACGGAAAGCTGTCTAACCTTCGAAAAGCTGAGCATTCTAATGCAGTAGTAGTGGCTGATGATTGTAATACTCAAGTAAATGGATTAAGCGAAACTAAAAAACCATGGTATATCTTATGGTGTTACGGCTCAATGATCAGATAATGGCAACCGTCTACCGCAGCTATATTCCGATAACAACCTATTTCTGATAAATACCAAGTTTAAGCATAAGGAAAAACATCTTTCGACATGACAACCCCCATAATCGATCCAAGTAGACCACATCGCTATCAGCTACCGATGGAGAGGCTCGACAGAAGGCTGCCGCCTATTCTGGAACACATGTTCAGATTCAGATCATGCTCTATTAGGATCAGGTATCTGTCGGCTGCTCACTAGACCTACGAAAGATACAGTAAGGAAACCCTTTAGAGTTCCACTTGCTGATAAAAAATCTGAGTGTATATTTCGAGAGCAGCTTGAAAAACAGTTAGGCGACCATGTAAGTGACGCTCACCCTGAGACAGCCTGAAACGATATCCAAAAAGCTGCAGAAACAGCAATGATATCTATCAGTGAGTTAAACCAAAAGGTTGGGAAAACTATGTATTTCACTAGCATCTACGGAACTGATAGATGCCAGGAAACGCGTATCGTCTTGCTCGGAGTACAATGGAGAGCAGAGTCAGCTTAAGCTCAGGCTGATAAGAAGCCTACACAATGATCGTGAACAGTGGTGAGTAGTGAAAGCTAGAGAAATGAAAAAGACATTGGCCACTGTTCAGACCTATCAAGGGTATTAGAAGCCAATTTTTTGGAGACACTCGCTAGGGAAAGACGGGACTATTATTCATTCTTAATGTTGGAGATTGGAATCGATGGGCAGAACACTTTAGAGAGCAGTTCAACTAGCCTTCAGTCACGCTTCACTTACCCATGATCTCCATTCACCCTGATTCGCAAGTTGATGTAAGTTTTCCGACTCTTATGAGGTTGAAAAACTTATAGGCTATCTAAGGCAAGGGAGAGGCAGCAGGCGCTGATAGATTGACCCCTGAGATTGTTAAGTATGGTGGTCCAGTTCTACCAGTTAGATTGACTGAGATTTTAGCTAGAAGCTGTGAATTAGATTCCATCCCATCTGACTAGTCTCAATCACTGATTGTCGCAGTCCGCAGTCCTATTTTGAAAATCACAGAGGAATCGGTTTAACTAATATAGTGTTCAAAATATCACCTTCAACAATACTTAGACGCCTAACCAGAGCTCGTGAAGAACAGACTTGTGAAAGTCAGGCTGGTTTCAACCTGGACATGAATGTATAGATCAAGTATTCACACGTCGTCAGGTTCTAGGACACAGGCACACATTCAGACGACTTCAAGGTAGCGCTTGACTCTGTTGGTCAGTGTCTGTCATTGAAAGATGTACCAAAGAAGTACATTAATCTTTTTTAGGCTCTCTACTCGGACATTACTGGTTGAGTGAGAGCTTATGGCGAACTGTCATCGGAACTGATTTATCTTAGTAGTTTCATCATTGCTGACGGCCTGGTGTCTGATAAAATCTGAGCACGGATGCAGAAGGATTGACTGGCTTTCACTGACTTAAGTCACTTATAGCGTAGGCGAGATATCCCTCTGCCAACCAGAGGACTAGTTTACTGAGCATCTGTTCGCTCCGTCCTACTTTATGGCTGTGAAACGTAGCCGCTAAGATTAGAGGATATTCGTAGTTTCCTAGTATTCGATCATAGGTGTCTTCGAAGCATTGCTGGAATATCCAGGTTACAATTGAATAAGCCATGCTGGTGTTAGGAAACGGGTACTAGGGAAGGATAGCGGATCAATAGATGAAGTAGTGAATCTTCATCAGTTGATGTGGTTGGGACATGTGTTACGTTTGGCCAATCATTGGCCACTCCGACGAACAATGTTGTTTGATGTAGGGGGGGTAGGCTGGAAGAAAGCTAGGGACGGACAAACTAAAACATGGCACACCATTTCATGAAATTACGGACTACTGAACTGAGCCATGTCTGTTAATCCATACAACGGAATATATCTGCTGGCGAATTCGTGGTATCTAAAGAATACCGAAATCCTGCCATAGAGAAAGGGCATAGTTACAGCGAGCAGTTTAAACAAAATGGCAGCAACACAAACGGATAGTTTTCACGTACAGAGTACAAATAAACAAAGAGTACAGTAAAACAATCACTGGTACAATTGGTTATAATAATGAATGTTTCTATTAAACTAATCACGTTCTCTTCATAAAAGTCCGGTCAATATAAGTTAGTTAAATTCAATGTTTATTCATTCAATTAATCACGAGATATACGTTGCATACACTTCAACTGTCACTAATGTAAGTCGAGAAGTAGTTTATAGTTGATCATTCCAAGATGATAACATTAGTGTTCATTAGGTCATCCATTGTTTTCATAAGTTGAATCAGAAGGTACAAATTTATTGACAATAGGTTGCATGATAATAATAATAATAATAACCATTGCCTAGAGTACTTGTTCACCGACAGTTTCATGAATACTCTCATTCTTTGTGTTTTGTTTTCGTTTTTAAGTTTCTAGTTTAGTATTATCTTGTTTATAGATTTGTTTTATTGTTAAATATTATTTCTAAAGTTTTAAGGTTCTTTATCACTTTTAATATCTCTATATTCTAATTTCGTGTCAATGTGTGTCATACGAAACTTGGCTGGTTAGAGTAGAGGATATTCGTAGTGATTGCTTGTCTTCGATCATACGTGTCTCGAAAACATTGCTCGTATATCTCGGGATAGCCGAGTAAGCAATGCTGTCGTTAGGAAACGAGTTCTAGATAGGGATGGCAAATCAATAGATGAAGTAATGAAACTTCATCAGGTGAGTTCGTTGGGACATGTGTTACGAATGACTGACCACAGACTGCTTCGACGCTCTATGTTTTGTGGTGTAGGAGTAGATTGGAAGAAAGCTAGTGGCGGCCAAACCGAAACATGACAGAAATCCATGAAGTCATTGACAAGTGGACTGAGTCATGTTGGTAGATGTCGGCAACGTGGTTGGGGTCCGCGAGACGTAAGACGCTAATGGTTAGAGACCTTGAAGGACATGTCTCAGAATCATTTGCAATGGCCTAGATGCATCCACTCTTTGAGCTCTCTCAAATTCCAATCTACAGAATTCCTCATTATCTCTATCTCGCTCTTCCTAACTTTATCTCATTGAATTATACTTCTCGAATCATATCACCGAACCCTAATCTTCTCCATTACTGCTATTACTTCTCCTATCGCTGCCACAATGGGATTCGGACTGATAATTGCGTCTCTGTGTTAATGTGGCATGGCAACCTGAACTGATGTACGTACGTACGTACGTACGTACGAAGTTCTGCGTTGTGTCTGTCTGTCTGTCTATCCATAATTGTGTCCACTTAAGTCGTCATATTTTCTTTCTGTCATATTCTTTTATTTCATTTGTAAATAACTAGCTGTCTAAAAATAACAAAACAAATAATGTACTGTAAAGCAATTTCGCAATCTAACTTAACTCTAATTATTAATCTGTAGCTTTCAATCCTTTGCTTCAGTTTAAGCAACCGAATAGAATATATCACTAGCCCTAAACATATAGAGTGTAAGTGTGTGTGTGTGTGTGTGGCTCAAGGCTATGGAAAAGAAAAATCTGTATCAGTAAATAAATAAACTATTTTTAACGGCGAAAAAAAAATGATGTCAGTAATCAATGGAAAAATAAGTTTCTAAATGAAATATTTTTTTTTAACTCAGAGAGTTGTGAGTGTATGTGTGTGTGTGTGAAAAATCTATCTAGACTTACTTAAAATAGTAGAGTATTTAAACCACACCGTCAAATCTCATCATTATTGCATATAATTGTCTTGTGAATGTGTTGATATCATATATATATATATATACATATATGTCGTCATCAAAGCTGTGGCTTATGAGATTAGTCCTTTTGTTAATAAAGGTGCTTAATATATAATAGTCTAACATTACTATCTGTTATAATAATATCAAATCGATAAACCGTAGGCGTGTTCATCATTCATCAAACCTATATTTAAATCGCTATTCAATGAGATTACTGTCGGTTTAAAGTCGGTTGATCAGTCTCAAAGGTTTGATCACCTAATCAGACATAGCTTGACGGTTACATCTCTGACTATGGCACAGGTTTAAATCGCGCTGCATATGTCAGTTCTCTTATTGTGATAGGTGCTAATTGGTTCGAAACCAAAGTCTAGAACTTTATGTTGATTACTTTCAACCTTTTAACACACTATTCATAAGTGTGATAAAAGGTAAACTTAGCTAACAGTAGAATCTGAGACACGCGTTTCATCCCTCTAACCGGATGCATTTATATATATATATATATATATATATATATATATATATATATATATATATATATCAAAATAACCACAACTAAACTCTGTTTATGTATTTTTCAATTAGAGTTATGGAGATTGGTGTCTTTACACATTAAATCATCAATCAATCATTGTTAGACCACCATTAGAAACCTGAAAGGATTGGACGGCTGTTTCGTCCTAGTAGTATGGGGCTCATCAGTGGCAGTGCGCATCCACGACTCTTGCACCTCGCAGGATTCGAACCCAGGACCTTCGGTCTTGCACGTGAACACCTAACCTCTAGACCACTGGACCGGCATCCAACAGTATTAATGTCTAACTCTGATCAATCTAGAGATTTTGAACGACCTCACTCATTTGTCTTTGATAGTTACTGCCTACACTCGACAGGGTTGAACCCCAGTGGTGACGTCTTCTCAACTAGAACTCTGAGAATTTCCTCACGAAGCTAGTTATTAGTGCGCACATTTTACGATTTTCTTTTTCAATTACAGTTATAGAGATTAGTGTTTCTACTCATTGATATCTTCAGAGGTTAGGCATTCGCGCGCAAGACCTAAGGTCCTGGATTCGAATCGTACGAGAAGCAGAAGTTGTGGATACGCTCTACTGATGAGTCCCATACCATAAAGACGAAACAGTCATCCAGTGTTTCCAAGTTTCTAACGATAGTCTAACAATGATTGATTAATTGATGATGTAAATAAACTCAATATATATTTTATAAAATTAATTCTTGTTTTTGTTTTTTTTCATAGAATGATCCAATAAGTCATCATCCTTGCACAAACATCAATCATATTGATCATATTCTCCGGCTGCGTTCATTATGGAAGTATGGTTTACCGGATTCGTTGGAAAGTTTACTTTTATGTAGAATTAATGAATATATGTTTATGTTACAACAACAACAACCATCACCTTCACCATCACCACCGCCCACAACAACAGCGACAACAACAGCAGTGACCACACCAATAAAACAACAAAAACAACCACAGTATTATTATTACACAACAGCTGATTGTTGTAGTAATCCAGTGAAAAATATCAATACATTCACAACAACTATGAGAAATCCTATTGACTCTGTTAACAGTACAATTAATTGTACGCCTACAATGACTGTCACTTCAACAACAACACCATCATCATCATCATCATCATCTTTCTTATCTGTATGTAATAATGATGATAGTCTATCAGTAGTTATGAGTAGTACCTATTGTTGTGAACATTGTACTACTACTACTACTACTACTAAACAGCGTCAAACATTCAATTCGAATGCTCTAATTAGTAGGAAATCAATAAAAAGTGGTGATGGATACACGAATAATAAAACTACTCCAACTATTCAAATTACTTCACAATCATTATATTCATTGTCTTCAAATAATTTACATAGTACTACTACTAATAGTAATGTGAAAAATAATCATCATAATAATACTCATCATCATAAATTAATGAAACATTCAAGCCATCATCATCGTCATTATTATTTAATGCCACCGATTAGTAAAGAATCTCAGTTATGTCCAATTTGTAATGATCAGGTAAATAAATAAGGCTTTGTTTCTAATGCATAGTGTTATTATTATTAAGATTATTGAAAAACTTGTATTAAACCATTTTAAGCTAAGGACTAGGACAAATCCAGTAGCTTATTATAATGCATGTAATCTCAGTGAGTCAGATGCAACGTAGAATTTCGTACGTACGTAAGTACATCAGTTCATGTTGCCATACCACATCAGCATAGACAGATGCAATTGTCAATTCAAATCCAATCGTAGTAGAGGTAGTAAAGGAATTAGAAGTAATCGGAGAGGTTAGGGATTAGAAGATATTATTCAAGAAGTATGATTCAGTGAGAAAAAGTTTAGAAAGTCAAAACTAGAGGTGTTGGAGAATCCAGAACATTAGGATTTGAGAGAACATAAAGAATAAATGCACCGGCGCCATTGCGAACGATTTTGAGCCATGTCATTCAGGGTTTCTAACCATCGATTATTATCATTTCGTGGACTCCAACCAGGTAGTCGACAATTACCGACATGGCTCAGTCCACTAGTCAATGACTTCACGGATTTCTGCCATGTTTTGGTCTGGCCGCCCCTAACTTTCTTCCAACCTATTCCTACACTACAAAACAAAGCTCGTCGAGGCAGTCGGTGGTTAGACATGCGCAGTACATGTCCCAACCACCTCAACTGATGAAGTGTCATTACTTTATCTATTGATCTGCCATTCTTACCTAGCACCCGTAAGAGAACTGGAATATATGTGGAGGCACTACAACGTGACCACTGGAGTTCAACCCTGTCGAGTGTAGGCAGTAACGACCGAAGACAATGGGTGGTGAGGTTGCGTAATACCGTAGATTGATCAGAGTTGAACATTAAAACCGTTGGTTGCTGACTCAGTGGTCCAAAGGTTAGTCGTTCGCGAATCCTGCGAGTTTCAGGACTCGTGTGTGCTCACTACTGACGAGTTCCATACTAGGACTTGACGGTCATCTAGTGTTTCGAGGTTTCTAATATTGGTCTAACAATGACTCATCCATGATTTCAATGTGAAAAACCACAAGACTCAAGTTCCAGTTGACAAGGAATCCAGAAATAAGACTGTGGTGTGTACTCAGGAGCATATCAGTAGTGTACATTAGATGTGCAACAGAGTGCCTCCCTGAAGTTACGACTGAACAAAGAAGTGCAGGATCTGGACTTATGGCGTGATCTGGGTATTTTGAGATATAGAAGACAGTCAAGAATATACTTATATTACAAATGGATGTTTTATGATAAGCTGTATGTACACTTTCCGGTTATTAGATTGTGTCTTCTTTAAATAAAATTCCCCATTTCATCTAGGCTTCAAATCTTTGTTTCATTATAACAAAAAAAATTCAGCCTTCGAAATTTGCATTGCTACAATCCACAATCTAAGTACAAGTCTGTTGTGTTGTGCTTGTTTTTTGCACCGACCTACCTTTTTTCATTGTTTTTATTAATCGAATAATTTTTGGTGCCCCATTTTTAGGGCAAAGTGGGATTAGAAACATTGAAGTATCATAAGTGTGTTGAGGATGTTAGATGATCCCCGAAATTCGCTTGATAAATGCCTTATTTTTGGTTTTTACGTTTGCCAGCATATGGGCTGATCGATTGACCTTGAGATTTCATTTCCCACCATGAAAATCCATGGCTGTGATTGGCTGCTGTGTATTTTAGTGTGCTATTTTCTTAACTGTCTCAAGGACGTTTCTATGTTGTATAAATAAACGAGAGTTGTGTACTTGATTGTGTTGTGTGATTGCTGGGTGTTTGTAGAATATACTTTCTACGCTTACAAAGCCTTCTGTTTACAGCTTGGGATTCAAGGTAGCCTACCTGTACGCTGGTAAGAGTCTCGTTCGCGTTTATCGACTAAAGTAAACTCGTAATAGCCTCAAGCATACTTAGTGACGAATCCAATAAATTGATTGTGTAAAGTGGTGATGAATTCATCATTGAAAATATGTCAGTCGACAATACATGAAAACCTGACGCATTTGTGCATCGATAAGAATATTAAGTGATATTAGAAATAATTAAAACATGAACAGTATAATTCGAGCCCGACCGAAGCTGCTACCTTGACGTGGTGGTCGGGCTTGCCTATCGTGATGACCCAACCGAGCTATACTGGCTGGAACATATGTTCCTGCAGGTTCTACCATGCCAGGCAGGTCGATTGGAGAACGATGAGACTAAAAGCAGCTACCCAAGGTCTGAGGGCGAAGTCGTACTGCTGACTGCAGAGGGGTGTGACAGCAGTAAGGTGTTTCCCTCGGACAACCAGCATCTGCAGCGATGCTGCCTTCTCACAAGGAAGGAAGGGTTAGAAAAGGTCGACCCTAAAAATGTCACACTCCCCCTAACTCACGGATTTCCGTCTCCCTGGGTAAGGGTGCCCACTAAGGGCCTTTAAGAACGGAGCTAATCCTCAAAATACCTTTCATAAAAAGGCCGTGCGTGACCGGCCTCAAGCAGTTGTCCCTTGGACTCTGCGGTCACGCACCAACACTAATCCATCTTCCTTTTCAGGTCCCTCAAGAAACAACCTTCCACGGTGTGGGCAGCCGGGAAGTGACAACCGCCCTCATACCCGTAACAGCACGCGAGACCAAATTGGTCAAAATCAAATCCTTCCTACACCCCCTAATGTCTCTCTTATCTCTACGACTAACTCTACTCACACTCCCTTTTCTCACTGCACCGCTAATGCAGACGAAGCGAGATCACGAAACGTCGTTCCTGGTCTCTTGAAACCCCGTTCTAGACTACATATTGGAGCTTTTAATGTACGGACATTGTGTCAAATAGGGCAACAGGCATCATTAGCTAGGACTTTAGAATCTCGTGCCATCGATGTATGCTGCGTCTCGGAAACGCGCATACAGGATCCTAGTAAAGTCATTAACCTGATTTCACCTTGTCAAAACGTAGAAGCAGCTCGATTTACTCTTCGTGTATCCGGTAGCCCTGATGCTGCTTCCAGGGGTCTTGCTGGGGTAGGCATAGCGTTGAGTCCTAGGGCAGAATTATCTCTCCTAGACTGGATCCCAGTAGATAGTCGTTTGTGCGCTGTCCGACTAAACGGGACAGTAAGGACTCGTAAGGATAGGGACACTCGCCGTTGCCTCTTCGTCATATCTGCCTATGCCCCCACTGACTGCAGTGCAGACGAGGTTAAAGATGAGTTTTACAGAAAGCTTTCGGACCTCCTCCAAAAAGCTAGGCGCTCTGATATAGTAATAATGGCTGGTGACTTTAATGCTCAAGTAGGTAGACTAGGTGAAAAGGAAAGACATCTTGGTGGATGTTATGGTGTAGCGACTGAGAGAACAGACAATGGTGACCGTCTGTTGCAACTGTGCTCAGATAACCGCCTATTCTTAGCGAACACCAACTTTAGGCATAAGGAAAAGCATCTGTTGACCTGGCGACCTCCAAAGTCGTCTCAACGTTGGACTCAACTAGATCACATCGCCATCAGCCACCGATGGAGGGGTTCGATAGAAGACTGTCGCTCGTTCTGGAGCACATGTTTGGATTCAGATCATGCTCTAGTGCGAGCTCGTATCTGTTTAAGGCTTACTGGACGTAGGAAAGACACCGTAAGAAAGCCTCTTAGGGTTTTACTTAATGATAATCAAACCAAGAAAATATTTCAGGAGCAACTAGAAAGAGAGTTAAGCAACCATGCAAGCGATTCCCATCCAGAAGCAGGTTGGTATGATATCAAAAAGGCTGTGGAAACAGCAGTGATATCTGCTAGTAAGGTAAACCATGAGGCTAGGATGAAGCCGTGGATTTCAGTCGCATCCACCGAACTGATGGATGCTCGAAAACGCATCCCACCTGACTCTGAGCATGATGAAGAGCGTAGTCAGCTTAGGCGCAGACTTATAAAAAGTCTGCGTAACGACCGCGAACAGTGGTGGGTGGCGAAAGCAAAAGCGATGGAAAAGGCAGCGGCGATCGGCAACAGTAGACAACTTTTCCGCCTTATTAAAGAAACTGGTATTAAGAACCCGAATGTGAGTGAGACTATCTCGGAAAAGGATGGTCTTATTATCCATTCTCAATCCAGGAGACTGGATCGATGGGCAGAACACTTTAGGGATCAGTTCAACTGGCCACGAGCCACTCTTCGGTTACCCACGATCTCCAGTCATCCTGAATGGCAAATCGACCTAAGTCCCCCTAGTCTTGATGACGTTGAGAAAGCGTTAGGAAATCTGAAACGAGGACGAGCTGCAGGTCCTGATAGACTGACCCCTGAGATATTTAAGGATGGTGGTCCAGTTTTAGCAGCTAGGTTGACTGAGATCTTAGGTAGAATCTGGGAACTGGACGTAATCCCATCCGACTGGTCTCAATCACTGATTGTCCCAATCTATAAGAAAGGACAAAAGTCTTCTTGTGACAATCACAGGGGAATAAGTCTAACTAATATAGTATCTAAAATACTGGCCTCAATAATACTTCGACGCTTAACGAAAGCTCGTGAAGAGCAGACTCGAGAAAACCAGGCTGGTTTTCGACCTGGACGTGGTTGTATAGACCACGTCTTCACACTCAGACAGGTCCTGGAACATAGACACACATTTAGGCGTCCTACAATAGTTGTTTTCCTAGACCTTAAGGCGGCATTTGACTCAGTGGATCGTAAGGTTCTGTGGCAGTGTCTGTCATTGAAAGGTGTACCACAGAAGTACATTAACCTTATACAAGCTCTTTACTCGAACACCACTGGTCGAGTGAGGGCTTATGGCGAACTGTCAACGGAATTCTCTACATCAAGTGGTGTCCGTCAGGGATGTCCACTTTCTCCATTCTTGTTTAATTTTATCATAGACATGCTCCTAGACATAACATTATCCTCGTCTGAATTTTCAGGAGTAGAACTTCTACCAGGTGGCTCGCTTATTGACTTAGAATATGCCGATGACATTGTCCTACTTGGTGAAGACGCTGACAAAATGCAGAGTCTTCTGACTACCCTAAGC